TCGAAAACCAGTCTGAAATTCCGACGTTAAAACGGCGTGTAAATGGCGCCCAAACAAAAGGCAAATCCGTCCCTGAATCCCGCAGCAATCTCTCTCTCTCTCTCTCTCTTTCTCGTCCGGAGGCACATCGCGCGCGCAGCCAAGCGCGTCGTTTCCACTTCGCTATAGCTATAGATCACGGAGCGGCGGCGGTGGTGGCGGCGCGAAATGTGTACACAGAGTGCACAAGCCGCTGCCGTCGTCGAGAGAGAGAGAAGTATATAGCAGCCGCGTGGCAGTGGCCTCGCGCGCGCACGTTGCTCTCGGCTTCGGCGCAGCTCGGCTAGACTCGGCGCTCGAGCCGCGTGGGTCGACGAGCCGCCGCTTACGAACGGGAACAGCTGATCGCTCACTGCTCGACTCGGAGTGGAGAGAGAAGGCGCGCGCGCGCTAACCACCACGGCTACGCCACTCTCTGGGCTAATGAGTGTGCGACCTATTGGCGGCCTCCTGCCTGCACCGTTTTCCGTCTCGCGCGTTATGCTGCCTCTCCACTAGTCTCAATTTTTGCCGTTTTTGCGCTTTGGACTGGTGACGTAGACGGCACGTCATTGCAGTGTCGCCTTCGTTAATTCTTTCGGGAATTGTGCGTCATTAATTTGAAGTGATTGTTACCGAGTGAATAGATTGTTTTTGTGTTGTTCTGGATCTTTCCCGTCGGACTGTGCTGCGATCTCTGGATAAGATAAGGTGCCAGCGTTGATTTTCAAATCTCTAGCCGACAGGATTTGCCTCGACTCGATACGACCGTCTCGTCGGCCAAAATAATTTTCCGTTGTTCCTCCGAAAATATCGCGGCAGCTTTCGGCGTCGCCAATCCACGTTCAAGGCTCAATCGATTTTCTCGACGTCGCCGCGCGCGAGGGCAGCGTAGTGGAATCCGACCGTAAACTATTTCGCGCACTTTTAGACGTCACGCCGAGAGTTAAAAAGGGGGAGCCGCTCTTAGCCGTCGTCGTTCCACGCTCGCCGTGTTGCCGTATCACGTCGCGTGCGCGAGTCAGTCGTGTTGCGTTCTCTCCCCACTCGCGTCGGCGTCGCGATCAAACTGGCGTTTTCCTCATTTTCTCTCTCACTCTCTCTCTCTGTCTCCCTCTCGCAACGGGGTCTACTCGGAACCTCTCGAGCTCCACTGCGTCTTCATCGCGAGCGCGTTTCCAGCGAGAAGTCGCAGGCGCAACGCTGAAACGCGTAAGAGAGCGCATCCCTTCGGCAAGTGGAAAAAGTCGAGTTCGGTCAGCCCGCGCCCGTACCAAGCGACTCGTCGCCGAAGGAAACGGAATAACTGCGCCGCTAACAGATGCCGCGCACCAAAACACACACACACACACACACACAAACACAAGCGCGCGCATACTCGGGTGAGCATAAAGCTGCGCGACGCCGATTCGTAGTATAATGCATTATAACCGTCGGGCGTCACGGCCAAGCAAAGCTGCCGCTGCTGCGCCTCGCGCGGCGTGTCAGTCGCGTTTCGGCCGACGCGCGCCCCTCTCCAAGGACGCGCGAGCACAGCTCGGCCGCTAGCTTTCCTCCTCGCCCGACGTCCCGCCGTACTGAATGCGCACTCCGATCGGCATACGCTCTCGCGCTCGGTAGGCGCGAACACACGCGCGCGCGCGACGTCGCCGAGCCGCGCTTACTTGTCGCGCGTTCTGCCGAGGTAAGAGCCGTGCTCCCTTTTCTTTATTTCTCGTGGATCATTGGTTGGGAGCGCGCGCGCGACACGAGCGCACGGGTAGCAGGGGCTCGACTGACTGGTTCTCGCGGCGGAGAGCGCCAGACTTGAACCTGACTCGTTCCCCTACTCTCCGCGACTCCCACTACTACGCGGGCGTGCGAGCCGGCGCCCGCCGCCCGTCTGTTACTATACTTGCTGGAGCGGCCGCAGCGCCGCAGTGCACCCGTGGCCTTTACTCTTCTTTGTGTTCGTGTGCGTGTGCGTGTGCGCACACCCCCGCGTCGAGGAAAAAAAACCAATTCTTCGTTTCCTCGGAGTGTTACGTTCCATCTCAAGGGGAAGTGTCCAGTCTTCACTGGGTATACACTGTTGTGTTCTATTTTTCGCCGAGCATTCGAAGTTACATCGCGCGCATTTAGGGAATAAAATCGCAACGATTTTGCAACAACTAGAGAGAGAGAAAGAGAAAGAACGAGAGAGAGAGAGAGAGAGAAAAGAGAGAGAGAGATTATCCCGTAGGGGCCGGTATTTGAAGCTGGCCACATTTTTCTCCTCAAAGTCTCGACTGATGACCCCGAGTGTACATTACTGCTAACGGTACGCGTATACGAGGCACGCACTCATTGTTCCTCTTTTCGACGCGTGACGATAATCTGCCGAGGATCGCGCGCGCGCCATGAATATTCAGCGACAAACATTTTCGCGTCGGCTTTCCTTTGGCGTTTTTCGCGCGACAAAGGTTCGCCCCCCCCCCCCCCCCCCCCCGTCGAAAATCGAAAGGAAAAAGCGGGGCTCGGGCTCGGGTCGCCCTCGAATTTCGGACGGCGCGGCTCGGTGAATCTCGCGAGGTTGGCAAGGAAAGCTGGCGGGTGCACGTGTTCGCCCATTACGCCAGCGATTGCTCTCGGCCTCCGGCTTATATTTGCCCTGCGCACTCGCGGCTGAAAGGCACTGGAATGCCGGACCCTCCTCTCTTCCCGGCCATAGTGATTTTCTCACCGAGAGAGAAGCGCGCACACACAAGCACACGTCCGCGCGGTATTGGGTGTCGCTCGACTCTCGAGACCGGATCTTCCTCTCCGACTGCTACACTCTCTCTCTCCCCCTACCCTTTTTACGCGAATCGCCCGTAATATACTCTCCTCGCTGAAAAAGTGAGCTTTCGTGTGTGCGCGCTGCGTTCACTTTCGAATCGATACGCCGAGAGAGAGAGAGAGAGAGAGAGAGAGAGAGAGAGAGAGAGAGAAAAATCCGCTCGGTTGATTTTTTTCTTTCCTTCTTTTTCCGTCCGCGCGAAAGGGAATTCCGCGCACGCGCCACGAGAACATTCGTCCGGGAAACTCGGCGCGGAAAAAACCTCGAAAATCGCCGATTGCTTTCTCGCGGCGCTGCCGCCGTTGTTGTTGCCTGGGCGCTCCTCGCGGCCGACCGCGAGCGATAAGCCGCATTTTTACGGATGCGCCCGATTCGGTTTTCTCTATTGTAAATAGCCATTATCATCGCGACGCGTACGTGCGTGCCGTGAGTCAGCGAGGGCGCGGGCGAACCGTCGCGGCGTTTTTTTTTTTTTTTCGCGTGGCACGAGCAGCTCCGCCGCGAGCCGTCTTTTCGGACTCGTCGACGAGCTCGAAACTGGGTTGTCGACCCACTGAGCGAAAAACGTCGGCCGACTCATTGGCGCGCACGCAAACGTCATCTTCCGCCCGTCCAGCATCTGCCTGCCTATCGGGAGAGTCCGCGATAAAAAGCACTTGGCTCGCGCGCGCAGGCGTGTCACGCCGACACCATCGATGCGTGTCGTTGCGAAATCCGCCGTTTCACTTTCGCGCGCGCGTGCTTGATCGTGACACGCGAAATCCGTGCGCATCCGAACGATCCCTTCGTCTTTCGGCTAGTCTCTCTTTCTCCCCCTCCCGGCAACGGCCACGTGTCGCATTGGGGTCTGCAACACCTTTCCCAGGGGGCGCCGACGCGCGGTATTTTTTCTCTCTCTCTCTCTCTGTCTTCGATATAAAACTCAGGAACGCACTCGAAAGTGGCGCGGTGCTAAGGGGGGAAGAAAAAAGGAGCTCGGACACACGCGCAGCTAAGCTCTTTTTTTCGCATATGCTTTACAACGAGTTCGCGGGAGCTGCTAATCAAGGCGAGCTCGAATGCCCAACGCACTTGCGCACGTTTCGTGCGTCGCAAGTAGTATTATTAAGCTGGCGCTTCTCGAGAATTCATCGAGCGCTTTGCACCCCGCGTACTTGACTTCGGATCGAGGTTGGAACGGGCGAGCGATTTTGAACAATTGGCAGTGGTTCAACGGCTGGTCAGCGTGCGAAAGTATGGCACGATTACCGCAGTTGAGAACGGTCGAAGGACAAACGCCCCGAGCAGGCAAATGACGCGCCGCCGGAAAAACTCTTGCTTGACTAGACTTCGTTTGAATGTAGGACGGCTTGATGGCTTCCCAAAGAGAAATTGAAAAGTAAAGATGGTCGTTGTAAGCACGACAAGCCACATCCCACACACTATAGCGTCTCTACGCGGAATATAAAAAAAATAAGATCGAGAGAGATAGACAGAACTCGTATCCTACGGCATGATGTCGGTCCGTCACAGTGTGCATCCTCCCTCCTTTGAACAGTGAAATTCGCGTGCACAGCAGAACTCGACTCGGGAGTTGAGAGAGAGAGAGAGAGAGAAAATCGGCGGCTCCCCTCCCGCGCCCTTCTCTTCCGCGTGCGCTCCTCCATTTTGTTGCTCGTTCCTCACACACAAACACATTTGCGCAGTGAAAATTTTCGGCCACCCTCGCCGGTGCCTCGGTACGAGCGCAGGCGTCTTCGTCAGTTCAGTAACTCGCCTTACCGACCAAGTTTTAATTGATTTTACAAGACGCGAGTGCTAGTCTTTTCTTTTTCTACGTCGCGTGTTCGTCTGTGTGTGAACGTACGTGTGGCCAGTTGTTAGAGAGCAACGAGCGAAGAAGAGAGGTGATGTGTAGTTGACTTTCTAACCTAAATTCGCGCGCAGTGCAGTTTGCCTTTCCAGGTGCCCCTGGGTTTTTTTTCTCTTCTGCGTGCCAATCGCCAACAATCGCCAGACCAGCATAGCCACAACGCTGTAATTATCGTGCGAATGAGACGCAAAAAATATCACAATGTGTGCTGAATGAATTTGTTGATAGAAAATTTTTGTTGTGTAGTTTGAAAATACGTCTGATGAGTGATATCAAGTTATTATTGCGTTGCATAATCCACTTTATAACTCCTGCTTTGTTGTCTACTTGCAGATGTCTGCTGGTTCACAAATTCAGATGGCACCCCAAGCTACGCTAAACTCTGGTCAGTCTGTTCATAATCAGGATTCAAATATGAGCACCGGTAAGGAAAATACTTATAGTGACTATTCAGTTTCCATATATTACATATAACTCATTAGCATACCTATGACTATAATGCTTGAATGTATATTTAATTTGCCACAAATGTATAGACAGATAGAGTCTACAAGTTTGAAAGACTTTAGTTTCAGTAGGTTGGAATAACTGTGGAGCTACATTTAATACTCAATATTTACATTCAATAGAATTTTTATACTTGTCAATTATACTGTTCTGTTTAGTAATATATCAACATTATATTTTGTTAAGAATAATAATTCTATATTAGCTTTGGGCTAAATAGCAATATTCAGTCTATATCTGAGTTACTAAAGCTACACTAAGCCTCTATCTCTCAATACCTAACCTCATCAATCTAATTTTGTAAAATATCTATGACAATTTTGAATCAATGATCTAATGAATATTCATTGATTGCTCAGGCTCGTCGCATAGCGACAAGGAAGCAGACCCAAATACACCGGAGAAGGTGCTAAGAACCCCCTCAGAGAGGAAAAGAAAACGTAAAGCAGATGATAGTGGTGGAGGGGGTCTTATGGGTCCTGTGGGTAAAGGAGCCAGATCGGCTGGTTTAGATAGTAAGAAAATAAACGAGTATTTTCCAAAGCACCATTTGGGCAGCAGTCCCATCAGGCACGGTGGTGCCAAAAGTCCATCCCCTCAGCAGGGTTATCCTATGGTTAGTGATCAAAAAGTATGGATATCTCTTGTTTTTTATTATCATTTTTGTTCTCTTAGACTTCTCGCGTCCTATTTTCTCATTACTGCTTTTCTTTCTGCGAAAATAATTATAATTTCGTTGCTGCACCTCTATCTTTTCTCTTTCTTTTCTTTTTGTGATTTTACTACATGTTACATTATAGTTGGAAGGTTTTCTTTGTACTAGAGACAATTGAACTGCTTTTTCTTATTAAGGAGGTTTAATTACTGATAAAAAAAGAAATTTTATGTTGCCTTTTAACATTGTTTCACAGCTCATAAACCATTGAATTTTTGTTTAATTTTACTGAATACTTTGAAAATTTTTATGAAATTGGCCAAACATTGTTTTTGTAATAAAAAAGTACCAATTAGTAAACAAGCCTGGCTTTAGAAAACCAATGAATTTGAAAAATAGTAGAAGAAGCTTTCAACTATGTTTATGCACAACAAAATCACAGCCACTACGTGCATTCCTTGACTGTCCCTCTCTCTCTCAAGCTGAAACTGTACAACTGTATTTTCAATTCCCTGCAACTAAAGTACCCGCCGTCATCGCCTCAGCAGCTGATAGCGCCACAAGTGACAACGAGCTCGGGGGTGGCGGTGAACGCCGGCGGTTCGGTAGCGTCGACGGGGGTGGCGGTGGCGACGACGCCAAGTAGCGAATTCGGTACTTCGCTAATGCAGCCGCCACGCAATCCAGCGGCAAATAGCTCGGGCGGTTCGTCGGCCCCGAGTCCGCCATCCTTGTCGTTGGCCACCACAGTTGCCAACGCGGCTGTGCCGGCTGCTACGACAGTCACCGTCACCAGTGCCACCACCACGAGTATCGCATCAGCCGCTGGTGGCGTTGGTGTCGCCGCCTCGAACGTCGTTTCCCAAGGCGGTTCGATGGTCAGCAAACAGGTGCAGGTAAGGTCCACAAACCTTCCTCGGACAAGCCAGGTCAGGCAAGCGAAGACTAATACCCCAAATGTAAGCACCAAAATCTCTTTCTTCTCTTTTCTCTATCTGTCTATCACTCACTCATTCTCTTTATTTTTGTTTCTCATTATGTTTCTTATTATGTTGTGTGATTTGCCGAGAGACTTTTCTGTCCGCAAAGAAAATTAGTTATCCGTTGCTAATTGTAATGGTCATGTTTTAATCTCACAAATGTTTACTAGTCTTTTTTTTTTTTTCATTTTTCATTTCATTCACCACTGATGTTAAGAGAGCAAACGTAGAACTACCTTGTATCGGCACTCATCGTTGTTAACGTAACAATTACCGCGTGTCAATTGTTTATTTTAACATCGTTACAGAAATTCCACACTACATTTAGAGAAGTTTTTTGCAACAACTGCGAATTCATTGGTTTTCAACGAGCTGGCATATTATTTTTTTTTCTTTGATTTCGAAAGATTTCGACTTCTCTCAGTGTAAAATGAAAATAAAATGTTGCACGATGGCAAGGTTCACTTACATTTCTGGTGCTTTTCTTGCTACCTGTTGTTTGGCCAAATTAAAAAGTGGGTGCCGCAGGGTATATGCGATATATATTCTATATAAATTGAAAGAAACGATAGTTTTGAAAAGGCAGATTCATAATCACGCATGTTATCTCTCGTTTCAGACGGAGCTCACCTGTCAGAGGATACAAGAGTTCGAGAATCAAGCGTCCAACGACTTAGAGCTACGTAACAATAAGATCGAGGAACTGAATAGAGTAAGTCCAGTTTTCATAGCTTAAACGTATCGTTGTTTTTTAATTCAACTTGCAAATTAATCAATGATCGTCTTGCAGACAACGGAGGAGTTGAAGATTCAGGTATCGAGTCAACAAAAAGTGATAGAGCAGCACAAAAATCACATAAGCAAGTGTATAGACGTGGTGAAGAAGCTCCTGAAAGAGAAGTCGAACATCGAAAAAAAGGAGGCCCGTCAAAAGTGCATGCAAAACCGATTGAGGCTCGGCCAATTCGTAACTCAAAGGGTAGGCGCCACATTTCAAGAGAACTGGACGGACGGCTACGCTTTTCAGGAACTGGCACGTCGACAAGAGGAGATCACGCAAGAGCGCGAGGAGATTGATAGAGCGAAAAAGCTGTTGTTGAAGAAGAGGCCATCGAACAACGACGGTGGTGGTCGTAAGCGCAGCAATCAACCGGCGACCACCTCCTCCTTACACAACGGCACTGAAGCGACGTTTTTGAAGCCGGATGCTGTACCTGGTCAATACACCTGGCAGGAGTATTACGAGGCTGACGAAATCCTCAAGCTACGACAGAGTGCGCTGAAGAAGGAGGACGCCGATTTGCAGCTCGAGATGGAGAAACTCGAGAGAGAAAGGAACCTGCATATTAGGGAGCTCAAGCGTATACACAACGAGGACCAATCGAGATTCAATTCGCATCCTGTACTCAACGAACGATACCTCCTTTTAATGCTACTTGGAAAGGGTGGCTTTAGTGAGGTACACAAAGCTTTTGATCTGAAGGAACAGCGGTACGTCGCCTGTAAAGTTCATCAGCTTAATAAGGATTGGAAGGAGGATAAAAAGGCCAATTACATAAAGTAAGTACTTTTTAACGTTGAATTCATTTTGCCTTACCAGGTAGTTTCAACATATTCTATAACACATGGTTATTTTTTTTCGCAGGCACGCGTTACGAGAGTACAACATACACAAAGCGCTGGATCACCCACGAGTTGTCAAACTATACGATGTGTTTGAAATAGATCCTAACTCGTTTTGCACTGTTCTGGAATACTGCGATGGCCATGATTTAGATTTCTATCTCAAGCAGGTAAATATTGTACTACTACTGTCTAGACAATTAATTATCTTAATCGAGCATAGCCTTAATCTTTTGTGTTATATCGCAGCATAAAACTATTCCGGAGAGAGAAGCAAGATCTATTGTAATGCAGGTCGTATCTGCGCTAAAATACCTCAATGAAATTAAGCCCCCTGTCATACATTACGATCTAAAACCAGGTAAGCTTACTTTCAATTTGACTTTTCAAAATTATAAGTTTTAATATAGATTTCTAATCGAGATGGCATTTTTTTTTTCAGGGAACATTTTGCTGACAGAAGGTAACGTTTGCGGGGAAATTAAAATTACAGACTTTGGATTGAGCAAAGTCATGGATGAAGATGTCTATAATCCAGATCACGGCATGGATTTGACGTCACAAGGAGCTGGTACTTATTGGTAAGCGTAATCTATAAATTAATAATCAATAAATAAGTTTTTTTTCTAATTATTGATTGCTAATGTTTTTACAAATACTGAATATCCTTACGATATTCTGCAGGTACCTGCCACCAGAATGTTTTGTAGTTGGTAAAAATCCTCCAAAAATATCGTCAAAAGTAGACGTATGGAGCGTCGGAGTCATTTTTTACCAATGTCTATATGGGAAAAAGGTGCGCATTACTTCCATGGTCTCCATATTATTATCTACAAAATTAACGATACTTAAACTATGTAATTTAATGTTTGTAGCCTTTTGGACATAATCAGTCTCAAGCAACCATTTTGGAAGAGAATACGATTCTCAAAGCAACGGAAGTTCAATTTGCCAATAAGCCGACTGTTAGCAACGAAGCAAAGGTAAAATTATTCATCATTTAAAGTGGATAAAGAGAAATGTACAAGTACAATATTAATGCTGTAAATATTTTTGATATGTGTTGCAGAGTTTCATTCGAAGTTGCCTAGCGTACAGAAAAGAGGAACGTATCGACGTGTTGACTTTAGCCCGACATGAGTATCTGCAGCCGCCAGTACCAAAACATGGCCGACAGGCAAACAGTCAGCAACAGCAGCAACAGCAGCAACAAATCCAACAGCAGCAACAGCAGCAGCAGACCTCGTTTACAACGGGCATGTTTAGCGGCATGAACGCGTCGAGCAGCTCGTAGTTGTGGAGAGCTAGTGGCGGAGGCAGTGGAGTCTCGAGAAAAGCCTACGTACATGCCAAATCCTGAAAGAAAGCTAGGTACTGAAGCAGCATGCTAAACAATTTGTAAATAAACGCCAAGAGCAAATAGAAAACGCCAGTGCAGATTAATGGGGATGAAAAGAAAGAAGTCAGAATAAAGACAACAAACTTTCACACATTCGCACAGAGACGAAAAGCTCGAAGGCTCCGGATTTATTCAGCATGACAGAGAGCAAAACGAGATTGTTGTGTTCGCAATTTATTCAAATGTATTATCGTTCCTTGTATATCGAGACGAACAGTGGTTTTTGACTGATAATAGTGTTATTATTAAATAAAAAAACAAAACAAAAACTGATAAGGACAACACGGATAAACATGTGATAAGTTATGTGAGTTTTAAGAAGACGAACAAATTAATACGGATCGGACATGGGCAAGAATCCAGTGGAAGTGAATTTACTCAGTGATCGATGATGATGAGAGAGAGAATGAGTGAGAAAGGCATGTGAGAGAGCGAGTGAGAGCAAACTCCGGGGCAATTCCGCGTCGAGTAGAAAGCTAACATACTAAAAACAAAAAACACGATTCAAAGACTTGCTTTTTTCGAGATGTTCTTCCTCTCTTATCTAACATTTTTGAGATAAACAAAAAGAAACAAAAGTTGCGTGAATGCATACGATTATGGCTAGATTGTTAAAATAAATGAAGATAAATTAGCGTGTATGTAAATATTTATACTATATATATATCTATACTTATGATTCTATAGCATATATATAGTGTAAAAAAACGAAACGAAGTAATAAAATAAAAACAGAGCAGACGGAGCGCATTGAACAGGTAAAGAGGTGGAAACTGTGTGTGGTGGCTCTATCCTCGCATGACCGTCGTGCAGCGCCAGGTATTCCATGAATATTTGACAAGCACATCATGTTACTTTATTCAAATATTAATAATTAATTACTTGTATCGTGAATAATAAAAGACACGCTCCGTAAATACACATTACATACACGTACATACAATTCAATGCAGATTGTTTTGGTATTAATTGTTTCTGAGAACTGGATCGACTATAAAAGTATTTAAAATGACACGTAAAGATCACAATTTTTACACACAGATACATGCAAACATACGAGTATAAAATTAAAATGAACTGCAGAGAGAGGAGATAACGCGAACCGAGTTGGGTTAATGACATGTAAAGAATAAAATTTCACTAGGAATCGTGCTTCACGCTCATTTCTTATCATTTGTCCGCTAAATATTTTTCTGAACATTCGAACGATAAATTAAAAGAAACAATTCATTTCTTGTCCCGGAGGTCCGTTGTATCGCTCTTTCAAAAGCATGAACTCCACTTTACATTTACGACTATAGTCATTTTATTTGTTCGCGCCGTGAGAGGAAAACATTGAAATTTAAGTGTTTCGAAATTGATTAAAGGGCGTGGATTTAAAAGGTAAAAATGACATTAAAAAACGGACAACGGATGTTAAGCATTATAACAATTATACCGACCTGATCATTAAATAGTTTCTTTACTCATAATTTGTTTTATATATGTACGTTATACATAGATAATTATGAAATAGAAGACTAAGTTATTTTATCAAGTGCCCTTGCTTTGTATTATAGTCGCGTCTGTTGACAAATCGCAGCTTTTGGGAAGTACTAGAGACGACGGAGAATGAAAAACGATAACAAAAGAGTAAGAAGAAATCAACAGAGAAAAGAGAACGAGTTTTGTGCGAAATTTAAAAAAGTAAAAAAGTAAGCGTGTGAGAGGGATTACAAGTGTGAGTGAGAAATTATCGATAAAGCGTAAAATAAAATGTGTATGCGAGAGCGAGAGTATAAAAAATGAAGAACTTGTTAAACAAAAAAGTGTTGTAATTTGTTGGTACGATATTTTGGGCACAACGTCAATGTCTCAATTTACCAACATGATTGGCAAAAAAGTGTGGACAGGAGAATACATACAAGTCTGAACAGTGTCTACTATTACATCCGTCGATTATACTCGATAAAACGCCAACACCGATTCCTCGATCCTTGTCCCGTCTTTTTATTACAGAAAAAGAATACAAAATTAATATAAAAAGTGACGAGTAAAAGTATGAAACGTTCCAGTTTTTGCATTCAAATACGTCATTAGAATTGACATCTTTGAAGAATATTGTACAGTAATATTTGCTTTAGTTTATTATCTTAGTTCTTATTCAGACTTTATTTCTAATTTTATTTGTTCAAGAAACTTCCTGTATTACTGACCTGTTGACATTATTCTTCATAATAATATTCCTATTATGTTTTATTGTTTCTTTTAAATATCGCTGTACAGTATTTTTTTTTGTTCAAAAACAAAAACTTTTTAGAATACCTTTGTAATAAAGCAATATCGTAGATTTTTACAAAATTTCCGTAGCAAAAGTGTATTTACCTGAATTTACTGCTCACATTATTATTATAAACAATTGCATAAATGTAAATATTCGGTTGTATAGTAGAACAAGTAAAACATTGCATTCATACATGTTTGAAAATCGAAAGAAACGTGTGATATTAATTTAGTTTGTCATAAACATTTCCTCTCTTAGTTGATCAATTCGACTATCATAATGTTCATTTATATTTTTTGTATGAATCATAAGTTAATTTGCAAGTTTTTAGTCAGTTGAGCAACATTACATGCTTAATAATTGTAAATTTTTTAACGAAGCACCAATTATTCATGAAAATTTTTTTAGAAATCGAGTAATTGATAACAAATGTTATTAAACGCAAAATTAAAATAAAAAATACATATCAATACGAGATTCTTTGAATTTACATAATTCTTCAACAGAATTGATTGAACTGTGTATGCAAATTTTTCAGATGCAGTATATTTTTACAACTACTGAAAATCTTTATAGAAATACTATCATTCGAATATGTTGTTTTGTTCGAAAAAAATATGATTATATTTACTCACCATAAAAAATATTATCTATAATTAGATTCCTTGTATTTTTAATTTATTGGACAATTGCAACGATAAAAATGACATAGAGGGTAAGTAAAATTCGATGTATTTGGGTAATAGAAATCTGAAATGATAGAAGGTAACTATGAAATTATTATTTATATGATAGAATATTTATTAAGAAAAAGTAAGATAATTTTACAGTCATTATGTGAATGCTGTCATAAAGCTAATTATGTTAGTAAATACAAAAAATTCACCACGAATGTAAATTGATATTCGCATATAAATAATAATGAAACCGTAAAAATAGTTTACATACAACTATACGTTAACTTGTTGCAATCAGTATATAATGTATATCCTATACCTGTCTAAAATTTTTTTAATATTTTTTGACAAAAATGAACAAATACAAATGTATAAATAGGAAGTTATTTTAGCTATGACTATTCGATTGTACTTTATCTCACTTTAAGAATTTACCGAAAATTACATTGACAAAAGCTAATTTATAAAAAGTAAAAAAATTATTGATATGATAACCAAGTTGTTTTGCACTAACTTCATGATCATTTTATACAAAAAAAATCGCCAAAAACGCGTACGTAAAATCCGTCATATTAATTAGCCATTGGTCATCGACATTTAGTGCCTATAGTTATATTTGACAGTGACACTTGAAACATCTTACAATTATCAATATTAAATTATAAAGAATCAAGCTGTTTATTTTAAAATACAACCAAAGAGAAAGTAATAAATTTTGCGATGCATCGGCAAAAAAGTGCGCAATTCGATTCTCTACTGTTGTACACAAACACGTTATATTCAAGAACTAGCATAGAAAGTTACGAGTGAGTCTGGCATACACAGGTGAGTATCATTACCATACCATAACGTTATTCATTGGTGTCAGTGTGCTATTAGCTCAAGTAACATCTATAAAATTTAATCAGAATCGGAATCGTTCGTAGTAGTAGCAATGGCGATAATGCTATCTTCACATCGTTGTTGTCAGAGTCAACCCATCCTTTTTTCTAACATTCCATACACAAACAGACTTTTCCTCGTTCTCGACTAAAAACGGAGCCTCAAAATCGCACTTTGCACGCTGTGTACGATACGTGTTGGTAAAAGAGATTCTGATCTTCTGTGACTGCGAGATAAAAATCTTCTCTCCCGCACTTGCATCGTAATGTACTATTTGCCGTCTTCTTGACCTGCAACAAAATTCAATAAATAATCAACTTTAGAACCAAACTTTACACGACGATTTTAAGAAGTATTTACGGATGTTGTCTTAGGTGAGAACATATCTTCAGATTCCGATTCTGAAGATTTAGGTGCTTTCTTTTTGGGCATTCTTTTAGATGCTATATTACCCCCGCCATTTTTTGCTTCCGTCTTATCTTTAGTAGCTATATTATTGAAAAAATGACATTTGCTGGTATCTTTTATTTGATAGAGTGACTGCAACTTCCCATCTTAGAATGTGACTTTCAAAGTGAACTTTCAAAAGATTACCTGCATCATCTGCCTAGCCGCCCTTGACGTATAGATCTATACAGTCTTAACAATTTTTAATTAGTATCTTTGTATCATTTGAATACAATTTAACTCCTCTTACAGAAGTCCTTATACCTGGTAAAATCTATATCATGAAATTCTTAAATGCTAAACTCGTTAGCTTGACCCATTATACTCCTTACAAGCAGTCTCAACAGTGAAGCGGTAGATATTACACACTTTACTGAAGATATTACACAATTTAGCACCGTAACTATTTCTACCACCAGTCTTTTTTTCCTCGGCATCATTGTAAGTAGATGATGTCAGTAGATGACCAAAGGTTGACGCATACATTTTCTCTTCTTTGTAAACAACAACAGGAATGTTCTTTTCATTCTTGTTAACAGCAATTGTATTATTTTCACTGTAACAAATGATCGATAAACAAATGATCCTTGCTTGAGATGCAAGACTTCTCAATCAAACACTTACACATCAATATCAACTTTCTTCATCATTTCTTTTTTCTTGTCATAAATCCATATGTTCTCTTGAACTGACTCCACTGAGCCAATGTACGTATCAGGTCTGAGCAAAATATGCCTCAGTTGGGTCTTCTTCTTATACATATCTTCGATGGTCTTCTTCTTGGAGCCCCTATCACTACGATTTTAATACCCTAATGGCAAAGCACACGGAGAAACTTCAATAATAATCAAGACCACTATTAAACACCACGATACTGAATCACACGAATACAATTATCATATTCTCTGCGATATACTATCCTCTGAAAATTAGTTCTCAGCGAGAGTCGACTTCAATTGCAAAATATCTCTGATAGGAATCAAGGATAATAACTTCCAAATTCAAAAGGAGCAAATGGGCAATTACAGGATATTTTAATCGCTTAGTCAATTATTTCAATGATTACTTAATAAAAGCTGAACGGATTTTTTTTCGCCACTGATGGCGAGTTACCAATTAAAGATACTAATTAAAAAATTTTTTTGTATGATGGAAATCAAAATAAGAAGTAGTTATATGAATGGGAATGTCACACGTTGCCTAATACAAATTTCATCTACTACATCAAACAGGATCACGAAAATATTGAAAAGGAACTTCAACTGAGATTCGAAGGAGCTCATACTATATGCGATGGTTGCTCCTCGATGCGTTGAGCCAGGGCTAGACGGCACCACAACTAAATCAGCTTACTGATGAGCCCGCTAGCTGAACTAGTCGCACGCGTTAGCTTTCAATGATACTTGCCTTATGGCAATCAAACTTCCTACCGAAATTTCTTGATCGTGAGCATAAAATGCGCGAATAACCCTTGATGTACGAGATTTGGTGGAATCTGTCGAAGGACGCTACACATCACGACTCCGAAAGGTACCATTCAGTTTAGCGCAGCCATAAATAGTTGCGTCAGAAACTAGCTTGCCAGCCTGGGATCAATCCAGCGACCTCGACGCAACGATCAGAACTCCGGAGGAGCAGCCAGCGCTACAACAAATCCAACCTCCCGTGCTTACATGGGCGAGATCATTAGGTCCGAACCTGAAACGGACAAATATAAGTCGCTCAAGGCGCAATTAATCAAAAGGCTCGAGAGAAGCTCGAAACAATGCTGAACAAGTTAGAGCTTGGAGACAAAAAATCGTACTAGCTCTGTAGACAAATTGTGGCGCTTGCCGGAGACAACGCCTCGGAAGACCTCATGGGGACTAAGTGGATTGGTATGCTCCCGCGCAATGTACAAAGCGTCCTGAAAATCTTCCCGGATTTTCTGCCCGGATCTTCCCAGAGGTTTCTTGACAGCTACTGCTGTTGGCCAGTGAAGGCACACGGCAAGTTGCATCGGTTGGCTGCTGTTCCGAACCGATTGCGATAATAGCAAACGCCGTTTCTGTGTGCTCTCATCCGGGAACTTATGGCGCCAACTTCCCTCAGAATAGCATTGTCCAGAGCAGCAATGATGAGATGGTACTTGAACTTATCGGAGAAAACGCGGTTTACCCGGAAGGCGAATTCCGTCTTTGCGAACCAAAGTTCGAGCTCCTCTACCCAGAACGGGACAAGTTTCCAAGAGGTTGATGGTAACGACCTGTCCTTTCGGTGTGCCGTTCGTCATGTCCATGGTTTCGTTAGCGAGTCTGCGGACAATAGGCTGTGGAGCTGTAAGCGCGGGAGGCTGGATTTGTTGTGTTGCGCTGGCTGCTCCTCCGGAGTTCTGATCGTTGCATCGAGGTCGCTGGATTGATCCCAGGCTGGCAAGCTAGTTTCTGACGCAACTATTTCTGGCTGCGCTGAACTGAATGGAAGCTTTCGGAGTCGTGATGTGTGGCGTCCTTCGACAGGTTCCACGAAATCTCAATCTCGTACATCAAAGGTTATTCGCGCATTTTATGCTCACGATCAAGAAATTTCGGTAGGAAGTCGTTAGCGATTACGTAAGTTCGTTATGCACGCTTTGGAAAATTTTCAGCACTTCTTTCTTGAGGATTTTTTAGAGAAACGACTCGTGCACTTTTCTTGACGATTTTGATTTTTCACGGGATCACCAAAATAAAGGTATGAGTGTAGTGCGTCGAGCTAGGTATGACATCGCTGTACGCGCCAGGCCTGCTCTCGAACCTACTGCCTTTAGGTAGGTAAAAGTTAAATTAATGCAATGAACATTTCGTTGGCCAGCTTAGTTTAATGTCACAAGGCAAATTGTCAAGTATGAAACAACACAGCGCATACAACAAAGTCTGTGATGCTTACATAATCGCACATAGAAACGGACAACACTGATTGCTCGAAGGCATGTACAATTGAAACCTAGCGCGCGACTATTTGTTAACCTGCTGAAAGAAAGCTAGATGGAGCGAGAGGGAGAGATCGAGAATTCTTAGAACAGTTATGTCTCGATAATTTCGTCTGCTTCTTACTGTGCTAGCCGATGAGCAGCCTTAGTTGTGGCGCCGTCTAGCGCTGATTAAACGTGTCGAGGACGAGGACGAGAACGAGGAGAACCCGCAACCGTCACAAATTGTCTCTTCTTTTTTACATGGATGGAAATATAATTTGTATTATATTGAACTTAGCATCTAATTCTATAATACGAACTATCAATGAAAGAAGTAGTTGTATATTTGTATAGTCAACTTATATATTTATGCAGTCACCTTCTTGTATAAGATTAAATAATTTTTAATGCTTGTATGTAACTAAATTAATGTTTAGCTTTTATTAAACTTATATATTGTAAGTTTTATTTGTTATTAAAATTAACATCTAATTGTATAAAACAATTCTCCAAGGAAAGAACTTGTATGTATATTTTGGTATAGCTAAGTTATATATTTGAACAGTCACCTTATATCATTCCTTCTATATAACTAAATAATCCCTAACGTTCGTACGTAATATTGTAAATAAATTAAAATTTTGCTTTTTATATACTTATATATTGTAAGTTTTATCTATTATTATGGTTTGTTTCTTTGCACCATTAAGTGGCATTGCTGTATTGGCATCATAGCTCTATACTTGTACAAAGTTCTTGCAAATAAAAACCTTCTAAAATTCGTTACTTCACTTCCAGGCTGGCTTTGAACAAGGCAATACGCTAGCGAAACACGATTTTTAACCCATACTTGTAACGTTAAAATTCTGGCTTATCGAGCCGGGTTCGTGTAATTTTACTTGAGGAGAATAAACGTGTAGTGATACTTATCAATGTTTCCGTATCCTCTCTTTCATCTACTCTCAGTCCGAATTCACAGCAGAGCGACAAGGTACACGGAAAATTAATATTCGAAACTACGTGATGTCACGAACATTTAGAATCCAACGATAACGATTTATACTCGCTCTATACACTCAACGAAGGTTATCAATAAATAAAAGAATAACGATTCTATAATTTGAATTCAATTCTATATCATTCCTTATATGTATATGTTATATTATTCGTATATTACCTACCTTTCGGTCGGCATCCATAAGGTAATAAATCATATAAAAAAATCTCGGTATAATACGATCTGTCCATTCGCGGGCTGATCAAGCAGGGACAAATCGTTATTGTTCATATTACAAAAGCTACGTGTACGGATGAGTTACGATAATTTTGAATTATTTAAATTTAATTAATAGCAAACAAATTTTCGACATCCAAAAATTTATAATTTAAAGTATGCGTTTCAGGAAAACATTATGACATCTTTTCGTCTTAAAATAGCCCATATTTTCGAAAAAAAGAAATATATCTAATTCTAAAAAAATCATCTTTTAAATATTCTTATTTTTTTTTTGTTTACGCCATTACACTTTAGACAAATTTTTATGCATATTTCAAAAAATTTAGTAGTGAATTCTGATCTAAGAGATGTAAATACATAAGAATAATAGAATTTTACGTGGGGTATTTTTATTACAGACGAGACTGTAACCAGGTCCCAGACTAGGAGCGAAGCAAGGGTGGAGAGTCACACAAAATGAGAATTTCTTTTCCGAACAAGTGTCGTATCGTATTTTTCGACAAACCGAACACAAATTGGGACTTTACGACACGTTCAATCATGTCACACGTTGTTTTGAACGATATCGTACCTAGTAAGTTCGAAAAAAGGGATTCCTATCTCGTGTGCTTTCGCACCTTCGCGTCGCTCAGACGTAAGCTTCTCACGAGATAAGAATTTACTTTCATGCACTGCCACACGAAGTGTCGAATTTTTTGGATGGATTATTTTATTGGAGCTAAATTGTACAACAAAGGGTTTGCGAGTCGTTATACACGAGAGTTCTTGGTCGAACGTTACAAGTTTATCGACACTGAAATCGAGTGATTTGCGTATACGATGGTGAAAATTTGAATTGACAGCTACCATTACCCGGATATTTTTAATTTAATAATATCGTTATTTTTATTTAAAAAAAAAACCAAAATAAAAATTAATCAGGAAAACACGAATAAAAATGAGATAAATAGTGATTTTTAAGAAGACGAACAAATCGGTCCGCAAGAATATTTATCTGAATGTACTGCTAATATTATTATAAAGAAATGTATAATATTAATTTTTTAGTTTATCATAAACATTTCCTCTCTTAGTTAATCAATTCAACCCTCACACTGTTCATTTATATTTTCTGTATAAATATTGATTAGCTATTGAGCTAATTTGCAAGTTTATGGTCAATTGAGCAATATTACATGCTTAATGTAATTTTTAATTTTTTAACCAAGCAAAACAATTATTCATGAAAATTTTTTCAGATATCGATGAAAAGTCGTGTAATTAGGTAGTAAAAATCGGTAAAATGGCATAAGGAAAACAACTATGAAAATATTATTTGTATAATACAATATTTATTAAAAAAGTAAGATAATTTTACAATCGTTCTGTGAATGTCGTCATAAAGTTAATTAAGTAAATACATACAAAAAAATTAACTACTAATGTGAACTAAACTTCGCATATAAATAATAGTGAAACCCTAAGAATAGTATATAATTATGTTACTTTGTTGCAGTTAGTATAATCTTGCAAATCCTATCCCTATCTAAAATTTCTTTGTATTTCCTGATGAATATTAACAAATAAAAATGTTAGTTATGATTGTTCGATTGTATTTTATCTCACTTTAAATATAATCTAGATCCAGAATTTATCAAGAATCGAATTGACAAAAATAAATTCATAGAAAGTAAAAAAATTACTAATATTATAACAAAGTTATTTCACAGTAATTTCACGATCATTTTATACAAAAAAATCGTCAAAAACGCATGTGTGAAATCCATCATATTAATTTGCCACTGGGCATCGAAATTTAGTGCCTATAATCATACTTGACAGTGACACTCGTTATTATAATTAGTGCAAATAGAGACGTAAAACATCTTACAATCATCGATATTAAATTGTAAAGAATCAAACTGCTCACTTTCAAATACAACCACAGAAAAAATAATAAAATTGCTGATGCATCGGCAAAAAAGTGCACAATTTGGTTCTCTACCATTATTTACAAATACATTATGTACAAGAACTATCATAGAAAGTTACGAGTAAGTCTGGCACACACAGCTGAGTATCATTATACCAGATCGATCGCTGTCATAACGTTATTCATCTACGACAATGTGACATTAGTTCGACTGACAAGTTGAAAACGTTTAATCAGAGTCGGAATCGTCGGATTTGATAGCGTACGAGACAGGCTTGCGTGAGCGTCCACCACCAACTCGTGGCGGTGGCGGCGGCGATTCCATCATCTCCACATCGTTGTCGTCAGAATCATCCATCTTCTTCTTTTTTGACTTCTTTTTTATCTGCGACAACATTTAATTCATAATTGATTTTTAAACTAATTTTACATAATTAAAAATAAAAATATTTACGGGAGTTGTCTTAGGTGAGAACATATCTTCAGACTCCGACTCCGAAGATTTAGCAGCTTTCTTCTTAGGTGCCCTTTTAGGTGCCGGTTTACCCTCGCCATTTTCAGCTTTTTTCTTAGCAGCAGCTGTAATAAAATTAGAATTTGTGTTATACTCGATGAATATTTCATATGACGATTAATTTATTTCTTCAATTTATTATTTAGTAATTACTTTTTTTAGGTGGAGGTTTTACAGGTGACGTTTCTGATTCGGATGAAATTGCAAGAGGACGAGATTTCGGTTTTTCAGCTGGCTTCTCTGGCGAGCTGTTAATCAGTGAATCGAAGAGTTCTTCGGAACTTGCTGTAAATATGATTTACAATAAATAACAGGAAAAAAATCAGTCCAAGTATTTATCAAAAGATACACTTACGTTTCTGTTGCGGCGACTCTTTCTTGACTTTGAAATCATCATCTGAATCACTATCAATAGTAGCAACTACTTTCGTTGTAGGCCTAAAAACATATTGGTTACATTCATAATGCCTTGAACTTATTTCTGAATTTTAGGAAGAACCAAATACTCACTTTTCACCATCTGAGCCAAGACTGTGGAGCTCAACTTCACTACTATCAGACTCGTCGCTATCAACTTTGTACTTTTTAGCTAAATCATTTAAGAGTAAATCATTATAATGCAAGAATTTCATACTTTCATTTCTCTATAAAAAAAAACTTACCAGCTGCGGCGGCTCTACGTGGAGCACGAGGTGCAGGTGGTGGTGATAGTGACTCAAAGTTTATATCCATATCGCTACCTTCATCAGATTCGCTGTCAAATCCCTTTGCTTTTTTACCCTTCTTAATAGGCTTGAAAGGTAGCTTAGACTGCTTCATTCCTTTCTTGCCTTTCTTTTCCAACTTCTCTGGAGACAAGCCTAACCTGTCATCTAATGGTTTAGCATTACCCTCAATCAAAGCATCGAACTCATCCTTTTCTTCAATTTTTTCTTTTTTGATCTGCAAATAGCAAACAAGTTTATTACATGAGTTTAGACGTACATAAATTTAACGCTAATAAAGTAACAATTCATTCATTACCTTACGCTCCTTCTTGATACCTTCTTTCTTATCTTTCACAACAATATCGGCCTTCTCGATCTTTTTCTTAAGCTCGTTATCGATGATAGGAGTAACCTTACGTGAATCCTCACTTTTGTAGAGCTTTGGTGGTGGTTTTTTAACCTTGGTTTGGGACTTGGCTTCATCATTTCTTTCTTTCTCTTCAACCTACAGAAAACGATACTTTTTCACATAAAATACTATTACTAAATGAGAACATCAGCGAAGAAAATGATATTTACCCTGTCGAGTTCTTTCAGAAGGTTATCAAGATCTTCTTTCCACAGAGACAAGGGAGTTCGCGCTTGTAATCTACGTAATTCTGCATTTTTCTCATCCCGCTGTTTCAACAAGTTATCTTTTTTTTCTTTTGTAAGACTCCACATTGTCATACCTAACAAATAGTCATAGTTTTCTCTTTCAATCACCGAAGTTGCAGCGCTCGACTCATCCTCGGCGTTCTCAGCAACTTCTTCCTACGAATTGAATAATCAGTTAAACAAACTTATACGAACTGTGATATAATCAGTTTTAGTAACATAATTTTTTCAATTATCAATTATCATTTTACTCACTTCTTCCTATGTTAGGAAAGCATATAAAAAGTGCATAAGTATTGAAATACAATAAAAATGAGTAATATTACGTTTTAGTTGAAAGAAAAATACTCACTAAAACTTCCTCGCGATTCTGCGTGAGCTTCCAAGCAACGACAGGATCAGAATTATAGCCTCGCCTTACGAGTTCCGCGATCAAGTCTTTCTTTTTTTTGTTCTCGACAGTAAGAGTACCATCGCACTTTTCTATAATGAATCTGGCTTGATCGGATAATTTTATAGCTTCTGCTTGTAAAATACCCTCAAGGTAATCTTTACGTTTTTGGTAGAGGTCAAGACGCACCTTGAAGAAGGTCTTCATAATTTGAGTGACATTGTCGAACTTCTTGAGGCAAAGGGCATCGTCAAATGCGCACTAAAATGTTAAATTAGTTACTAGTTTTTCACTGAGATGAAATTTGATGATTGCAAGTAAATTTATTAACCATTGACGTGATTGACATCGTAGTTTGCAACTTGAAAGCTTTGTGTAGGCCGTCCCTTTCGAGTTCGATCAATTTGTCCCGTTGCAGTGTGACGACAAAGCGAATTTGCGTATCGGTGTTGTACTCTTTGTAATCGCTATTACATCCAATTATTATTGTAGAAAATATATCAGAGTTTTGAGAAGCAACAACTAAAATAATAATTGACTTACGTGATCAGAGCTGGAGTTTTCTCTGAACCGTGTAACATAGGCTCCAATACTGTTTCCTTGTAGACCTGTGTCCACATGCCGATTGGTAATTCGGTGATCTCAATCTTGTCTGGGCCAATGATTGACACTTCACCACTGATGACATATCGGTACTCTCCGCAACTATCTACTGTACCTTTGAAGTTTTTGTAGTATGGGTTCTAAAAAAATTAATGAATTTTTTGATGAAATTGCAAATGTACATTATTTTATATGTAAAATTTACCATAGCCTTTGGATCAGCGCCATCCATCATCCTTTGTAAATTCGCAATGATTTCTCTAGGATCATAGTTAGGAATCTTGGTCATCCAACCAGTGCCAATACCATCGGCTCCATTAACAAGAACCATGGGAATAATCGGTACATAGTATGTAGGTTCGATCTTTTGATTATCATCATACTCGTGTTTGAGTAAAGGGTCATCATGTTTATGGAAAATCATTCTTGCTAGAGGACTGAGCATCGTAAAAATATAACGAGCACTAGCTGCATCTTTACCACCATTTAACCGTGTACCGAATTGACCGATGGGTTGCAGTAGATTAATGTTATTGCTGCCTACAAAGTTCTGAGCCAAGTTGACGATCATCGCCATTATTGACGTTTCACCGTGATGGTAAGCCGAGTGTTCTGCGACTGATGCACCCAATTGTGCGACCTTCACTTCTCGTTTGTCATTTCTTTTGAAGCACGTGAACAATACTTTTCTTTGACCAGGTTTTAAGCCATCTATCATACTGGGAATCGATCGAATATTGTCGTAGTTACTGAACAAAACTAACTCCAGGTTGATAAAGTCCGAGAAAGAGATGGCTCGAGTATCTTTCTCATAGAGATAACGCTCGCCGAGGTCGTTTTCCTTACGACGCTTTGTATCCTCCATGTGGTTGGTCAGCCAAGCTTTACGTTGATCTACACATTTCTTACTAAAGGCCATGATGATGTTTTGGTCATCCTGCTCTCCATCATATCTGAAGCGAATTCGATGACGATCCATCTTATCAAAGTACTCTTTTGCTTCTTTAGCAGTGGACGTACCCAAACCTAAAGGAATCAGTCGAAAATTATATTAGTTTTACGTTGATTTTCGTTGACACGAGCAATAAAAAATAAAAACCTTTGTAGTATTTGATATTATACGTGTGATAATTTTCTGTCTCTTTTTTCCACGCCTCAAACTCAGGTAATGAAAAGAATGACAGCTCATGATTCCCTTTCTTTGCTTTTACTATCGGTGTAATGAATTCTTCGATGAAGTTCATCTTCAAAAGTGAAGGCCAATTATGATGGATAAAGTTAATTAATAAGCCTTTGATATGAGAACCGTCCTACAAAACACAACAAAATCATATTATTAAACCTATATGATTGGAGGGAATCGAGTAATCGTATTTGTACAAACCTGATCCTGATCAGTCATAATCATGATCTTTCCATAACGCAAGGTCTTCATGTCATCTATAGTCTCGTACTTTTTTTTATATTGCAATCCAAGAATCTTAATTAGATTGTTGATTTCAGAGTTTTCCAAAATTTGCTTGTGTGTGGCTTCTCTTACGTTTAGGATTTTACCTGTAAATCAAAGGATACATTTTAACTATGCTGTTATAAAATTATAAAAAAAACATATGAACTATACCTTTGAGGGGAAAAACTCCATATCTGTCACGGCCAATAGAAGCCATACCAGATACAGCCATGCTTTTGGCTGAATCTCCCTCAGTTAAAATCAATGTACAATTTAATGACTTAACTGTACCAGCATCATTAGCATCTTCCAATTTTGGTATTCCTATGAAAAAAAAAAAAAAATTAGTAATCTTTACAGAAAATCTAATACATTTTTATTATGATTTTATTATTAAATACCTTGAATTTTTCTTTGTTTTGATTTTGGACCCAGCTTTTGAAGCTGGCTGTCTGCTTTAAATTTTGCCCATGATAGAACAGATTCAACAATTCCACTTTTTGTGACCTAATTGGATGAGCAAGGCTGGGTCAATTTTTATTCATATACCATAGTTGAATTTCCAAATTAAAAAAGTTATACTTACATTGGTGATGAATTTTTCGCTGAGAGTACATTTGGAACCAAAATTTTTTTGTTGCAGGGTCATGTTTTCCTTTGTTTGAGAATCAAAGGTTGGATTATTAATTAAACAGTTAATAAAAACCCACAGATGATTCTTGATTTGGAAAGGTTTAATTTGAACTCCAGCCTTGTTCTTTTTCTTTAAAGTATCCGTGAGTTGTTTGACTATGATATCTGTAACATGATCAACATGTCTTCCTCCCTGTAATAAAATAAAAACGTTGTGATAAATGTTAATGTCATATTATTCAGACATATTAAAAAAAGAATTTACCTTTGTAGTAGCGATACTGTTGACAAATGACATTTGCTGGAATCCCTTATCTGATAAAGTTACTGCAACTTCCCATCTATCACTGCACCTTTCATATTGCACTTTCAAAGGATTACCTGTATCATCTTCTTTGCCCTTGATGTATAGATCTACGTAATCTTTAAAGCTTTTAATTGGTATCTTTGTACCATTTAAATACACATTAACTTTTCTTGTAGAGGCAGCCACGTCATAAGCTCTCCTACTCATTAGACCTACAATGTCCTCATCAAGTTTGTCCATTTTGAATTTTGATAAATCAGGTGAAAATGTGACCTATGAATGAACATTACACATTACTGGCTTGAAAAAGTTAATTCATTAGAATGCAATATAAAATTACCCTTGTAAAGTCTTCACCATGAAATTCTTTAATTCTAGGCTCACTAGCTTTACCCATGTTATCACCCCAAGTCTGTTTCAAACTTTTCTTATACTCCTTACAAGCAGTCTCAACAGTGAAGCGGTGGCTGAAGATATTACACAATTTAGCACCGTAACCATTTCTACCACCAGTCACTTTTTCCTCAGCATCATCATAATTAGATGATGTCAGTAGATGACCAAAGATCATAGTTGGCACATACATTTTTTCTTCTTTGTGAACAACAACTGGAATGCCCTTTCCATTGTTGTAAACAGCAATTGTATTATTTTCACTGTAACAAAAAAAAGTCAATAATCAATAAACAAATGATTCATGCTTGAGATGCAAGACTTCTTAATCAAATATTTACATATCAATATCAACTTTGATAGTATCCATTTTGGGATCTCTCTGTTTGTTGTCAGCTGCATTCACAAGGATTTCATCAAAGATTTTATAGAGACCAGGTACATACTTAATCTCTTTCTGAATCATCATTTCTTTTTCCTTATCATAAATCCACATGTTCTCTTGAACTGGCTCCACTGAGCCAATGTATGTATCAGGTCTGAGCAAAATATGCTCAAGTTGGGTCTTCTTCTGATACATACCCTCGATGGTCTTCTTTTTGGAGCCCCCATCACCACCGTTCTCCATTGTGATTGCTCTTATAAAATGCTTGCTAATCTGTCTGTATAAACAGAAGATCAGACAGTTAATAAGTTTCCTTTTTTTTCTCACATGCAACTGAATGAATATGTAATTATTATTGAAAATGGAGAATTTTCATGACTGACCGACAAGGGTATTTGGTGAACGTAAAACGAATGAAAATACCTCAACACAAAATTACGATAGCAAAAGACAGCTTCGTTGATCTGGCGGCAAATAATTTTCATCAACCTCGAAAAACCGAATTTTAATCTATTTCACGTCTTAATGAATTTTCGCTTAGGCTCATTAATTGTTGAAAACTAACGACCGTTAAATTGTATGCAGCGGCTTGTCCTTTAGTGGTCGAAAAAAACTGCGCGCGGTAAAGGACGCTTGTGTCAATGTCTACTCTAACCTCCTTCAGGGACGAACGTCTCTAGTCTATCGGAGTGAAGAGACTAACCTTGTAATTTAGTTAGGAAGATTGTCACGATGATAAGTGTCGTTTTTGTGGAAATAAGATTTCACAGCACGACAATTAGCACTTCCATTTGTTTTGTTATTAGCGTTTTTTTTTAATTAATGCGGCGACGAAGGAGAGTCCTCTCAAGAGTTGTATTTGTGAATGGCGTCCTGCCTGCTTGCTTCTCCTTCGTTAAAAAGCTATACAGCGCCACTCTCGAGTGCTTCCACTTGATGGATACGATACTGGCTGTGATGAGTTTTTGTATTTCTTGGAAATACTTACTACCTATTCAAAAAAAATTCAGTGACTAGTGGAGCAAAATTGTACATACAATGAAAGATTCGCGAGTCTACACGCAAGAATTCTCGGCCGAACGTTGCAAGTTCATCGACTTCGAAATCAAGTGGTTTTCGCGTTCACGGTGATGAAAATTTGAAATGGTAGCTTCCGATTGGTCGATACGGTTGATCATGAATTGTTCTGGTAGAGTCTGTTAAGTGCTGCCATCGCTCGGTTGCAAGAGAAGACGTAAGCAGCGCCTACGATTTAATAACCCGAGTCCTGAGCTCGATCAGAGGGGTAAGAGCTTATAGGATATGGACTAAGATCAAACAGCTTTTCTTCATCTTATGAGCTCCTTAAGCCTTGACTCCTACTTACTTCTACTCCTAAGTGTAGGCATGCAAAGGACGACGCTACCAACAACTATGCGCCAACCTCACACGGAAGATTCAAACCAAAGCTGCTATCTCTTCTTCTCTCCTTGGAATTAATGAAAACTATATATGATCATTAAAAATTAATTGAAAGTCACCTGGCACGCATGTGTAATTTTAATATATGGTATTCAAAAATATCTGGTTGATCGAATGCATTCAATCTCATTTATCAACGATAATGAAAACTGAGCTGAGAATTCAAAATCGAACTGCTCGACTATCTAATCTTGCATTAAAATAAACTTGACAACGAATAACGATAATTATCTATTGAAGCTCGCGACATATATTTTAAAGTTAAATAGTAATAATAAGAATATTATTATAAAGTGATGTAGGTTTATGCAATAATGGATATGTTTAGTAAATTTTAAAGTTAAAATTAATTTAATGATTATTAAATAAGTTATAGAAAGTAAAGTGTTCAACTGAACTACATATTTTTAAATATCGCAGCACACTGCCTAAATTAAAAATGCTTTCGTCGCCTTGCGACCTTCTCATTCAAGCACCAAAACTCAACTCTCTCTTTTTCTTGAACAGAGCTACCACCACCGATGCGAAAACAGCCCAACACAAATAACATTTTATAATTATTTGTTATTGTACCATTATATTTCTCATAAAAAATAAAAAATATCGTTATCGATAATTCACCTCCTATTTATTCACATAAAAGACATAATAAATTCACAGAAAAATTGTACCTTCTGTAGTCTAAATTGTACCATCAGTACAGTTCAATAAATTTGTTTCTAAAAGAAATAATAGGACAATTACAAAGCTCTACGCCTGCGCAAAGTGCATTTCCGGATGACATCCTTGTAAGTTGTAACAATTAATGGTAATTTGTAATTATCCTATCATTTCTTTTAGAAACAAATTTATAAAATTGTACTGATGGTACAATTTAGACTACAGAGGGTACAATTTTCCTGTGAATTTATTTTTGCTTAATTATGTCTTTTACGTGAATAAATAGGAGGTGAATTATCGATAACGATATTTTTTATTTTTTATGAGAAATATAATGGTACAATAACAAATAATTATTTTTTCGAGAAGTACAATTATACATACGTGAGATGTGATCATTTTTTTTATAAAATGTTATTTGTGTCGGGCTGTCTTCGCATCGGTAAAAAATCAGTCGGAATGAGGTTCCCTGTCTGTCCCAAACAAAGCTGCAATGATTATGCAAATGATTGATAAAGAAATACAGTTTCTAAAATTTAGGTAAAATGTTATTAGTAATCGACATGAATAAAATAACTTATCATTATAAATACCGAAAAATGCTTTTCTTACTTTATATTGTTTAATTTATATTATTGCACGTTGCAAGCGTTTGATACGTGAAGATTTTTAAATAAATGGTATGTAACAATATAAAACTAGTTGACTGAGAAAACCATATCAAATTCATTAATAATTCATATTTTACAATTAAATTGTAAAGTTAGTAAATTTGGTATGATTGATACGCAGTTATATAGCTGCCAAGTCTAAATGAAAAAGAAAAAGTTGCTTTTGAGTATTGTGAGTTATTGAGTAGGCTATTATCATTGAACGGTATCTGATACAAACATTTTGTACAATAAAATTTGTACAATTTCATTCAAATTCCTTTTATTTAAATGCAAGGGACTTGCCCGCGTTATAAGATATTCCCCACATCGGCCACCACCTGTCACGTACGTGTGTGTTTTGCTTTAACTGTCGTCTGTCATAAATGAATGAAAACAGCTGTATTCGTAATAATACAGTGTTTACTCCCGGTTTTTTAATTTTTCATACGCAGAAAATAAGGGACTGATCGATTGAGAGATTATGGCCATGTCATACGATGACGAGGAGTTTTGGAACAGTTCGGAAAAACGGGCTTTTTCCTTTGAAAGCAATGAGGTTAGTTTTACTTGTCTCTTAACATATAAATATTAATTCAATTTATGACATGAAAAAATTTACTTCAAATATTTTATGTGTTGGGCGTTATTGATAAACGTACAACAAATCAAATTGCTGTTATTTTGCAGACTGACAATTTGTTTGGAGTATCCAAAATTGGTACTGCTGAGCTGAGAGCTGGTATTTCCAATATTCATATTACAGATAGCAGTCTAAGATATGATGAACCAGAATCAACTACAAAGCCTCTTTTGTCAATAATATCAGATAATACACTGGCTAAAAGTAAGATACATATTTTCATTTGGTAATTTTTATTGCTATAACTAATTCATTAACAATTTTATTATAATTAACAGTATTTGTTTATATCCTTTAGTAATTGAAGCTGATAAGTTAAAATTCCAACAGGACAATTCAGGTAACATAAAACCAGAAGATACATTAAAGAAAATTTTGGTTGGTCAACCATACTCTTTTGAACAGTATAAGTCACTTGCCAGTAAAACTGCTCTACTTGATGCTGCTATCAAAAGTGGCAATGGAAATGCTATTTTGGGAGTGAGTTTTTGTACAGTTCTTTTACCAATGAACATGTTTGCCTTCATTAAATTTAATCATTTTTGTAAGCTATGTTCTAGATTACTCTATTTATTAAAAAGACGTTAAAAAGAAATCTAGTTCAGAAATTATTAATAGATCGGCCAGAAGCACTGTATACTTATATTCATTATTTATCAATTAGAATGTGCACAAGTGAAATTTGTGATTTACTTACGTAAGTTGATAATATAATGTTCACAATACCTACAACCATTAAATTTTTTAATTAGAATATTTATTATTCTGATCAGTGCAAAAGGAAGTACAACGGATGCCGCAGTAATATACTATACTTTTGTAGTAATTAATGCATTATACATGTGCATAATATTTGTCATTTATTTACAGATTAAATGCTTCAATGTGGTAGTGAAAAACATTAATAAATCAGAGGGAAATTTGGATTCATTACTATCTAAGATCACAAAAAACTACAATATGTTATTTTCCAACTTTCCAGATTGCAGAGAAGCTGCTTTTGTACAATCATATGTTAAGCTTTTAGGTATTTGATAAATCTTTACAATTATTGACACTTTTGATAGATTGCAACAATGATATTTTTTAATAATTGCTTATAGAATGGCAAAAAAATTCATCTAATAAATTTAGTGAACCTATACCCTTCAATGCTTCTACTTTGGAATCTTTGAGATTATCATGCAAAGATTACTGGAATGCACCAGAAACAAACAGTTTGTCTCCTCAGTCATTAGTTCAAAATCAAGATATTTTACAGCGGCAATACCAAAAAGTTGCAGTCTTGACTAGAGCATCTGTTCAAGCTTGGGATGATATTGATAGTATTCTTCATAAAAAAGTAATTCCAATTCTTGATCAATTGTGAATGTAAAAAGTTGTATACTATAGACTAATCACTTATAATTTGTAGAGCTTCTTTGGAGGAAAAAAATTACAAACAAATATGCCTATTGAGGAAGTATTAAAACTTTTACAAGATCACAGAGCTCCTTCGGGTGTCATTGAACAATTTTTAAGTTATGTTGATGGTACTAAACGATTAGAGATAGCAAAGAATCTTAAATGTCATAAAGTAGTTATTAATGTAAGAATGATTGTTACATGGGATTTATAAATTAGCATAAATTTTAAACCTTTTTTAAGTATTATAATTTACTTTTTAGATTTTAGCTGCCCAAGGAGATCGTTTCAAATTATTAGAATATAAAGCGAGTTTACCTCAAAATTTAGAAGAAAGTTCCTACGCTGACGGCGTTCTCAATAGTAAAAAGTTTAGGTGGAAAAACTAAAAAAGTATGTGCCGGAATGATATTTCTAAAACATTAAGTTACTGACTTTTATAAATTTCTATTTCTTAAGAAGATAATGTAATTTTCATAGTGACATTTATTTACATCTAATGCCTTGAATTTATATATTAATTTTTCTCGAACTCAATCACGAAGCTTTAGTTAGAAAAAGACATATTTTATACAGAATTTAAAAAATACAAATTTTATATTTATAAAATACTACAAAGTTCGATATCAATTGTGATTTACTGTAATTGGAAAAATTGTAAAAATATATATTTAATTTATAATAATTAAAGACGTATATTACAAATAAGTAATTATTTGTTATATAATAAAAAACTTTAAGTTGCAAAGTAAATCATTTGCGTTGTTTTTATACAGACTTGCTATGAGATCATGTATTATTAAAATAATACGAATGTTATTTTTAATTGTTTTCAATAACAATGCCATGGTATTGTATGAATCGAGTTACTTTTATTATTAAATACAAAGAATATGCCTAAAAAACTAAATGAGTTTATGATTTAATTATTTACTATCACTAGGCTCAGGTCAAAATTGCTTGTCAATAGACAGAGCCAAGAACAGCACAAAAATAAGATCAAGATTACAATCACTGAAATAATTAAATTCAATTCCTTGTGCTTTATAGTACAAGCGCAATGTAATAAAAATATAAAATATAATTAATATTGGATAACTTTGAGATATAAGAATTTGTAAAATACGTCAATTGTTTATCAAAATATTCGTAACCGTAATAAACATACATTACGGTATAAATACGGGAAAGTAGATTCTTGTCACGTATGGCGTTTACGCTCTTATGATAAAGCGAGGGTGGTAAGGCATACAAGACGAGAAACTCTTTTCCGAACATGTATCGTATCGTATTTTCCGATACGACGTGTGGAAAGTTCCGTTTTCCACGTAACTGACAAATTAAAATTTTTATTCGTATTTCAGTCGATTATTAACAATTTTTAATAGTGATCTCAGCTTAAGCTTCAGTTTTAGCTTTCATAATATTTATTTTATGTGTACGTATATTTTTTAACATTTTTTCCAGTTTGAACTCTACGTCATTAATTTCTGGTGGCCGTGTATAAGACGCAAACTTTTCGATAGTTCTTTTTTTCAGATTTCTGTGATAATATATATCTAATTTATCATAAATTCTAATTTTATTCCAATTTGCATATTGTGTTGTAATTTGTGAACTTTCTTAATAAATAACTTAATTTGAGTGTTTTATTAAATATTTTATGATATTCTACGCGTAAGTACATCAAAATTACTTATTTACATTATAAAGTTAATGAAAACTAAGTATACAAATAATTGTATGGGCAAGACACCAACTAATTAAAAGTAGTTGCACAATGATTGCTTCAACTATGAAAATCTTAGCTAAAATATGTGGAAAAATACTGGATATGAGGTATATAAAATTAAATGCGGATCATTTTCTATCTGTAAGTGGTTTGTAATATTACTTGATCAAATTCAAGTATTAAAATCCTTCATTATTTAAAACATAGCAAAACTAGGTAATTAGATAAAATGTTTGTACTAATTTTATTTAGAAATATTTATTAGAAAAAGCTTGAACGTTGTACAAAAATATAAATGTTGCTAATTTAAATTTCGTGAAAAATTTTAATAGTTATATAATAAACAACGCGAACATTGTACAAAGTCCATCATATTTAAGTTACAAATTGTATATAAAGTCCATCTGAAATATAATATGATATATGAATTTTTACTAACAATAAATCTTAAATGATCTAATCAATTTTAACTTTACAGCTTTGCTCATAAGACAAGTGTAGACGAATGTTAACAGCGAAAAAAATGAACTTATATATTACTATTAACGCTCAATCAGTGTTGTCGCAAAAATCCACATCCCGTCATAAACTCAAAAAAATAAACAACAAGTTGATCAACATTTCTAATACACGTGCGTGTGTGTAAGATCGCGACAACCCATCAAAACAACGATAATAAACTTGTGTGTCGGCTCAATGCGCAGGTGAGTTTTGAGGACTTGGAATCATATTAGCGGGCATCGGCGGCGGTGGGTACGGCAAGAAGTACGGTTGACCTGGGAAAGGTGGTGCAGGGTAACAACCTTCGGGAATACCGGCTGGAGCCGAGCTTGGCGGTGGACTTGGATAGATTGGCGGTGGCAAATGATATGGGACAAATTGCGGCGAGTAGATAGCTGGATACTGCGGTGGGAAAGCTTCTATTGGTGAGTAGAGTGGTGGTGGCCCTCCTGGTGGAACATCAGCTAATTCTTGGGGTGGTAGGTAAGGCATTGGAACGAAACTCGTTGGTGGTGCCGGATAAAAATGACCTGAAAGTCGATTTTTCTATCAAATATAATCAATTCGATTATATATTTTCCATTAGCAAAATAATACACGCACGTAGCTACGCTTATAAATGTTCAGCTGTACACTGTAAAAGTTTCAGACTCAAAAGTAACGCGTTGAGTAAAATAAAATGTTTAAACACCATTAAAAAGCACACCTTCATATCTACGATAATGCGAAATAAAAACTATTCTAAAGTCTTCCATACTCGTTATCGTGCTGTTTTCACATTTCTTTAAATAAATCAGCTGATAACTACAAACTACAATTCACTGACGCGTCAAATAATTTCCTCGCTCCGAAATAAAAAAAAAGAGAAAAAAATCATATCGCTCGCACGCGCTCACTCAATGTCCAAAGAAATGAAAAAATAACAGAACAAACCAGAAAAAGCTTCGGCATCGATGGGATAAGGTCCAATAGGTACGTAGGACACCTGCTGATTGTAGAGCGGATACGAATAATTCCCGTTGATTGGCGGCGGTGTCTGTGGCTGCTGCTGTTGCATGACACTCGTAGGTGGCGGCGGCGGTGGCTGCGAGTGCTGCTGCTGCTGCTGTTGCTGCTGCTGCTGCTGCTGCATCTGTTGGTTCGCTTCATTCATCTCGAGTGCGTTCTCAATTGGTGGCTGTTGCTGTGACTGCTGACGATTCTTGTTGTAGCGATAGTCGGGATTGTACTGGTACTGATGTTCGCCTCGGTTCCTGCCTGCGAAGTTGTGTAATCGCGTATGAGTATATATTTTGAATGAAACGAGGTTTTCCCGCGGGATAAGTAGCAACGCGGGAGGGAAGGAGCTTCAATGGTGGGGATAGAAGGGAACCCTCGCTGGTATTTGGAGAGCGTGAAGCAAAACGAAAAAGCGTTTACGTTGCTATTATTTGAATGAGCTGTGCGTGTCCAAAGTATCGTGATCAAAAGATGGCAGCCAACCTGGCGCAAATACCCTTAGCCGGTTTGTCGGCTGAGAGTAAACATTTAATTTCAACTTTGCTCAACCCACCAAAAGTCATCCCCACAAAGACTGGCTTGCTAAGGTTAGGTTAAGCTACACGAAACTTTCTTACTCTCTTCTCTTCTCTCTCTCTCTTTCTCTCTCTCTCTCTCTCTCTCTCTGCCTCGCAACGTCAATTGGATAATTTGCGTCTTTATTAGTTTATATTGAGTCAGTTAATGTCCACAGGGACTGGAGGGGACTGGCGCAATTGTGTTCCCTTGGAGGTGAGCTACTGCCTGCTATTGCTACTGATCCAGACCCTACAAATCATATACTCACTATCGTACAGAAGAGATCTGAAGTATTTACTCTACTTTCTTTGAAAAATGCTTTGGAAAAGATTGGGAGGTGGGATATCATTGATGATGCTCAATCATACTTAGGTATGCCATTAAACTCACATAAATTGCTACGTCAAAGTGTTTATGTAATAAGATAATTTTATCTTTCAGTCAGAGATGCAGAATCGTACTTGGAGAGATTGCAGAAATCGCAGAATCCTGCACAAGAGAATAACTTTAAGGTAGACAAAGATATATTAACTATAGGTAAATATATTTTTTGTTCTGAAATATCAATATAAGAATTTGGCTGAATAATGTTTTGATTTTTAGATGATTTATTCAGAGTACAAAGGGGAGAGCAAAGCCAACATTATGATGCTTTCCTCTTGTATGCAGATGAAAATACTGCCTTTGCTATGGAAATGGTTCAGCGTCTTGAGAACCAGAATAATATGAAACTTTGCCTTAAAGACAGAGATTTAGTTGCTGGAATATCATTTGAACACGAAGCTATTATAAGGCTAATATCAGAAAGATGTAATAGACTTATACTCATCCTTAGTCCAGCATTTTTTAAAAGTCCTGCCAACAAGTTTTTTGTTAATTTTGCACAAGCCAATAGTATAGGTAAGTGGAGGGATAAGTTGATGTTGTAATATCAAAATGTTTACTTAAGAAGAAATCTTTTCAAATGTGAATATTTTTTTAAGACAAACAGCAGGAGAGAAAAATTATACCATGTATATATGAAGATTGTGGTGAACTTCCACCTCAGTTAACATACTTTTCTAAGATTTACTACAATAAAATTTCATTGGACAATAAAGTTTCCACTGAATTTTTTTGGAAAAAACTAGTGGGCTCAATGATGGCCGTACCTCCTGGTGCAAATAACTCAAAAAATTTTACAACCAGAGGTATTAAAACTGAAAAATGTGAGGCCAAAAGGTCTACCTCACAAAATGGTATTAAACAAGTTGCGAATGAAGGAACAGTTACTGCAGATACAACCAATAAAACTGAGAGTGGGGAAAGATCGAGATTAATGAGACTGACAGGAAGTCGCACGTTTCCATTTATTAAGCAGGCAAGACAAGAATCTAATGCAGCTCTTCAGTCATCTACATCAGCTGAGTGTTCAATTAATGAGGAAGTAACATCAGATCTCCCTACAATTGAAGGAGTAGATTCACTGTCATCTACACCTGTCTCAGAAAATACAAACAATGAAAGTAAAAAGAAGAAAAAGTTTTTAAGGAAAATGCAAGCACTTCTTGCAAAATAAATACTATCTTACAGCGATAAAATAGTAGATTTAAGAAGAACATTTCTATGGTTAGACAAATTGAATAAGATTTGTAAATCGATATTTGTAAAATTAAGATATTTATTCAATGAATATAACGTTTTTACTGTTGCAATTTTGTAATCATATATGACTGTGACTGAGAAAAAGAACAAAAATTAGTTTTCAACAAACTAAGTAATTTCATAAATGTTTACAGTGAAAAGATAAAATATTCAGAAATGTCGAAGTGTTTCTTATCGTATAGACTGACTGTGATACTAATTTAAGAACTAATATCGTATCTAGAACACTATGTAACTTAATCAATTTTTATTGAAGTTAATAAAATGTATGGTAAATTTTTGTTTCTTACCATCATAATTTTTCTTGAATCGTGGAGCCATGTTGTTCTTATTTCCACGCTGCATATCTTTATTCTGCATATGCTGTTGTTGCTGTTGGTCATTGACAGTTGAATTCTTATGATCAACTCTATTCCTGTTAAAGTCGACGTTTTGAGATTGATACTGAGTTTGCTGATTCGATTGTCGATAGTTTGATTTTTGTCCATTTTGTCTTGGACCATTGTTGCCTTCTGATCGTGGAGTTGTGGAGCGGAAATTATGTCTTCCGTTATTATTATTATTATTATTATTATTATTATTGCTATTATTAGGAAGACTGGAATTGATATTCGACTGATTAGTGTTGCTAGTTTGGTTCAAGTGTTCAGTTGGTGGCATGGGACCTTTAATAAATTTTTTCATCTTTTAATTTTTATTCGATGACAATAAAATATTTCATTGAAAATAATCCCCACCATTAATCATGTTAGCGCCTACATTTACATCTGGTGGTGGCTGTGAGATATAGTATGGATTTTCACCAAATACTGAACCACTGCTACCAGGAGGAGCATAAGTATTGTGAGTCCAATAATACTACAAATTAAATGATTTGTTAACAACTTATATGTTGAAGTAATATTCACACTTTATAAATAAATTTTACACAGTCTACCTTGAGTCCCAAGTTATAGAAATGACGAACTGTAGCAGGATCTTGAAAAAAGTAATTCATAAAATATACCTCTGTCTACTAAACTTCCAAAATTTATGTATCAATTAATTTTACCTGAAATTGGCACTTCTCCATTTTCTGCTTCCACATTCTTTACCTCATAGTTAACATATTCAGTATTAGGAAAACGAGGACCAACAGAATAACCACCGTCTAAAATAAAAAATAATTTTTGAAATTCAAAACAAAAATATCTCGATAATAAGAGCATTCACGTTTTTTACTTTGATAAGGAGGATAAAATATCTCATTCTTTTCTGCTCTCTGATTGTGTTGTTTATTTGACTGGTTAATATCATGGTTGTAATTGTTTGGAAGTTGCTTCTTAAATTGATTGGTGTGTGCATCACCATTGACGACAGGAGGTTTGTTCTTTACTTGTTCACTGATTACACGCTCCGCAGTTTCTACAGATGTCATATGAGTATTCTCAAGAACAACTTTAACATTGTCACCAGCTACCTATAATTTATTACAATAAACATTATAGTTTGACTTATTTTCTTTTTTTTTTTTATTAAATTAGTGAATTTTTCTGTGCCTCACATTATATTCTTTGTTAGGTTGGTGAGGTGGGTAAGGTGGGTATGTTTCAGACTGTATTTTCACTTGTTGGTTTTCCAAACTGAAATATAAATCAATGCGTGTTATACAATGGAACGCGCATAGTGTGGTAATTACCAACGTTGATACTACCTTGTTTCTGGAATCCATTCAGATTTATTCATTGTATTTTTAGCAACTGGTTTATTTATTTGATTTCTATCCACATTGTTGTCAATTGGCATAATTTCTTTGACTTTACGAGTTTGATTATTGTAAGGTTTCTTCCATTTTGTATCTGGAATTAATTATTTTGTTGTAAATATTGAATCATTCAAGAAACAAATACATAACATTTTTAACAACTTACTTTGAGAAGACATATTTTTCTTATTTGGGGCAATAGGAAAAGGGTTTTGTCTAATTTTTTTCTGCATAGGATAAGCTTTGAGACATTTATATGGTACAGTCATTTTTTTTCCCAACTCCTCTATGAAAACGACAACTGGACCTTCATTTTTGCTCATTACTTGTATATGGCCAGTGTAAAAAGGAGGCTCCTTTTGTTTACCCTTGATTAGTGCCTTGTTGTTATCCCAATTTTCTTTACCAGTCAAAAAGTTGTTGTTAACTCTATCTTCTCTCGAGTCCAATTGTACCAAGCATTTAGATCCAGCTTGTAATTCATTAGAGTAGAATTTAGTATACCCTGAATTTCTTACCTCTAAAAATAAAAAAAAAGTTATGTACTTAGAACATTAATTTGGTAAAATTGAATTTATTTCTAACTAACCTTTCCTTATTTCATGCCAGATATCATAATCAACATTGCGATAAATATTAGGATCCAAAGCTTTTGCCACTCTATAAGGAAATGGTGTAATACCTTTAGCCAATAACTGGGTTTCTTCACTATCATTTTCATTATCTTCAAGTTTATGTATTAGCTCCATAGTCAATTGGCTAAAAGTAATGATCAAAAATACAATTAATAGAATACACATTATTCAGGATTTACCTCATTATTATTTTAACTGTATACGAACTTTCTAATATCCATATTTCCTTTCAAGAAAAACTTATCATGTCTCAAGTGATTTGTTCTTTCATGTAACATTTTATGAACAGTTATATCAACATTGGTCATTTTGAAGACATTTTTATACAGTGTTTGGTACACAAGAGCTGAAAAAAATTGAACTATAAAAACTGACAAATTTAGCTATTTTTTTTTTTGCAGAAATAAGCTTCAACGCACATTGACAAAATCCTGCATCTGACGTGTGTTCTTGAGTATAAACACTCTCATATTGTTTGGGAGGAGTGAAACAGAGATTTAGAGTATGTTGAAATCCATGATCAATGACAGTTTCCTTAGTCAACTTTTGTCCATGAAATATAACAATGTTTTTCTGATACAAGAGGGACATGGCTAAGATTTCATTCATACCACCCCACTCAGTAAAACAAGCCATTTGACCCAAGTAACTATCAAAGGGTGTGGATATTTTCTGTAAAAATACAAATGCATGAGCAAAATCATAAAATTACAGTAACATTTTATGTTAATTCAGATCTTACCTCCTCAAACATATGTCTGTTTTTCTTCATAAATTCAATGCATTCATTTCTTACAGTTATGTGATTCCTTTGGCTATGATACACTTGTTCACTGACTGCTCGAAAGAGACATGTAGGATCTTTTGGTGCATGTTTCCTGTAATATCCTTCGTTTTGCAGCCACTCATCAACAGGCTCTATTGCTCGCTTCGACGTTTTCCTCGAGGACAGCTCCATGAATCTTCTACAAGAAAAGAAAAGATAGAATTAGATGCATTTAAGCAGTGGAAAAAATTGTGCAGATCTTTAATATAAAATAAATTCATGATTTTTATTTTTTTCATACATTTTATTCTAAAACTTTGATATGTGGATAGGAAGAATTAGAAGAAATTGTACAGGTTTGAACATTATTATTTGTGGCTTTGAACCTATCTAATGAATTTCATTCTGTATCAGATTTTTATATCTTCGATTACAACAGTTTTTAGTCAAACTAATCACATCAAATATTAAAACACTATAAAAGATGTTTACAATGTTGGTGTATTGAGGCTACATTCGAAGTTGTGCAACCTGTTGACGTGGTACGAATCAAATAAATTTCTCCATATAATTCAACTGAAGCTTACAAACGATAAGTAAACTTACGGACGACTCGGCAACATCGCTAGGCAACTCTCGACGCTTTTCTTCTTAACGAAATATTAGAAAAAATCGATCGGGAATTGGCTAAGGTATTAGCAGACTTTCCGCATGATAACAACTCGAAACTAAACGATCGCAATAAATACTTTATGCACTCATAATCACGAAAACGCGTGGAGACTTGCGTGTGCAGTTCTGAGAGCAACAACAAATGCGAGAGCGAGAGACCACGCACTTCCACGAAAAAATCGTCATTGATTTGTTTCTTCTCTCCGCGCCGCGCGCACGTGTTTTTCTTCGGATGCACTTACCTCCTTATATTTCTTTATGCCAGGAATGATCGGGAAATCAGGTGGGAGAGAAGCGTAGAAGCGAGACGACGGCCAAACAGCGCACTGTGGAAGTTTTATTTAACAGTTGCGAGCACAAAGACGCTCTGAAATTCTCGCATACTAGTTCTGTCTCGCTTTGTTGCCGGCAAGTGTTAGACCAGCCTTGCAAGATGTAAACAAACTATCCGACGAAGTTTTCTTTGGGGGTCAAGTTACGAGGTTGAAACTTCTGTATATGTGTGTAATGCTACTAGAATGTATTGGTGTTTTAGTATTTTTGATAATGGTTGATCATTTAATTTGTCATAATGCACGAATGCATATATTCTTTTCAATGTTTTTTGCTTGGTTATTGCTATGTTGCATGGATATCGCAAACGCGGATTACATCTAAGTGGAAATGGCTAGTGTGGAGGTAAGATTAACTTGAAAATAATGTTTTCTTGGTATTTTTATTTTCAATTTAATTGCAAGACAAAATTATTTATTCAAAACTTAATAATGGTTAAATTATTTTGCTGAATGAAAAAATTTTCAATTGTTATATTTAATGCAATAATATTAGTGAAAATATTTCCAAATTGTAACAAAAAAAAACATGCAGTAAAATAACTTTTTTTAAATTTCATCATAATGTATAATAAATAGGCATATGGAGTTTTTTATTATTTATTATTTTGAAAAAAATATATTTACTGCAAAGCAAAGCAAAATGCAGTTGACCTGTAACATTATAAATTTTTAAACACACTACTGAAATGCAATTATTTAAATACATTAAGCGATCAAGAGTAATAGCAATTTATGCAAATAAATTATTAATAACACATTCAAATTAGTAACATTAGGAATTATGATAGGACATAATATGGAATAGTGTTCGTACAAATTAATGTTTATTTCATCATAATTATTTTATGAAGAATGCAAAGTGAACATTAAAAAAGTACAATAGCCTGATATATAAAATATTTTTTACACAAATATTTATACCGCTGCACCTTTTTTGAATTATTATGTAATCGCATGCTAAAGCGTAAATATATAAGGATACGAAATGTTTGGCCGCTGCCGTGAAAAATAAAGTTTTTCGCATCTATGAAACTGAAATCACGTTTGCCTTTTTTTCTTGTGTTGAGCACATCACGCATACAATAACTTGTCACATTTTCTTTTTTCCCGGTATCATAAAAACGTACAAATGGAATAGTTGAGGCCATTTTTTTTTATTTATTGTGTTGTTTATTGAAAATGGAAAAATGAGAGCTCATAATTTTAGTGACAGGTGAACGCATACGACGGTATGGCTTTGAAAACGCCTTTGGAACAGTCATTAATTATCAAGCGACACAATCGAGCGGCGTTTCTCACCTTTCCTAGGGTGGTTTCTTTTCTATTCAATTCTTTTTTTGGTTTTTTTTCGTTTTTATTTTTTTTCCCCATTACGATCAAAAAAAGAAAAGCACACGATATGCGAGCGATAGAGATTACATGAGATTACATTAATACGATTTCATGTTGTGTCGACAGCATCGACGTTTTTTCTCCATATGATATTGGTAATTGTAAAATTAATATATAAGAATATGAAAAAAATTGCAGTTTCACTGCATCACGAGTCTTCTCTTCGCCGAAGAGTTTCCTGCTTTTACGCAGATGTTTTCTCTGCGTCAATAGCTGAAACAGGAATAACATTGATTAGCATCTTGAAGTGAGATAAAAGTTAAGTGGTAGAGGTGTTAGACTGCTTACTTTCTTTGGTTGGCAAAGGATTCTTCTCGAGCGTTTCCGCGTGTTTCAGCTTGGCAGGATTGAAATTTTCAATTCCAGAGATTAGCTGTTGTTTGCCCTTCTCTTGTTGAATAGCTGAAATTAATAATAAATATCACGAAACAATTCGATCGCTATCTTTTCTGCTTTATAAAGTTCACTCATGAATTTGCAATGCTACTGTAGTTGCTTGGCTTTTCGAAAAATTCACCAAATACATACAAAAATAAAATAAATTAGCAAGAATTCTCGACAATTACCATCCTTGTCAGGAAGTGGATTTTTTTCCTGAGTCTGCGTGTGCTTCAGCCTCGAGGTGTCGAAATGCTCGATACCAGCGATTAAAGTCTGCTGATATTTCTCAGCTGCTACATCTACGAACGCACACAAATTCACAATATTAGTCTTCTTCGCGTCAACATCGAAAATGAAAGTAAAAAATTCAAGCGTACCTTCAGCAGACGGCAGAACGTTTTTCTCAGAAGTCTCGGCTTTCTTCATGCAGTTGTGATCGAAACCTTCGAGTTCGCTCTTGAGGTCCACGGCAACCTTAGGAAGGTTCTTGAGGGACGGGCTCACTGGATCGGACATCTTTGCTTAATTATTTATTTATTTATTATCCTTTATCGACTTCCTGCAATGACGGAGAACAGAGAAAACAGATTAGATTTTTCGCACAGACGATTAAATGCTCGATCGTTAAAGGTTCCCTTAATGAGAGGGCAACAACGTCAGCTGGACAATGGGAGTGGGAGGAGGGAACGTGCTCGCGATGCCGTGTCTCGGCCTTTTAATTGGACAGGAGAGATTTAAGAAAATGGCTTTGAAGGGGGAGAGGGGGGAGGGGACGTTGGTTCGCACGGCGGAATCGAAAGTCGCAGTTAGCGCTAATTCACTCTAAACTAGCTCAATGCCAGGCGGCAATAGAGCTGACGTCGCAAGACGCGCGCCCAAGGCGATATCGTACTTGCTTCATTATTTGTTTATTTATTTCTTTTTTTTTTTTTTTCTTTTTCGCCCGCGTTATCCGCCGAGTATCGTTGACGCGTCGTGATTTCACGACACTTCGAAATTGGTCAAGCCGCGATTTTCCGGCGCGAAGCTCGATCGATCGGCCGCCGTTTCCATCACGTTCGACCCGCGAATGCGCATTCGCGCGCGATGATCTCACCAGCGCGCGATCGAAAAAGCTCGACATCGGCAATTTTTCCATGCCGCAGCTCGCCGTGGCGTTCCGATCGAGCTGACTCATTCGTGAGACGCCGACACTCGCCTATTCCGATCGCTTAGAGCGTAAGTCGAGTCGACGAGCCAACGACGGATAACTGCATCAAGTTGGTGAAATTACGATCGAAGAGAGGCACGAAAGACATACTTATGTCGCCGAGACGCAGAGAGAAATAACCGGTGTGACCTCGCGTCGTCATCGCGGTCAATCGAGAGCCACCGAGTCGCTTGTAGAGCTACGCAGACGCGCGTCCGCAATCACTTTCGATTTTCGTTGCTGCGAAAAAAAATTGCGCGCGAACAAAGAGAAGTACCGTTGCGCTCTCCTTCGCCGCCTCCGCCAGCGAGATGCAACACACCCTAATCCCGTGCGATCACACTCTCTTTCTCCGCCTCTCTCTCTCTCTCTCTCTCTGCCCCCCTCCCCACCGCCGCGCCACGCGAAGAGTCGGTCGCGAGCCTTATAAGGACAACTGCGAGCAACACGGTCGCCTCGATCGACATCCAGATTTCGACGAGACTTCCGCGGCAACCGGTCGCCGGCGAGAAAGCTCGCCCCGACCGCTTCCGACGGCCCGTTTCGCCGATCAGACTTTCAGATGCACGCCGCGCGGCTAATTATCGACCAACGGCGCCGGCGAACCGAAGGACGAACAAAAACCGAGCCGTCCGTTAACGAGGGACGCGCTCGACGGCGAGAGAGCCACGGGGGGATCGGCGGACTTGTGGATACCGCGTTCCAGCTCCGTGCCGTGCAACGATCGAGCGTCCTCGCGCGAACGACAGACGCAATTGGCGAGATCGCCAGGAACCCACCCGCGGCCGACTGCCCCCCGCGCACCTCCGGCGGGGAGGACGCGTTCTCGACGCGCGCGTGCGCCCCGCGGCCAATTATGGTGCTAGCGGCTTTCCCGCCATGCACGCCACCGGGTGGTCGCGCTCGCGTTATCAACCGCGACATACGATGGAAAAGCGTGCCGAAGGCCGTTCCCGCTTTAGAAAGTTTCAGCTCCTTTGTTTTCGGATGCGCGATTTTATCTCTTCGCAGACAGCGTCGGCGAGCGACGTTTGTTTTTTCTTTCATTTTTTTGTTTCTGTTTTTTTTTTTTTGCGCGCGCGCGCGCGCGCACACACACACACACACACACACACACACACACACACACACACACACACACACACACACAGCAAATTTAGGACATCACGATCTCAGTCGTCGAGGCTTTCTCCTCTCGCTTTTCTCACGGCGCAGAGAAATCGCCGGCACGAGAAAATTTTTTTTTCGCTTTTTTTTCGAATTGCTGTTTTGCGAGCCGAGCATGAGTTGCCCTCTTCGTGCTTTAGCCTCCCGGTCGATAGAGAAAGATAAAAAGAAAGAAGGAGAAAGAAAGCTAGCAGCCCAATTGAATGACGGTGCGGGAGCAGGGGGTTGCATGTGCACAGACGGCTCGCATCGATCGGACGGTGTTTCACGGTCACGGACTGTCGCGTTCACCCCTCCCTCCCCCGCACGACGGGGGATGTTGGCACTTATTTGCCGAGAGATAGGTGCCCTGTTTCCTTCGACATCGCGTCGGCACAACTACACGTCGCTCTTCGCTCGCCGCCTCGGGCCGCGGTCGATTCACTAGTCGCCCGCGAGAGAGAGCGAGAGAGAGAGAGAGCTCCATTTAGCGCGCGTCCAAGCCGTCGGACTCGCTCGGGGAGGAGGTAAGTGCGCTCCGCAAGTCGCATGAATAATTCATGCGCCGACGCTCCAATTGAAAACGTCGTTAATCAAGCCTCGGAGAAGTAAATCAGTCGAGCGCGCGGCCGACCGAACCGGCTTCGGTAAATATCGGGATCGCCCGAAGGTCGCGGGCGCGACGCGACGAGAGCAACACGCGGCCCCTCGCGCGCGCAGCAACAGCTTCGCCTCGGCCGGTTCTTCGCGCGCGCGTGGAGACGCGTGTCCTTGTCTCGCGAGCTCCCGTCGCGTCTACCAATGGTCCTCCCTCGCGACGGAGACGCCAAGACGGCAAGATAACCAACGTACGTTCCTGCTCGTTTCAAGCACAAAATTCTGACGTTCGGCACGACTGACCACCGAGAAAAGTTATGGTATCGACGAAAATTGCGGGCAGCGTCATTCTTCTCCCATGCGTTCGTACGAAAGACAGACACAGCGCAGGGACAATACCACGCGCGTCAAAGCTAAACAAAAAAAGCTCTCTCTCTCTCTCTCTCGTTTCTATCTTGTCGTCGTTGTCGAGTGCAAAAAAATCACGCCTCGCACGCGTTGGCGTTCGAGTCGCATCCCACACAATGGTGCAAGGGGGCAAGTGGCTTTTGTGGGTCGTCGGCTGGGGGTTATTTTTCAAAGGCTTCGTCCCTCCTTTTTGTTTTAATTATGCGATAATTCGCGAATGGCCTTTGGTGCAACGAGGAAGGATTAAGTCGTGTTCTATCTCATTGTTCCCGCCAACGACAATAACGATGGGCCGCGTAAACTTTATCAATTTGACGTTGCAAGCGCGGCGGACGCCAAGTGCAAAGTAGGAAGATAGCAATTTATCCGACATCGCTCGCTTGAGAATGCGCGCTTATTACGGAAAAAAAAGAAAAAATAAATTAAACACGCACGCGCGCGTCAATTTTCTTATCAAAAGCGTCGAACCGTGCCACTTGGTAACCGCCAGTATCCTCCGTACGTGATTAAACACCACGCCCTTGCCGAAATTTCTCTCTTTCCTCCGTCTTCTGGATAGTGTCATTCGCTGAGTCACGCGGTCCCGGGTTATTTTAACAACTTACTCGTAGGTAGCTAATCTCAACGACTTGTGATATATTTTTAGTACGAGATAATGAAAATTTGCCAGCGAAAGAAAAAAAAAATACCTGACGCTTGCAGCTTTTGCGTACACGAGTTACTCACTGTCAACAGTAAATAAGCGACGCATTACGAAATCATTCGTTTGATCGAATGAATGAATCACGGACGATGGGTTTTATCCTCCTGCACGTGATCGCAAGGAATTCTGGAGACAAAGATGATTACGACAAACAGCGTACGCGCGAGCATCACTTCGGCTAACCGAAGAGTCAGCGAAAAATTTAAGTGCGGTGAACGGGCTTCGTGCAGAAATGCAATTGCCCGTACAAGGTGCGACATTTTCGTCGTTACCCGCCTCGTCCCGTTTGCAACGCGCACTTGACTGGTACGATCCACGTGCATACGCACACTCATTGCGAGCTATTTGCCAAATTTGTATTTAAAAACATTCCGATACGTATTGCGATGATGACCTTCGGACTAAAAATACGTTAAATGCGAATTGGAAAGAGAGAAATAAAAATATCAGCCTCGCTCATCGTCGATTCAGCTAGCGAACTTCCTTCGCCAATTCCTCGCAATTTTTCTCGCGTGCGTCACAATTTCTTTCTCGCGTACATCAGTTCCGGTTCCTTCACGTACACGCACACGTACGCTTTGCGTACATACGCGAGAGGTGAACCACCCCATGACACCTGCCTTTTCGACGGAGGCTCTTGCACGCACGCGGACATCTAATTTTCCTCTGAATCAATGAGACGCATGCTCTCCCTCGGTTGAAAAGAAGACAAACAGCCGTCGGATTCTATAGCTCAATTGATTAGCTTGGTATTACAAAAGTTTGGCTTCTGTGTGACTCGCGGGTCATACAGAAACCACATCGTGCTGGCGGCGATATGACGTTTTTTTTCCGTAAATTGTAAATTTTCGGATCGTCATGGCGAACAAATCAACCGATAAGATGAGGAAAGAGTACCAGCAAATAGTTTATTACTTGAAAATGTGTTTTATCGCCAGAATTACACACACGAACGCTAATGATGACATGCGTTAACGAGAACAAAAGCCTCGTCCCTTATCAAAGTAAGTCCCGCGCAGGAAATGCGCAAAAACACAATCGTTCACTCCGAGAGAGAAGAAAAAGCTAAAAAAAGCGCCTCGAGGCATTCCGCAGGACTCGATGTCGGGATGGGGGAGAGCTGTGTGATGGCAAAATGGCAGATCCTCTCTTCTACTGCTGCTGCTGCTACTGCTGCTGTACTTACGAGTGTACATCCTACGAATGCTCGAACAAAAAAAGAGAGAAACCGTTACTACACGCGTCAGCGGTTCACACGGAAATCCTCTAGGATATAAAAAAAGAAAAGATACAAGGAATTCGAAGAGCGGCCAATCCACACTTGCGGGTGGGCGTTGTTGCACGCCTATATATTGCCCTGTAGAGACCTTTCGCGCACAGACACACAGCACTCAATTTTTTCGATGCTCAAATTGCATCGCACGGAACAGCCAGCCAGACATCACGCACAAAGGAGAATTATCGTTGGCGAGATGTTGCTTTTTGTTTCTTACTTACCGGCAAAACGAGAACGGAAAACACGAGAGATCTTCAAAGGCGTAGCGTACGGCGTCGACTAAAGCCGGTAGCACCGAGAAAGCAGCAGCAGCAGTCGCCGCGCCATGCGAGCTCGCTTGTGTGAGTGTGCGTGCGTGCATGGTAGGGGAGTGGGAGAGAGAAAGTGCCGTATCCTTATACTGTGCGCGCGCGCGGCTGCGGTGGCGAGCCGGCCGGTAACTATAACGATCCGCGGTCGATGCACCTTGTCATTGAATCTTTTGTTGATAATTATGTTCACTCGGCAGTATTGACACGCTTGGCGCAATTTTTTTACGGCTATAATTGATTTTCAATTGTGTTGAGAAAAGTGCGATGGGCTTTTAATGGACAACGTCTATATGAGCGATTACATATTTGTGAATACGTTTGATAGAGAGCAATAATTAAAAAACAATTATTTATAACTTATAATTGAATGTTTGCAACTCTCCTAAAAATAAAGTACATTCTCTGCAACTATTAATCAATATGCTCGACTCAGTCAATGCGAAATTGAATCTGTTAAAAACTTTCCTGGAATCTTCCATAAAAAATTTTCGAAATGCATCAGACGCCGTGTCACGAAAAAAAAAAACAATATAAATAAAATAGGCAAAACACGAATAGTCCATCAGCACGACCATGGGTTTGAATTCATTGCTGTATTACTAACGCGCGCATTACCCATCGGCACAAGAGAAACGTCGTGAAGCGCGTGAGCAAATACGTGTACATTGCCTGTTTGACGGAGAGGGACTCTCGCGCGTGCGTATGTGTGTGTGGAGCTGACTCACCCGATGTCTTTAATAATATATACAATCTCTCGTTTTTTTCTCATCACTCGAGTTATTAGTATTTTTGCTTTGCTAAAAAAAAATTTTTTTCCATGATCACGTTAAATATACGCTATCATGGACACAGAAAGTCAAAGTTTATCCTCGAAAATTTATCACTTTTACACTGCAATGTATCGAAGACGTATGCATGAGTCATTTATGTTGAAGAACTCTGAATCATGAATTTTTCTACGTTGCGTTCTCTCATTATTGGAAGAAGATACGTATCGTGTGTGATTCAGCTGACGATATTTTATGGATGATACCAATTGTTTCTCTTATAATTATTCTTTATAATTAGATTACAATCTGGCATAGTTGAAGATAAATGAATGATATAATAAACGGTTAATTTTTTGCGGATCACATTTTGAGTAATAAACATCAAATTGACCGATATTTGTAATTATTTACATTATCCGAATTTGCTACAAAATTTTGAGCGCATGTTTTTACCCATCATGCGCTCACACAAACACAATTTACACGTTCTAAATCATAATAATGAATTACAGTAGTTTTGTGTTTGCAATAGGTCTTTAGAGTCAAAAATTACTAACACGCAAATAAGTTGAACAATTTCGAATACAATGAAGTCTGGTAGAGTAAAATCAATGTAGGTCATAGGAAACAATCATTTTACTTATTGAGCTGGCGAAGATGAGTTAAATGTTGAAACACGTGAGCTAAAGTTGAGACAACTAGAAAAGCTTACTGGCTAAGCTACTGCCGTTTTACCCGAAACGCTCTTGAGTCTTAATAGTCGGGGAGCCGGGTATGATTTCGCATGCAATCCATAATTAGATTTTTCGAAAAATACGTAGAAATCTTATTCAAGTGTAGTTGTGTAAATAAATTATGAAAAAGACCCTCAAAATGGAAAAATTTTGTTTAGAAAATGGATTTTTAATGAGCTATTTGAAGACGAAAATATCTCTTGTAATTTTTCCGTAAACTCTATATTTCCAATGTTGTAAATTTTCCAAGTTAAATTGTCCTATTTTTTACTCAGTTTCAGTGTTAATAGTTTTTGATCTATTCAATATTTTCAAAAATCGGGAAGTTCAAAGAGATGGTTATTGATTTAGGCTCCTTGCTTGAATAGAACTATAACCTTATCGACATTCCCATGAATTAAAGCACAATTCAATAAGTCCAAACTCTTGTTATTTAAAGCACTTACGTGGTATTTTTCAATATAAAGTTTTATAAATATATACGAATGCAGAATCACGGAATGAATGTTATAAATAAACTTCAATTCCGAATAGAAATTTACGTGCATAAATTTCAGGCATATTCTTAAATTATATCATATACTATAAACATATTTTGCTGGTCACAACAAATTCAAGTTTCAGACAGATGTGTATAATCATTTAGCCATTTGGTTTTGATTAGCTGCTTTATACTACTTTATAAATATATTTATTGCGACCTAAGTCGACACAATTTTTATTTGCAATCGAATTTTGTGTTATTTTAAAAATTATTTGCTGAAAATATCATATAACGCATATATAAATCTGTACTAACATTCTTATTCTTAGTGATGCGAGTTGAAATCAACGTCAAAGAAATTGTCATATTCTCTGGAACTAAGTTGATCATTTTACTTTATGCGCGGAGATAACTGATCGAAATTGACAATTATATGAACATTCAATTCCTACACGCTCATGATACTATTTACTGACATTCTGCTTTATGACTCTGAATTGAGCATAGTGCTTGAGAAATAAAATAGTACTACTAATTTATGCGGAAAAGTATACTTGATTTCTCATGCACTTTTTCATCTACGTTTCTTCTATTATTTAATCAATGCAACTGGTTAAATAATAGTTCATAATTACGTCGCTTGGAATAAATAGATGGAAATGACATTGCAATAAATTTTTGTTTTATAGATTTTTTGAACCTAAAGCGAAAAAAAAAAAAGAGTAAAAAAACGCAAATGTAAAACCTCTAGATGATGCAAGAGAGCAAATAAAAATAATAGGAAACGCGAGAAAAAGAAAAACTATCAAATTTGAATGATAAAACCAGAATGGTACTTAAGAAATAAATAAATGGTAATGTTTCTTTTCAGAGAACGAATATATTATAAATTATTTTTCAACTGATATTCTGCACGTAAAGGCAATAAAATTATGCAATTTCGGCAGATGATTAATGTAAAAACTGTTCACAATAACTTTTAATTAGGCAGTTTTCATTAGCAGCTACCATTGAAAAAAAAGCATATAATCTTTCAGAGGCTAGTTATTACTAAACGAGTATCTAAAATATGACCATTGAAACAAAGATTATTAGTTACTGTCAGAGTTCTGAACAAACAAGTTGCTTACAACATATGATAAATTAAAAAAAATTCAATAATTCAATCCTTTATTATTTTATTAATCAAATATGTGCCAATTTTGTGTTACTTCATACTGTAAAGTAACGTATTAATAAAATATTCAAAAGGAAAATTAATTTATGGTCATAAAATTTGCAATACAATGAAATAAAATTCGAAATACATGGTAGTCTACAATTTGAGAATCTTTATTTTTGCCATTCTTGACAGTAAGACTTAGGACTATGTTTAATACACATCACATATTAATATTTCCTAAAGTACTGCAAATGGGGATATATACAAAAATCCTGGAAAACTCATACCACAAAGCGGATGGTGGTAACCTCAAAAATTTCTAATTAAAAATTATCTCAAATGTAGCTTACCAATCTATCTTCTACAGTAACTTTGCAATTATTTTTCATGTACATCATAGTTAACTCTATCGCAAAAAAAAAAAAGAAATGAATGATGTGATGTACTTTAAACAAATAAGTGATTCAGGAATCGTCACAATAACGTAATAGGCGGTATGTATCGTTTAAACATTAGAAATTATCCTTCAGCTATTATTTTCATACATTTGGTTTTGATATCTTTGAAACCAAAGGTACCGTAGATAGACGTATAGTAATCTACTGTAATTTTAACAGCTCACGAGAGTCAATCAACTGTACAGCACGTTTAATAATTGAAGTTTAAGAAATGTCAACGAAAAATGATCAAATTAATGAATATTTAATAAATCTTTCTTAGGGATATTATAATTTAATGTCAGACTATTCGATACACAATAAACAAACAGTGGACGTAAAAGAATGCGTTTTTACGCAATGGAAACTATCCCTAAGCAGTGATTCTATATGAAGATATCTTAGAACAAATTGTTAATAAAATGTAAAAATTGAAATTGAGGACGCGAGGTTAAGATCGGTTGAGTTTTTGATCAATAGTATAAAAAAGAAGAAAAGAAAAAAAAAGGATCAATGAATCTGGGGCTAGCTAATCAACGCTAGCTTTTCAATCGTCTTTTTTCTCTGGTGATTTATCACCATTCACGGGGGATGCAGATCGGCTGCGACTCTTGCTGTGTTTACTGCCGGATGGTGATCGGGAACGATCACGTTCGCGACTCTCACGAGACCTTTCCCTGTTGAAAAAAAAGTAATTTGCGTTAATTATTTTACGATTGGGCGTTGTTGTAATTTACGAGGAAAAAAACTTACTTTGATGGAGACTTGGCCTTAGATTTTGACTGGGATCTGGACTTGGATCTATCATTCTTGGATCGTGAGCGAGACCTCGACTTGCTCTTTGACTTGGACTTTGACTTTGAACGATCACGGGACCTGTAAGAACATATTTTCGTTAGTAAATTATAATTGGGACTATGCTTGCGAAATAGTCTTATGCAATTTGTTGCAACTAATAAAGCGCAAGCAATCTACTAATACAAATAACCGAAGAGTGCAGAATAAGAAGAAACCAATCAAAAGCAAATAAAAAAGTAGGACGAGGTACTCACTTGGACTTGGAACGTGAGCGACTGCGCTCAGGAGATTTGGACTTGGACTTTGATTTGGATTTCGTGTGTGCCCTCGACTTCGAGCGGCTGCTGCGACGACTACGACTGCGAGAGCTGCGTCGGCTCCTAATCCGTGTAAACAAAATCAAAATTTCGTTTTCTTTTCGATTTTATTATTATTATTGTTAAACTCGTGCCGATTACGAGGTAAATTCAAATAATTTTCTTCGTTCGCGGTTATACCGAAAATAAAAATAAAAATTTCATTCAAAAGTAATGATTCCGGCAAACGAATCTCTTTGAATTTACCAGATAATCATAGCTCCGCGAGTTGTTCAAATAATTTTAAGAATATTTGCCACGACGATTGCAACCGCTCAATAAAAGTATATAACAAAATTTCGTTTTTCCCCTACTTCGGATTGTTCGTGGAAAGGTAAAGGATTTGTGAGTGATAATAGTAAACAGAAATAGAATTATATGCTTTAGTAATATAAAAAAGTAATTAGATCAGTCAAATAGTAAAAGTGAACTAGTAATTATTTATCAGGAATAAAAGTAAAGTAATAAAAAAAATCAAAAATTACACCAACATTTGAATATTTACATTCAGAGCAACTAACTTTTACCAAGCGGCAGCACGTGCGAACAAGATTGTCTAAATAAAATTAAAAAGGGGAAGATCCAGAAACAACATAATTAGAATAACCTAAAGGTAAAAGCACCAACAAGGTAACTAAAATTTGGTGCCTAAGGGTAGGAAGTAAAGAGGGAGGGTGTACCTTGAACGAGAGCGACTACGACGACGAGAGCGGGACCTTGATCTTGAACGAGATCTTGAGCTTGAAGAACGTGAGCGACGACGGCTACGTTTATCCTCGACCAAGCGAATGCGACGGCCATTCAATTCAGTATCATCCAATTTCTCGATAGCTTTCTGCATGTCAGAGTATGTCGCAAATTCGACAACACTAAAAATAAGAAAATATGTTATTTTTAACATGAATATTATTAAACAATATTTTTGAACTTATAAAACATTGTAGATGCTTACCCTTCATTCCTACGTTGTTTATGAGCATCAGCATAAGTGACCTCTCCAGCTTGTCTCATATAATCTTTCAGATCCTGAATACGATAAAAGAAGGTTAATAACATTTATTGGAAAATTAAACAGAAGTAACATTAATATTAATAAATAACGAACTTTGTTTCTAATGCGGACATCAAAAGAGGTTAATATTATACTGTGCACTTATAAATTAATGATCGCGATATTCTAACTTAAGAATAAGAAAATAAACTATTCCTAGACTTTTATGTGCTCGAATTTAGTATCAACAGTTACAACCTTTCTAATTATGCAGAATCTATAACCTTTCACAATTAAAATTTTACAATTTTTTGTTCACAGCTGTCCTGCAGAAAAAGTATGAGTAAAAAAAAAACATTTTCTTCATCTACGTGTTTCTGCAAAACAGCTTTACAATTTCATTAGTGTAGATGAGTGTAAAATTTAATATGGATGAATTTACAGTTTTCAAAAAGAAATGAAATTATACTAATGAAGTTACCATATACAAATTGGATGTATGTTGTGAAACTAATTTGATTTTATTCAATAATATTATTATCAAATGTTGGTATTCTCATATATATAATTATAAATTGAAATTGTATGATAAAATGTCCAATTAAATAGACTAAAAAAAATTCAACTAATCCCTATGTTAAACTGATTGAAAGCTTATTTTTAGAGTAGATCTTGATAGTTTCGTTTCTTCTTAGACACAGAACTGTAGTTGCCAGTCATTCTAGTATATCTATTTTGTGGGAACCAGGTGGCCAGTTTGCATTTTGTTTTAGGTGAAGTTGATTGGAAGGAAGATATTCTTGATGAACCCAAAAATCCATAAAATAATATACCAAGATGCCTTGTGTGAATCCGCTTTTCTATTTACTTAATTCTAAGAAATATTAACTTCTTTTGTATTCATTTTGCATTAAGAAAAGTTGAAACTTAAACTTTATTAGAATATTTTGATAGTATACAAATACAGTTTATTAAAGATTATAAAAAGATTCCTAATTTCGAGCACAATGACATCCTAATCAATTCACACGAAGCTTAACTTTGGAATACTTGATAAAATAAGACTGAATAAGATTCTGATGAGGCTCTACATTGCATGTGCACAGAGAGATAAGCTATTATTTAATTTAGTACCATATTGTAAAGTATAAAAAAAGTCATATTAAATCCTGAATCATCAAACACTGACTGTAAAAGTCTTCGAACACAAATAAAATGAAAAAATTCATATACATATGAAAAAAGCCTCTTTGCATATCAATGTGAGTTTAAGACCTGAATTTATCGACAAGTTCAAGAAAAAAAAAGAGTATCATTTACAAACTTGTACAGAGACATAATAATTGCAGAATGCAAATAATTTCGACTGTAACGATAAAAAAAGATACAATGAATGGTAAACATAATTCTAAGAAAAGAGATATACACTCGGTTAAGGTGATCGGCAAATTTACCTTCGGCCCAGGCACCACCTTGCTTACGGACTGAGAGGCTGGGCGCCAACGGAGGTACACTGACTCGTTACACCCCGAGAGATTGATTGAATGAGACCGACAGATACTTGAGTGTGACAGACAGTGAGCTTCTCTCGTCAGAGTTTTTGCGTGAACGTGCCTGCCCCTCTCACAATTTTGCCCCATCTCTCACTTTCGTATTGTCATGGGTAGGAAGAGGAATCGCTCTCTCTCATTTTTTTTTGCGCAACCCTCGACTTTTCTTTCCCTCTTTGACTGTGTGAGTGCGAGTCTCTCTCGAGTGGTAGAGAATGAGCCACTGGCCAACCCAGAATCAAGACACTTGGAGCGCCTCACACGGTCGTCTCTCGTGTGCAGTAACCACCAGAGCGCTGTGGCAACTCGTCGAGAGGTAGATGGGTTGTGGGTGGTTGTCGGGTTGCAGTCACAGTGGGCCATTTCTTTTATACCAGTCTTTTCTTTTTTAAATTCTCTTTCAAAGTGTATTGCTGTTTTTGACATGTTTCTTGGCGTACAATGCGTCTGTGTGTCAGTTTATGTTGTTTTGAGTATGTTAATCAGACAACAGAAAAGCTGTTGGTTCAATCAGTAATTGTCAGTAGATGTGACAGTCAGGCGTAAATTAAATTGCTGTATTAATGTTACATGGAAATGATGAAATGTTTCAATTTTGAAATGTACACAAATATGTGTTGAATTTATAAAAAAATTTTTTTTTGTAATTTAAAGTTCAATCTTATGATCAATTTTGTTTCGACTTGAGTAATTCAGTAATGTTTATTATTGAAATATCAAATTTAATTAATGCAGTTTACTTTGAAATTGTTATTGAATTTATATGTTAAAAATAAAAGAAAAATTAGTTTCAATGAAATTTCATGCTTCTCTGAAATTGAACTTTTAGAAAATGTAAATATAATTCTAGTTAATTTTCTCTAATGGTCAATGAAATTTTTAAATGTTAGTTAGCTAATGACAAAGTAAAAAAAAATATAAGTAACAAAGTGATCAAAGTAAATGAATAGAGAAAAAAAAACAAAAAAGGACAAAGTAAAAAAAAGTAGTACACTTTGAAGAAAAAAAAAATTTTTTCTCAGTTGACATGATGTTAAAAAAAAAAAAGAAAAGGTGGTGTTGGTCGAGCAATGGTGCCAAATCAGTGGAAAGTCCAGTTGCAAAAGGTTGCCTCTCATTTTCTCTCGCTGGAGCGCACAAAAGCCCGCTGCCTGACAGAAATGACCCTCAGAGTGACAATATTGCGGAGGAAGTATCACACACACGCGCAGTTGTGGCAGATTGTGGTAGCGAAGGAGATGGTTTGCGAGTGAGACACACCATTGTGGACAGTCGTAGTAGAGCGTGTGTGTTGCACCACCATTGGGGGGTAGTTGAGAGGAAGGACTCTCTCGGACACATTTATCGGTTTTATATTTATCGTTTTCTCGCTTTCTCTGCCGGTTTTCTCTCTCTCAAGGCCCAGTGTGTGTGTGAGAATCGCACTTATTTCTCTCTCTTTTTCTCTCATCATCGTGTGTGTCTGATCAATTCTCTCTTATTCGGCCCTAATTGGTCCCTCATCACCGAACCTCCACGGCGAAGAGGGCATGGTTCTTCGAAAAGAACATCAATCGTATTTTTATCCATTCTTTTTTGGTTTGTTGTTTTTATAGATAATGTTCGCTCTCACAATAAATTAATTTTGCTTGCCAGAGATGTTAACGTACGAATTAAATTATATGCAAAAATTTCGACTTCTGTATGGAAACGACTGTAACAATGTAAATTGATCAAGTAAGACTTGGTTATTCGAGCATTTTCCCTAATCCATTCTGATAAATTCTCTGTATCATCCATCCTCTGTCTTCCTCAACAATCTTCAAAAATGATGTGCAATTCCTTCTTCCTGGTTCCCATACGCAAACATGGCATAAAAAATCTGGTTCCCAACTCTTGTAGATTTATTATTTGGATTTTCACAGACTGGCTCTATCTACTTCCTCAAAGTTCGATTCCATAGACTTACTTGATCAAAAAGTACATTTTCAGCAACAAAAGTGCAGCGAGTTGAAAAGTCTCTTCAGTCATACACGAATAAAAAAATGTAATAAAATTATGGTTTCTTAATACTCGAGACTGTTATGAGACTATTACGAAACCTCAAAAAACGAGCAAGTAAACAATAAAAATGTAACCGAGCAATTTCGTCGAAAGTGAGCGATATAACACGCAAGCAAATTACGCAAATAATTGATAAAATAAGAGTTTCTACAAGGAAAACTTACCTGCCAGCTGACACGGCTCGACAAATTTTCTACGGTCAAACGGTACTCTGTCCTGGTTGGTGGTCCATATCTATAAAGTTCAATTGTATGATTAGACTTTATACGATTTTATGTTACAAGATGATAATGACTGAAGTGATTCTTGCATAACTATTATAAAAACTGAACTTATAATTTCCAGCGTAATGGGCAAGAATTACCTTAATAAAAAGGGTAAAAATTAAATAGGTTTGTCTTGGATTGGACTATAAAGGTAAGCTATGTTGAAAAAAAAAAGGATAGATGATGTGAGAATCTATGCGCAAATCAAAACATAAGTGGCAGAATGAAATTGACTGGAGCTTGAAGGAGAATAGAAGACATTTTTATATAACAAAACTGATTTATATGTACCTGGGCAATGATTGCTTGTAGCTAGATGAGGTCCTTGAGTTTCTGTTCACACTATCTCTGCAAAAAGGGATGTCATGTGAACAGAAATTATAGTAGAAAAAATAATAATAAAAAAAATGAAAACAAAATCTAAGCAACTACGTGAAATAAGAGTGGTAACAGTCGAATGAGAAGAAAAAGGAGAAATTAAAAAAATATGAGTGAAAAGAGCATTCATTGCACAGGCACAGAAACGATCACCTGTTGCAATTGAATTAAAAAAAAAAAGAAAGAAAAAGAAAGAAAAAAAAAAAAAAAAAAAAAAAAAGAATGTGTCTATGTCACAATGCAGCATAGCGTACCTTTCGTGTCTCATATCGTCTCGGCTGTAACAGACACAAACATCACACATACTGTTAGTTTGCTTGACAGACGTACGTGGTAATAGTTGGATATATCATTTCCGTTCTTTTTTGCCAATATTATTATTTATTGAAAAGAATGATCGTTAGTAATTAGATTTAATATCGAACGTGTTTTATTTCTAAAACTTGCCAAATCCAAGACAACCAACTTCGAAAATTTGAAAAAATTTCTTCTTAGTAACTTGTTCATAACTTACTTCTTGAACTTGCTTACAAAAAAATTGAACATTTAATAGAAAAACAAAGATAAGAAAAAAATAAAATAAAATAAAAAAAAAAATGAAGAGTAGCCCACGAACGCGGCGCGCACCGTTAACAAAAGAAAAGAATGAGAAAATAGAAAAAAAAAAACTTTTCTCTGTAAAATGCTGAATGGGGGTAGTTTTGAGTGAAAAAAAGAAGAAAAACAAAAAAAATGTTGGGTGAGCTTTGGTCTTACGCTGATCGCCTCGAGTCGCCGTAACCACCACGGGAGTCACCGTAACGCCACTGGTCACTACCCCTAGGGGTGCCCCTTGCCCTCTCGACGGTTATTCTGTAACAGGTGGGAAAAAACGGGGAATAGAGTGAAAGGTAAATTCATGCTTACTTGTCTCTCCAGGAGCGTGAGCGCCCGTAGCCACGGTCGCCGCGCCTCCCTGAATTACCACCCCGCGCTAACTCCACCACCACTCTGAAACACACCCAACAAAAACACCCCGATCTAAGTCAATAACCGATCAAACTAGCAACAAAACAATTCCTCGAACTCTGCCCATCATCTCGTCTCGACAAACGCGCTGAACCTTCTTTAATTTGCTTTTCTTTCATTTTTCCTTTTTTTTCTCGCTCTCTGATTCACTTTACTGAGCTAGAATTGATTTGAACATCTCAAGGCTCCTTTGAAATGTAATTTACAACCAGTCCTAGGAAACGACCATTAATTTATTATGAACTTTGCTACCGTTACATATGCATTTCTATATTTGCCTTTCGTTCTATCAGCTAATCTTTACTCCATTATCAATCGTACCCATATTACAAAAATATAGACACGATTGAAAAAGACAAATATTAAAATCGACGCAACGCGAGTTTTGTATTTAATAAAAGAATCAAAATTATTTAACTGATCTGTCGGTAATTTAATTGTGAGGTGTGTTAAAAAATGTTCATTTAAATAGTTCATACATAACTCCCAGAGGGGTAATTGATGGAAGTAGTTCAAAATGGCGGTAAGTCACACTGCACTGGTCCTAAAGATTCATTGTTCTTCTGGATCTTTACAAAATTTCTTTAAGACAATGCATTTTTCCATGAAAATTTAACAATTTTCTTGGGGTTTTTGGGGTACGTTAAGAAATTTGTTATGTATTTAATAAATATCTAATAAATTATAAAAACAATAAAAAAATATTACCATTTTATACTACTTAACTACTTTAACATAGGATTGTTATATACTTATAAAGAAAACTCCACATTAACCAGTAAATCCTTCATGCATTAAAAAATGTTTTACTCATTGTTATTATGACATGAAAAATCAAAAGAGCTTAATAGATAAAAGAAAGTTATAAATATGGTTGAAAAAATAAAGAAGCACACTTTCTATATCTGAATAAATATTTATAGGCAAAAAAATTATATCTGGAAAAAACATCATCACAGCATAAATTGGTAGCACTGGTTGGTTCTTATATAATGATAAAAGAAATGTTTTAAAATGAAAAGTAACTTTAGCTTAATTTGATTGAATGAAGTAGCACAATATTTAAATCATGCATAAATGTTAATTTAATTTCGATTTAGTTGAAGAGTTGAAATCAATATGGTTGTGCCTTGACACAGATATGAAATAGATGTGCTATAAAATATTCAACAAAGTAATAATTGGTGAACTATCATAATAATTCAATATGAGAAAAAAGTTAGTCTATAAAACTTTCATTCATGAATTTCTATATACTCAAATAAAATTAATGATACATTAATTATATGGAGAACCAAATTTACAAAACACTGAAAAGTACTTTGAATGAGCATAATGAAAGTACATTAGGCTATAGACAAATGTACATGAAATCACAACTGTTCAATGTTTAGATCAATATATAACATTTAATCTAGAGTAACTGACTTTAAACAAATAGATTTATAGTTTATCTATACAGCATGCTAATAAAAATTATCCCAATTACCAAAGAGTAAAAGAAGATAGTCTGATAAATCTTACCTTTCTCCAAGGAGCTCCTTTCCATTGAGCTCATAGACTGCATCATCGGCATCCCTGTAGTCGTCGAACTCCTGTGGGAGAAACAAAAATCATGCATAAATATTACCATATCCTAGTAATATTTTTATTTACAATTTATAAAAATGTTTCTATATAATTAGATTCGTCATTAAAAAAACTTAAATTTACAAAAATATTATAGATAAATTTCTGCCTGATTTGAATTTTATAGTTAGTTTATCTGTCAATTTAAACTAACAAAATCAAATTAGGCAACTAAAATTAAAGCATGAAAAAAATTTTATGGCATGTCCATTTGACATGAAGATTGATTGGATTTTACAAAAAGGCATAATTTTTGCCTGGTCACTTAGTTCTTGTTAAAAAATATGATTTTCGAATTTTAATAATGCTTCAATTATTTCCTTATAACAAAAAATAATTAATAGTTATACATTTCAATAATTCAATTATAGGGTTAAGGATGTAGAGGTAGGTTACAAAAATATATAAAAATATATACACATAAAAAATAAAGTTCTTCAATAAGGAAACAAAAAAATATAATAAAAAAACCGTCTACTAATAAAAGAGCGATATAGTCAGCGATAACAGTTGCGGTTATCAGTGTCTCCCTCTCCATTTCTCCTCCTTCTCCGAAAAAAATAAGTAAATGAGGAGACAGGCAGACTCGACGATGCCTTTTTTGTCCTGCGTGCGTGTCGGAGTAATTATACTTACGACAAAGCCGTAGCCATTCTTGATGAGGACATCACGGAAACGTCCGTAGCCTCTGAAAAATCTCTCGAGATCTCTTTCCCTGGTGCCGTATGGAAGCCCACCGACATAGACCCTTGTCCCTACCATACTGTAAACACAAGAAACAAAAAAGACGAAGATGAATGACATGGCGTTCGCCGACTTACCACAAAGGCATATCCGTTCTTCATGGATATCTCTCGTATTCTACCAACTTTCCGGAAGAACTTCTCGAGGTCGCGCTCTTGCACCCGGTAAGTTAGACCGCCAACGAATACTCGGGTGCTCATTCTTTATGGACAAATTAAAACAGAACAAAACATATGACATTTAAACAACAGGATTCCTTAGAATTCCTGCGGCGGTAGCGCGATCGATTCTTCCGTAGCAGTCGATATTTTATCAACAAATATCCAACAATTTTTTATTATATGTATGTATCATTAATCAACACAGCAACAACAACAAAACAGTCGTCTAGCTAAAAGTTAGTTAACACGCTTGTCGGCACCGACACAGCTTTCCGCGTTCATCGGATCTGTAGCTTTCTCGCTCTCGTTTATATACGTATAACGGTGCCGTATCCCACGCGCGTCGCTCCAAATGGGGCCGCCGTCCCTCCCTCTTTCTCCCGCTCCCCTTCGAAAAGGTCTTGCCGCCACGCGCACAGAGATGCCGGCAAATGGCCGCCGCCGCGCGTCTCTCCAATGTGAAACCTCGTGTTTTATCATATAAAAAACTCACGTAACCTATTGCACACACGTTTCTAAGTAAATTTCCGTTTATCATAATAAACGCAATATCAGTTCGAATTGGGTAATATGCTTACAAGGATATCGCGCGCGGCATTATCTGAAATTTTCTAGCATGGCTTCACAAAATGACGCGGCAAAAATAGATTAGGGGAAAACTGTTTACGCGAACCTATTTCTTACGGAGCCACACACGGATACAAAATACGCACACACATACTTATTCTCTTATCACGTAACGTTTATCGATTGCACTCTTGTAATCCGACTAATCTAGCATCTCAGAGCGACCGATTGAAATGCACAGCGGCCATTGCGCGTATAGGTAATTTCGCCGATTCAGCAGCGAGACACGAAGAGCTTGTTTGCATTTACGGCACGCAAACGAATTGTTCGACATAAACATCAACAATTTCTTACATCTGCTTACGTAATGCCAGCGACGAGGACGTGGGCGTACGTAGTAAAAAATGCCGGGATACGTGATCGATAAACGGACTAGGGCGTTTGTGTTGGCACACTACGGCAACCACACATACGCACTATCGGAATCCCACCGTACATTTCGTATATCGCGTGACGCAGTGACCAACATTCTCGAGAGACGCGGAAAGCTGTGATGGTTCCTTGTAAAACGTTTTCGCAAAAAGAGAAAATAAAGCAGCATAGGAATAGAAAAACGATAGCTTAGTCTGGATTGCTCACCTGTATGACGGTCGGCGCTTAGCGTCGTGTGCAAAAAACTCGTGGTCGTCAACAGGAAAATGTTGCTCTACACGACACTCGAAGCTGCTGCTGCAAAGACTGCGCGCTGCAGAATAACGATCGGCGTCCGCTCGTTTCTCGCCAACATGGCCGGTTCATGCTGTAAGTGACTATTAGAGAGACGCAACAATTGCATGGCGTTGATTGGTGGATTGACGAATTGACGACGCGCTTACGGTCTTCGGACAAACCGGATGTACTACGGGGCTTACGAGACTTGCTGCAGAGAATAACGCGCTTTGATAAAGATTGTTCACGCATTTGTTTAAGATTTATCAAGGATTGATGATTTTTATACAAAAGTAAAGACTCAGATTTTATAGATGATGATTGATATGAGGTATAGAGAGAAATATATTGCGTAAAATGCGTTAACTACATCTGACGAACGGAGAGCATGAAGTCAAGTAAGCGGCGCCAGCCGCGTGATATCACGGATGGCGCATGAGCCATAAAATTAAATTGTTTTTGGTTTTCACAGTTTATTGTGAAATTTTTTATGGTTTATCGATTGATCATTTTAAAAAGAGATTTACGTGTGATTTAAAAATCAAATGGATTAATATTGAGTGGGTGCAACAACAAAAACGAAATAAGCGGAAGCCATTACCGAAATGGCGGCTGATACGAATTGGGGAAAACCCTTAAATTTGTTCAAGTCAAATTTGTGAGTTGATAGTCTATTATTCAATTCTGAAAACTTATTTGATTTTAACATTTTGTAATTATAATTAAAATAAATGTACTTATATGCATGTTTAGGATTGTTTAATCAAAAGTTATTCATAAGACTGCATAAGCGTTAAAACACGTATCATTAGTAATACTTAATAATTAATCAATATTTGATTTGGTTTGTTATTTTGAAGGTTAACAATAAAATTTTTACGATTCACGCATAAGCGTGGTTCACCAATAATAGTTTATTGATTTGATAACCATTTTATAGATATATGCAGTCAGTGAGTTTGAAACCCTCATACTCGATGAAAGCACTCCGTTATAAATGACAGTAATTAAAAAATAAAATTATCAAGCCGATCATCTACACACTCCCATAAATTCATTATAATGACGCATGGTAATTGTACGTTCGTCCGATAAGCTTAGAAAGTCAAATTATCTACGTTGGAAAAGTGCCGGGACATTCGCATATTACGCTTTGTCGGTAATCGTATATGAGATAACCAGAAAATGATTCCAGAAGAAAAAGAAAATCCATACGATCAACAGCATATTTGTGATACGTACCTTTATTCGCGATTCATTATTAATAAATGTAAATACTTTTTTACGACATTTGAGATTGCATATAATTTGTACCCTCAAAAATTCAAATCCAAGGGGCTTCCTACACGAAGAGACAACGTACGTGTACCTATAAATATTTGAGGTAAAAACATAATTGTTTATTTAGCAGTTAGGTGCATACTTAATTGCGCAGAATACAAATGATGATAAAACCCTGGCAAACAAACAGCGACCACATATAGTCGCTCTTTTCGTCGCTTCGATGGCTGGTCGCTTATAAAACTCGTAGAAAAATCTAATTTACAATATGAATTTTTTATTGAATAATTATAAAGTATCATTTTCAGTAATGTCTTAAGCATAAGCAAATAGGATAAATATTGCATAAATTAATGTATTACGTACAATAATTCTACAGTTAGACAGCTATAATAAAATTAGTGAAAAAGTTTAATTTAACATAGATGATAATGTTTAAATTTATAATAATAGATTAATATAAGAATTTACTGACAAATTTTCTGACATCATTCAGAGTATATAACATACGCAAACGGTGTATTATATATTAAATTAAAACATTAAAGACATGTTATATAGCGAATGAAACTATTCATGGATGTTTCATTTTTCTTTCTCTTTAAGAGTAATAATATTGATTATCGACACAACTACAATGGAGAGTTACTATCTTTCAATAAAATTTCTAATTTTATGAATCTAAGCTTATCTGTTGCTGTAATGTGGAAATAATTGGGAGAGTTTATTTCAGAAGTATATAATACTGATTCGCACATAAGAATGATAAGAAAAGCTAAACGTATTTTCGATCATTATGATCAAAAATTCACAAAGTTAATATATTACATGTTTTTCATATTACCTTATTATAAAATATACCTTATTGTCAAAGCTCTTTGTAATATGAAAATAGTTTTCAAATTTTTGAAAATAGTGAAATCTAACTTACTTTCAGATACTTTACATAACTTATTGAATATTAAATTTACTCTACAACTAATTAAATAAACAGTTATTACATTTATGAATAACTATTTATATCGAATCGGCTTAAATATTATTTTAAAAATTTTGAAAGTATGACAATTACAATCTTGGAATACATAGAGTTTTGGAAGTAATGATAAAATAAAAATAATTGTACAATGTTTTAAGCAATTTATATGTTAAAATGCTTGTAATCAACAATTCATATAAATTTTAGATAACTTTCATTGTTGTCGAGCTTCAATTGTATAGTACTTGTGAGCGCCTAGCTATAGCGACCGAAGCGACCAACATGACGAAAAGCTGTTTGTTTGCCAGGAAAAATAATGATCTACTATATTATCATTATTAGTACAATAACATATCATTTGACTACGTTACCTCGCCTTATATAGAAAGTCCTTAATTTTTGTTGAAACAGTTTAATTAATATCGATTATATCTCATTCACTGCTTGAATAATCATTGTCTAATAAAAATACTTCACTAAAATAAATGTTATACAACAAACGAGGGTAAATAAATTACATTGAGATTCTATTATCTAAAGTATAAATAATTGATAAAAGGAATTCTATCCTACAAATTCTGTGGTATAGCTTATTTATAGAAATATAATTGATTTTTTAATAGACAGACGATAATTGAGAGGAGGAAAACAGGATATGAATGATTTATTGAAATCAACACCGAGGTTGAACAAATAGTAATTTAATGAAGTACTAAATTCGAATTGCAATTATACATATATCTGTGCGTGCGCGCGCGCGCGCGCGTGTGTGTGTGTGTGTATTTATGAATGAATTTCTAATCAACTTGCAAGCTCAGATAATTTGCATTAACGGTGGATAAGTTCTCTTGCTTATTCCATAAATATATTTTAAATAATTTAGTTTGAAGACGGTTCGCAAAAGATATATAATCGATGATTTAGTCACCAATGAAAATGTATCTAGATATATATGTATCTCGCTCCTTGAAGGTCCCTAGTTGGCCTTCGTAACCCTTTAGGGTCTGTCTCCATAGGGCCTGCCTGAGTCCGTCCGAGCCGGCCGAGATTTTTTATGGGCACGCCATCTCTATAATTTCGTGTTCATGCGTTTCTCGTATTGGCTGCGTCCGATCGGGCTCGTTTATGTAAACGCAGCCATTCACTATGAAACTCGCCATTGGATACGAAATTATAGAGATGGCGTGCCCATAAAAAATCTCGGCCGGCTCGGACGGACTCAGGCAGGCCCTATGGAGACAGACCCTTATAATCTTGGAGACTTTTCTTCGGACTTCGGAGTGTTCGGGCTTTCCCTAGTCGGATACATGTTCCATTGCTGTTCGCTAGGAGCGCCACCGTCGACCTTCGCTTAGGTCTACATAGCTTTCCTTTGCTCTTTGGCTTTGGCAATCTCCCTGCTGATCTCTGCTTCAACTCCATCCCCAAATACATCAAGATGATAGAGGATTGACCGTGAAAAGAAAGTACAAAATAATAAACGTGTGCAAATCTCGTGCAGCTGTGTGGAACCTATGAGGTAGTTGTGGTGGATCCGCGGACACACCTCGCCATGTCGGATATCAAGAGCTTCGAGCATCCCACGCTCAAGGTAAATAAACATTCAGTAAAAAGCCAACATTTGAGGTCCCATATGACAAGCTACGTATGTCTTTTGTGTTGTGTCGCACTTGGAGCTCTTTAACTGTAACTGGCACTTCCCCTCCTCTGCGTACTTTAATCTTCTCTCTCTTCTCTTTGTTACGTTTTTCTTACGATGTACGCTCGTCTGTTTATTTCGGATATTATGTTCACTTTGTATTTCTTAATGCACACTTTCAAATTTTTTTTCTTTCTCTCTCGCTTGATTGTTTTTGATCTGATGAATTAAAACAAAGATCCATTGTTTAGAACCCAATATTCCGTTGGAGATAACTTTCTCTTTTTTCTTTTTGTTATAGATATTTTATCTTTTTATCCACTTCGGAAATTTTTTCGCCAGTGTGATAATGATTTACTTATATGGATGATGAGTCATTATATATTGTTTCTGTTACCCAAGTATTTTGCAGATTGATATTAACAAATAGTATCTAAAACACAGACGTGTGTAACTATTATGTATTGTAATTAGAATGACTTGCAACTCAATTTCTAACTAATAGCTACTTAGTATGAAAATTCGTTAGAAGCATATTCTGTTTGGATAAATGATAAAATGATCTGTAGTAAATTACTTCGCAAAAATGTTCCAAACAACTACATAAAAGCTGAAGCACAAAAGTAGTTTCCTTTTATTTTTCTTCAATTTGAATAATTGTATTTACAGCAAGAATCAATAAATGCAAGGATATCTATGTAATTATAGAGTAGCTCTAATAATTTTACAAATGAAAAATATCACAAACCATGAACTTAACCTAAAATTACTTTTAATGGTTTAATCAATAATCAATAAAGCTCAATTAGTCATTCAATTTTATTTCAGGTACCGTACGAACTATTAAATAAAAAGTATCGCTCAGCTCAGAAGAATTTAGACCGTGAAGTGTCCCATGTTCAAACAGCAGCCTATGAACTCGAAAAGATAGGGTTAAAAAATGATGGTAATGGTGTTGCCACTGGTGAGATAACTCGTTTATTAGGTGGTGTAGTGGCAAAGCTCCAAGTGTTGAAAAGGAAAGCAGAGGAGTCCATCAATGAAGAAATGCAAGCTGGAATGGTTTGTAAGCGAAGGCTAGATCACCTGAAAGAACATGCTAGTACAACACCTGGTGCAATACTTCAATGGAGAAGACAAAGACTTGACAGAATGTTGGTGGAGTATTTTTTGCGAAAAGGATACTACAAAACTGCTATGAAATTAGCAGATGCTAGTGAACTTAGAGATTTGACTAACATAGGTACTTTTCCTTTTTTTCAATCTTTTTTATCACTTTATACCATTCTAGATTCACATTTAACATTTCATGTAAGCTTGAAATTCATATGCATACCTTACAATCATATGCAATTACTCAATTTCGTTACAGCATTGTAACAAAAAAACTGAATTACAGACGTATTTATGGTATCGCGAGAAGTAGAGAAATCGTTAGCAAATCACGAGACAGTTCGATGCTTGGGTTGGTGCCACGACAATCGCTCGAAGTTACGGAAATTAGGCAGCACCATGGAGTTCAATTTGCGCGTCCAAGAGTTCATCGAACTTGTACGCGCTGATCGAAGACTCGACGCCGTGATGCATGCACGTAGATGTTTCGCTAATTATGAAGATTACCAATTGCAGGAGATTCAAGCTTGTATGGGACAGTTGGCTTTTCCAGCTGACCCTCAACGCAGTCCTTACAAGGATTTGTTAGACGAGAAAAGGTAGTTATTTTAATTGAAACGTTTAACTCGGTTGTTTATTGAGCATTAATAATTTCATTGAATTTGCAGATGGGACAGATTAATAGAACAATTCCGCCATGAAAATTACAGACTATTCCAATTAGCCAGTCAAAGTGTATTCACTGTGGCGTTACAGGCAGGTCTTTCAGCCCTAAAAACGCCACAATGTTACAGTGCCAATAAGGAGGGTAAAAATCCAAGCTGCCCAGTATGCAGTGAGAGTCTTAACGAGTTGGCTACTCCCTTGCCGTTCGCTCATTGTTCGCAGTCACGACTTGTCTGTAGCATTAGTGGTAAGCCACTCAACGAGTACAATCAACCTATGATGATGCCCAACGGTTACGTCTACGGCGAGAAGGTAATTTCTATTGTCTCATTATCTTGAAATTTTTAAATTAATAAAATAAATTTCTTGTTCCATACGGATGTAGTTTTTGAAGTCACAATAACAATAATTTTTCAGGCTCTCGAGAAAATGGCACAGGAAAATAATGGTACTGTGATTTGTCCAAAGACCAAAGAAGTATTCCCGTTTAAGAAAATCGAAAAGGTTTACGTCATGTAAGGTACTGAAGCGCAACTTGTATCATACATATTTAGGACATTATTATCTATTATCTCACAACTAGACTAAGGATTTTTCTTTCTGGTTATGTAGATTATCGTTCATACTGTTTAATTTTAAACGTAACTGTATAAAATACAAAAAATTATTACGTCAAAAATAAAATATATTTTCCAGAAAATTATCAGTAATGTTTAATTTTTTTTTCATCAATCAGGGACAATAATTATGTTAACATCTTTTTATTTTATATAATCATTTATTTCAACTTTATTTACCTACTTAATAGGATGGAAACAGCATAGAAACTTCCATGTATACATACACGAGTATGTTAAACTATGGATTTTTCTAATTTGACAATGCTGAATGGATGAATTAAATTTTTTAACGACGAACGCATAATGTTCATTTATTTTTTTCATGATTGCTTACACGATGAAAAAAATGTAATTATTGCTCGTAGCGAGAACGCAATTTGCTGACTGGCGAAATTTTGTATATTAGATTTCCGTCGTAAAGAAAAAAGGAAACTCAAAGTCTAAGACTAATGTGAATGAAAAAAGTGCAACAATATACACTTTGTGACTGAATCGACACATATAAAAATATTCCATCTACTCTAAATATCAGTGTTCGACGCACTATTATTTAGTAAAATCGGATCGTATGAAATTTTTTTTCATTCATGCCTTTTAAACTTCTTGAATTTATTGTCTGCATTGCTTGTTAGAGAGGATTGTCCTTCTATAAGGATATTGGACTAAGCTTTACTGCTATATAGCCTACATCGCACAGATAAAATATAAAACGATACGAACTATCTTTGAATACAATTATTCATACTTTTATATTGTTTCAGAATCATTAAATGTCTTTAACAAAATAATCTTTACCGACAATATACATCCAGTCTAGAAGGTATTTTATGATTTTAAGACGTAAAATTCTTGTGAGAAATCGATAACTCGTATACGTGGCACGTTATATGCTTTTGTGGAGCGATTTCAATATTGTGAATAAATTAGTTATATTGAAGCTAAAGTGATTAAGACGATTTAAAAACTAATTATTACCGTAATTTCTCCGTAGTAAATAGAGTTAAAATCGTATATATGATTTGAAAAATTGTGAGGAATAGTCGTGGACGTAGAGACATTTTTTTGATTTAACTACAGAATATAGTTTTAATGAATGTACTATGAAAAAGTAGTGGATATGTCGAGGAAAAACTAGATATCAATAATTACGAAACTAATACTCTAACACTAAAAGAAAAATAACTACAAGACTAACTTTCTGATTTATCAGAAAAAAAGAACACTTCAAATAAACGTATGCTCTTAAGTGAGAAATTGAAAATTATAAAACTATTCACACAAAAATTCAATCTAAAATAATACTACAAAATGAAAAGAAAAAGACTTTATCTGATTGTCAAAGATAAGCTGACTTGTATAGATTCATAGTTTAGTCATGCCAAAGGTGGTGAGTGATGTATATAGATTTCAAGACATGATTTGTTAAGTATCGAAAAAAGTGATGTGCAATTTTACTATATACTTGCGATTGAACGCATAACCGCAAATCTTTAAAAAAGAAATAGGTAGTTGTATTACGTATAAAGATAAAAACGTTGGTATAAAAATGTATTATAGTAATAAAAATCTCATCAATATTTTGCTTCGATCAATGGAGAAAAACATATTTAAGTCTATGACAGCGTTTGCACTGTTAGTGAAAGATGTTCTTTCGCTGTAGAATGTACACATTTTTTAGCTCATGCTGATTTTACATCATGATATACGTGTGCTTATGAAGCGGCTTAATTAACATCGCTGGTTTTCTCTGTCAACGTTCATAAGGCTTTTTGGTCCAGCTGTGCTATGATGTTTTATGAAATAAAAAGCGTTTTTATTCCTCCCTACACGGCAAAGTTTGACAATCTGTACGACGTTTATAGAACACACAAAAGTGGTGCAGTTCTTAAGAGAAAATAGTAGATGAGTTAACACATTATTAAGAAACAAAAGAGGTGAACATTTAACATAAGTATATAGTAAGTTATACAATTATACAATGTCAAAGCTACAATTTAATCCTATACAAATTTGTATACGCGTGTATGAAATTCATACATATAAATCGCGCTTGGGATAAAAATATAAATCAAGAGTCATTCAAATATTGATTGCTCGCCATCTTCAAAAATAACGTACAGATTTTCAACGTTTATATTTCTTCTCGCGTACACAAGAACCGTTGACACAAGTGTTACGATAAACCACTCTCGAATGAATAAAATATATTATGTGTATGTGTGTGTATATATATATGTATATATGTATACATATATATACATATATATATCTATGTATATGTATATATATATATATATATATATATATATATATATATATATATATATATATATATATATATATATGTACTCACACCAATGATTTTTCAGACTTATGCTTCGCTCTCTCTCTCACTCTCTCTCTCTGTCGCTCTCTCATTCATTCGCACATCAAATTTTCAACAAATCAGTTCAAGCACGATACAACAGCACAACAGGATTTTACAAAATAACAAAGAACTAGTCATTTTTCCTTTCCTGTTCATTCCTTTTGAAGCTCGAGTTTTGATGAGGTACATGCATTCTCTCTTTTTCTCTTTCTCTCTCTTTCTCTCACTTTCTCTCTCTCTCTCTCTCTCTCTCTCTCTCTCTCTCTCTCTCTCTCTCTCTCTCTCTCTCTCTCTCTCTCTTGTTCTTTCTTACTCTTTCTCCTGTTTTCCTGAGCTTTTGTGAGATCTATGCAGCCTTTAAATGCAGTTTGCGCGATTATCCGAAATACGCCACTGCTGAAGGTACCAGCCAAGAAAAGGCAATACCTGAGAAGACACCCGTAACTAGGAATGCCGCGCCAAACATTCCTGCTGTTGTTGCGTATTGAGGTTCCACAGTGCTGAAAAAAAAATCTTTTCTGAAAATTTCAAACGAATATTTCGCGGTTCATAAATATTCAAAGAAAGTTCTATAATAAAGATAAAAGCATCCTATAAATAACAATGTTTACGAAGGTAGATAAAAATCAATAATGAGGTTTTTCTTATCTAATCGACGCGGCGGTTCGGGCACTTACGTCGAGCAGTACATCATGGCAACAGACGAGAAGTAACCGCTTGAGAGACCCATAGCTGTGGCGATAGCAAAGAAGATCCAATCATCGTTGATGTATACGTGTGTTCGGACAATATTAGCTGGAGCGTAGTTGCAAATTAAAAACAGTGGGATAAAGGCAGCACGCATTAAAATTGGAACGATGACGAAGTTTTTACTCGGCTGCGAACAAATGGAATCGTTAGTTTCATTATATAAAATGCCAATAATAATTTACGACGGGTGACTTTACCCATTGAAAGAGAGATGCCATTAAACTGCCAAGCATAGCGGTAATGTTGAAAGTGAGGAAGCACATGACGGTATCATAGAATTTTTCGGGCACAATGAAGTCAGGGCTCGAGCGTTTGATGTTGGACTGTACCGATGGGAAGAGGGTGAGCGTGACGAATAAGACGAACCAGACATTGAAGCATTGTAATGCGCATTGTTTAAAAACTGTCCACAGTGGTGGTCGCTTAGTAACGTCACGACCGTGTAACTCCAATTTCTTTTTCCTGGCTTCTTTTTCATGGAGGTACTCGTGGTAGCGGTAGAAGCGCTGAAATTTATTTATGATTCGTGCGTGTTTGAAGCATTTGTAGATGATGGAAAAATATTGATTGTTATTTTATCACCGATGGTATGAATTTTAATAAGTCACACCGTTCCCAGAAGATAATGTTATGTTTTTTAAAATTCCTCGAAACGTGAAAATATTTACGCAAAAACTACTGTTACAGAATTGTTTGTCTTAATTGGGTTAGGTATATGCATGGTACTTTAACTTTTCGATTATTCAGCAATCCTGATCTTGAATTTAACCAATATATCAAACTAATTTTATTTAAAACTGTGGATGTAACTTTTTCAGTTTTCTCAAGAAGCTACAGATGTGTACTCATTTGTGTACAGTTGACTCGCAATCAGATTAAATGCGAATAATTGGAGGTATTTAAACTTGAATGTAAATTTATCAGTCAACATTTTGAATTACAATATTATTAGTGCCACCGGACGATTCATTCAATCTGCCAAACAAGCTTAACTGAAAATAAATCTGCAATTCGTTACGAAAAACCGATGATATTTCAAAAAAAAAAAAAAAAAAAAGAATCTCATACTGGCAGGAATTAATGTGTGTGTGAATTAATGTACTCACGTTAATCGGCAGCGCGAAGTAGGTATCAAAGCAGGCCAGCAGCACGAACAGCGCCGTTATAAAATAGTAGATCGCTGAGGTTCTGTGGTTTGGAGCGAAATACGTTGTCAGAAGATTGATTACTGATGTCAAGACTCCGCTGAGATTCTAAAAAGTAACGCGATAAAAGGAAATCAAGCTTCGACAAATGACAACTTGCCGCTCTCTTTCTGGAACTCACCGATCCTAAAACCACGATCCCCGTGTATTTTCCCGGCAGTTGCGCAGCCATGCCAAACACCGAGTTCTGGTAAATACCGTTAGAGGCTGATAAAACAATACATGCGCGTTAATAAAGTGATAGCTCCAACTCGTTAGCGGCGTAACAACTGTCAAATTGACAAACTCACTACTCATTATGACAATGGACGACATTGTGACCCAGAAGAACACTGGTGCCCACGAGGAAGAATCGACCATTGCCAATATCACGGTTTCCACGAAGATGATCACCTGCACGAAGATCCCCCATACCATTCGTGTTGTCAGGTTACCTCTGCGAATGGAAAACGATTAGCGTTAGTATATTAAAACTGACGGGTTGAATAATTGTTTTTGAAGCTTGATCGTCGATCAAAGAGGAAAACAGGTTTTTTATTCAAATTAACGTTCTGTTTTATCACAAGAGACGATTTCAATTTACTGTCAACTTACCCAAGAGGAAGGAATACATTAATCCAGTTGAATATCAAGTTAGGAATTTGTGCACACAGGCTAACTGATTCAAGGAAGTACTCGTCCAACTTGGAATCGGGACCAATAACGGTCTTGTTCAATTTGTGCTCGACGAAGTACTGCGAGATTAAAGTACAGAACGTTAGCGAAGCGACGAACCACATGGGCGATCGAGCATTTTTCAGTTTTTTGTTTTTACCTTTTTAGCTGTGATGAACATGTTCCAAGGCATGAGAGCGCCGATTCCGTGCAGCAGCATTATCAGCAGCACGATGTTCAATCTACGAACAAAGCTTGGTCTTTTCTCTCTCTCTCTCTTTCGAGCCGATCGTCGCTGATTCGATGCAAGGCTCGGGTCACGCCTCGGATTATCGGATCAATGGGCGACATCGAACGATCCGTCGCGCACTATTTTCGCACGCTGGACGAACGGCGCTGACCCGATCGTGGCGAACCAGAACGCATGCCGCCGTGACCGCGGAGTCACGCGATCACGGAGCACCACTCTTACTTCGGAGAACAACCGGGGCAACGATATGCCCCCCCCCCCCCTACTTTTCGCTCCTATAAATGTGTTGCGCCTGTTAACAACAATGCCATCTACTTGGGCGAGCGCATTTTTACACAAAAATACGGGATTCACGGGATCGTGGCGCGGGCGAACAGCTGATTATTTAACGAGGCGATTTGGAAGCTAATCCGAATCACGAAGGGCCGCCTCGCAAGACGCTCACCTGTCTCTGGGCGGATTCAGCTCGAGGTCCATGTTGACGCCTCTGAAGTTGAGCTCGTCGTCGGGCCTACCAGTTCCTTCCCATCCCGGCGACAGCCTAACTGGTTCTGCACCTTGAAAGAATTTCCATAGACTCCTCTCTCTCTCTCTCTCTCTTTCTCTTTCTCTTTCTCTCTCTCTCTCTCCCTCCGGCTCTGCTTCGCTCTCATCTACCCGCGACCCGGCGCTTTTTGTATCGCGCGAGCGTGCATGTGGATCACGAGATCCGGATGCGCGTCAAAGGAGCGTGCGCGGGGACAAAACGCCGAAAAGCTGCCCTTTCTCCGCGACGCTAATAGCCGGTGCGCAAGCTTCTGCTGCTGCGTATGCGTGTACATGCCTGTCGGACCTCGCTCCCCGTCTCTTTTCCGCTGGATTCTGCGAAGAGTGCAAGCGTCCGTGGACTTTCTTTTGTCTATGCTTTTTGTTTTTCTCTTCTCTACCTGCGTTGCGCAACGGGGAGTCGAGGCAGCAACGCCAAAGGCACGCCGAAGCGAGGCAGCGCGTCCGTCGCAACGCGCGCCGAGACAGAGGGACGACGCTTCGCTCGCTTGGCAGCTATGCTCTTGCGCCGTGCAGACGAGGAAAGGTCGCGCCTCGCCAAATTTCGGATGACGTCGCGCGTGGCTCGATCAAGCTGGCCGGCCGCGTGGGATTGATATGAAGTTAGCGCTTCCATCGGCGGACCTGATTTTCGCGCTGGGCGGTCGAAAAATGCGGCCGTCGTGTGGCGCGATGAGTCAGTGAAATATGACTTTTCTTTCACGCAGCTCACTGCGGCAGCACAATTTTTTTTCCTTCGACGTACTACAGGCGTTCAGAATAAATAGATACCGCCGTAGCCAAAGGTATTATATCGCAATTGCGCCCGCTCCTCTGTAAAAAAAGCAACGCGTTTGCAAAGCAATACTGACGCGAGGTTGAATAAACGAACTGTCGTAACCCGATTTCGCTGCACACGGTCTGACTTTTAAGTCAGCGTTGGAGCTGCATCATTTTTTGTTGCGATTGTTACCGGTAATCGTGAAATAGATACGAGACATAATAATGTAAGTTGATGACCAGATGTAGAAGCAGAAACCTTTACTTGTGGTGAAAATTCTTTTGGATCATGTTGGTTATACGCATGTGAGGAATCCTACAGTGGTCGAGTGACGTGAAACAAAAGAACATGCCTTCGATCGTTTTTCGTTTGGTTTTAATTTTACAGAATCGGAGTGATTGTTGAGGGTCGATTCGTAGGGAAATTCGAGCTTATACAAAGACGCCTGAGCTAAGTAATTATATCTTATTTTCGTCGACATCATACGAATCGATTTTACTATGCCGCGAACTTCAATTACAGGATTCATCGACGACAAACCATCTGTGTAATTAATAGCGAAATATTTCGGCGGGTATTATCGTAAGCATATGCCATTACTGAATTGTAAATTACAATAGAGACACCTGAAGTGAATGTACACAAGCGAGGACATTTTTCTTACTGTTAATAAAAATGTTTTTAAGCTGCTTTTGCTGGTACTGGCGCAGTGATAAAGGGTTTTAAATTTAAGAAATACCTACAATACCCAATTCTACAAAAATCACCCGAAATAAATATTTTACATTATCATAGAAAACTTCAAAGAAGACCTTCAAAAATTAATTACCTTTTTTCCGATGACCGAGCAGAAATGAAAAGTAGGAATTCTTAGGAGTTGACGACATCTGCCATGTATCTTTCCCCATCGCACACAGACGAAACTAAACCAAGATTGTACAGCCTTGCCGCCTTTATAGACTCAATCAACACCCATTATCTTTCGTCTCTAAACGGAATTCCAAGCACTTATGACTTAAAGAGCAACTACAAATTACCGTGAGATAGGAGAAAAGAAACCTATTATCTTGCATATCATTTTTCGGCCGTTATAAATGCATCTGTTTTCCGTTATAACAAGCACTAAGATAACATACATTGTTTTACACACAAAAGAAATATCAGTCCGACTGACGCGACGTTTTTTAAAATACGTTTTTCTTATTTCTAACAGTCAATTGAATATTGATTTGGCATTGATTCGTTTCTTTTTTTCATTTACCCAGCAACACAGAAAAATAAAGGCAGATTGCATTGACTACAGTTAGCTATGAGAGATGGTTGACTAGTGAATCGGAACAAGCACAAATAGAACATAAAAGCCACAGAGCCGTACAAGACAGTACAATGAACCTGCTGCCAAGCCAGTATACGACAAACATAAATTGCAAGCGATACTATCCAAACTAGGCAATTTGATTATTGGCTAAATGGATGCAGTCAAGTATACTGAGAGTTTAATTATTATATGGACTGCCTATGTGATTAATCTATATGAATTATGGACTACACTGATGAATGATATTGATGTTGTCAATGAAATTATGCTTCTAATCCAATCATGCTTAAATTGAATAGGGCACTGTAGAGATTACAATTATCATGGAACATTTTAAGAAAAATTGAAAAAGTTCATTAAACTTGTCTGTGGAAAAATAGGATGACATTGCATTAACTACAGAGCAATGCACCTACTCTCAAGCGTTTGACATTGAGAGAGAATTAGAAGTAAGAAACGTGGTTCAAACCTCGTTTCATTCCCCCTATAAAGAAACAATTAGGACTCCCTTATAGCAATCTCTGCAGCAGCACGGACAACAGGGCTCTAGCAAAACACCACCCGTGGTCGAGATAAACACGATAAATCCATCAGTGATGTACGTGCGCGAGAGAGAGGGAGAAAGTCATCTGTCTTCTTCGAGTGTCTCTTTACAGTTCCAACCTTCGTCAAACAACGCATAATACACGCGAGCTTCGCAAGGCTCGATAAAAAAATATCCTCACCCTTGCTAGGTAAAATGCGCGTGCCATTGGTTTCGGCCTTGAGGAGTGTTTGCTCCTCTGGGCCCAAGCCGAATTCCCTCTTCGTGTAGGTACCCGCCATTGCACTATATATTCTCTTCTTGAACGGATGAAAACGCAACAACGGCACCCTATCGGTCGCACGCGCGCGAGTCGACTGACGAGACGAACTAGGTTAGGTCAGCGCCCGCGCCGCCGTTTCTACTACTCCTTCCTCTCTCATCATGTGTACATACATACACCTTGTGCGGTTATATGTGTTTGTGGATGTACCTACGAACCAGTACGGGCGGCTTATCGAACTGAGAGAGCGAACCACGTGCAGGAAGTGAAGATGAGCGGCTTTTGCTTTTTTTGGAATTCATTTATTTTTAGAGATGCTATCCTAGGAATTATTATGACTTTATATAAACTTGTAATTAACCTTTATTTTTTGATAATTTTTGAAGCGAAATCAACGGTGTGGGTGCTTACTACGTTACTCGCAGTATGCTACAAAGCTTTGTTGCTTATTAGGTAAATTCTTAAAATGGTCTACTTTGAATGTGGCATTCATTCATAGGTATGGGATACATCAAGAAAAATATGTCAATGTTAAAAGAAAGATCTAAAGCAACTATACAAGTAAAGTAGATATAGATGTCCATGGATCATAGAATTTAATTATAGTGAGCTTTAGAATTGAGAGTGAAATTGATGTAAATTATTACTATCTTGAGTGGCCATGTTTATACTATGGCATACGTACAGGTTTTTCATATAAAACCTGTTATGCTGATATGGTTAATGTAATTTATACTGATTAATTTAAATTTTTAATTTAGAAAAAAGAGAATAAATTAATCTAAGAAATTAGTTATTATATGGAAAGCTTTCATTCTATTGAATGTGGATGAGTATCTTTCAAAATAATATTTATTATATTTGATAAAAACTTACTAAAGTTTTATATGAATCTCACTAGGATTAAGTTCATAAAATTATCACAGATGCAGTGTTTCACCATGTTTCACTTTGATATCTGTTGATTTTCTCAAGTGTCCTAATAAAGTTTTCGGCCTGCTCTTGGCTCATTTCACCATGAGTTTTGGCTACATTCATAAACTCTTCTCTCACAGCATTTGGCATATTTTTACAGCTTCCTGCTACATAGATGTTTCCACCATTCTGCAAATATTCCCAGCATACTTTATTCTGCTGTCTAATTAAGTGTTGTACATATCTGGAAATGACAAGAAATTTATTTTTAAACAAGGTTTCAAACATAAATTTTGTATTACATAACTAAATTTCAGCTTATTTAAAATATTTAACACTTATAATTATAATTTTCAATTACTTAATAGATATTGCATGTAAGTTAAAATGCTGATTGATTAAATCGTGATTAGAAAAATTCAACATGTCTGAATTTTTTAACTAAAAAAATTAATAAAAAGTAAGTAATTACTGGGATTTAAAAAATTTCTCTCTTATGTAACTATTACATTTTAAACTTAGTAATATTATGTGACTTACATTTTATCAGGTTGATCTCTGGAGAAGGCACAAAAAACTTTCAAATTATATGTCTTAGTTAACATATCAAAGTCTTCTTTACAATGATAATCTTTTTCTTTATTTCTACAGCCAAAGAAGACAAGGCATGAACTCAAGTCACAGTTAACAATAGCTTTTTCCAACAGCAATGATCTGAATGGAGCAATGCCAGTTCCAGGTCCAACCAAAATCATAGGCCTCTGGTAGTCAAATTTGAAAGTCCCTTTTTGTATCCAAAACACAGCTTTGTCTCCTGGTTTCAACGTTGCAAGCCAATTTGAGCAAAGACCAAGTCTAGGTTCAATTAATTTTGATTTATACTGTACAACTGCAACCAATAAGTGTATTTCATCTTTGGTATATTTGTAACTAGATGCAATACTAAAAGCTCTTGGTTTTATAGGAGCCATAACTTCAAACAATAATTTTACATCCAACTTGCTGGTTGTATGAGGAAAATCATTTAAAACTTCTACAATGTTTCTTCTTGGTCTATTTATGTAATTGAAGAGCTCCTCTTGACCTGCTGTTGTTGTAAACTCAAACAGTTTTTCCTTTTCAAGTTCATTATCACTAATTAATGCCAAGGTGTGCATTGTTGATCTTTTCGGTTTGTAACTCAGGTCCCAGTACTGTTGAACAATTTGTCTTAGTGTTAGCTTTGGCTCTAAGGCTACTGGTAGCTTAATTTCTTTTTTCGATACTTGAATTATTATATTTGGATTTACATGTACACCATTGTCATTCAAGACCTTGAAAAATTTATCTACTTGGGCATCAGAATTTTTGGCTTTGATATATACAATATCCCCAGGTGAATATTCCACTTCAGGAATTTTGAATTTGATCAGTCTTACGTCTTGAAAATGATCAGTTGTTGTTGTTCTAATATTTTCTGCAACCAGACTAGTAATAAGCTGCTTGTCTTTCTCAGCTTCGTAAAGGTAAATATCTTTTTTCAAATTTTCTTGCACCTGTTCACCCTTCAGAACAGTTACATTGAATCTTTGAACTATCTCATGGTCTCCATATATACTTTTCTTAGATAAATTAAATTGACTGGTAATTGTATTAAATACATCTTCCATCCATGGTCCAAAAACAGCATCTAGTCCTAAATCATGCTGGTCATCAGCTAAACCAATTGGTATTAATTCAGTTGCACCCAATTGTATTAATCGCTTGTTTAATTTTTTAGCAGCAAAATTAAATTTTTCAAATGAGCTGTCTCCTAATCCCAGTACAGCAAATTTTAAACTACTTAAAAATTTTGTTGGCAGATTTTTGCGTAAAAGAAATTTCCAAAAATTCTTCATGTTTACTGGTGTATCACCTTGACCTGAAGTAGCAGCAACGAAAATCATGACTTCCTCATTTACGATGTGTGCTATGTTGTAATCATCCATTGCATCCACAGTACTCTTCAAATCAATTCTAAAATATAAAATATGAAATTACCATATAGAACATGCTAACAGCTATTAACAATAAAAGTCAATCACAGCAACTAGTATGTATACATGTAAGGAAATAACAATAAACTAAAACCTTTTGGAGCGCTTCCAAATCTGTTCTGCAATATCATGAGCAGTTCCTGTTTCACTGCCATAGAGGATGGTAATGTTTGGACCAGGCATTTCGAAGACTATGAGTTCCTAAGCTTCAAAACTTTGTTGATATTCTTTTGTTAAATAATTATCTATGGTATTTCATAAAAACTTGTGCTTGAGCCTGTTGCTGCTCAGCTGATAAGAGTGTGATATAATACATCGAATTTACCTTTGTGTATATGCCTCTGCCTTCCTGTAAGATAAGAACAATCATATCAACATTACACATCTGATAAATTTTTAAACAATTTTTTGATTAATTTTGTTTTATTGAAAAATTTTATTCAAAAATAATAATTAGTTTTATACTGAAACTTTATATTCAATTGAAAAAAGAAATTATAATTTGAGATACATGGTCAAAGTTAATAATTTGGTTCAGTTAATCAATATTTGTCCAATATTGAATTCAAATAATCGCACGTACAAGTCATCTTTTATTGTTAAATGTCAAGGGTACTTAAAATGTCTAGGTCAAAGCCCATTTGGCATCAGGCTCATAATTATTTATAAAAAAAAAAGAGATAGCGAACTCGTGGACCCATGTCAGTTCACTTTACCTACACAAATTCCACTGACTTTCATCTCCTCCCGATACATCAATCTGCTTGTTTACATCCACATCAAGTGTAATCTCAATGATTTTCGCACAGAATAAAAAAACGTTATTACGTCCTAAGAGATGAGTGTTGTAACCTATGTACATTCCAGTACGACACGTGTGAATTGAAGTTGAAAGCTGAGGATAACCATCCGGGGTCCCTAAAGCTGATTCATATAACATTTTTTTTGGGGGGTGGGGGGTATTCTCTCACGTTTGTGTACCTTTCAACGAAATCGTCTACGTTTTTCGATGAGCTGTACTGCAATCATTCATTGGTCACGTGCTACTACGGTTTTTTTTATTTTTAGATTTTCTTAATAATTGGGTTTTTAGCTTCGTTGGTAGCATTGTGTTCAAAGCTTTCCGCGTTTGCGCTTGATTTTTCGCATCATTAATAAATACAATTGGTTTATTCTTGTTTCAATTACGCAAGTTGCACGAGCTTTCGTGTAAATATTTCATAATCTTTGCTATTAGAAAATGTTGCAAGACATAATTGAAAGATGTTTTATCTGCGTGTAATTTCGTCAGTTTATCTAAGAAAATCGAATATAGATATATTTTAAATGACATCATTAGGAATTTCATTAATCTACGAACAAGTACATTAAGACTCATCGACACGATTAAGTAACCTGTTAATTATCATTCAAAACCATTTCTATTCGTCGTTTGACCTACTTGTTTAAATTGTTCTATTTCGTTGATTAATCATTAATATTAACTTCAAATTCTAGTTTGAACGTAATTTTGCACTTTTAACTTGGAATTAATAAGAAAAAATAATGGAATTAATAAACAGCGTATTAGACCACTTAGTAAACTAATAAATCTTGTATAAAATATACAAGAATTAACTTTCCGCACACGTTTATTTTCCAGCTTGCAAAAGAAGAAAGTCAAAATACATTGCTACCAACATAAGAACCACCTTGGCAATCGGCAATCGGCATTCGGCAAGTGCTCGCGCAACTGTAGCATATACCCAGATAATATATATATGTATGTGTCTAAATTAGCAGCACTCGTTGGATAAAGCAGTGTGAGTTCGGACGTCGCAGCAGAGCATCAACGGAGCGCGAGTGAGTGAGCGCGCGCGCGAGAGAGAGAGACTTGGAGTGTCGTGTGGTGTCCCTGTGGAAGACGTTGCTGTGACTCGACACGACGACGACGATCATGGCGGCGACAAGAAGATGGTGTTGTAGCAGCAGCTACTCGTAGTGTCTAGCGAACGTTCGTGCGCGAAGTAGAGGAGACAATTATTTGCCCAAGTGAGTTTCCATCGAGCGCTCGACTATATACGTGTGTGGGAGCGAGAGAGAGAGAGAGAAAGAGAAAGAAAGAGAGAAAAAAATTCGAGGACGTAAACAGTTAGTCGCGAGAGACAGCCAGCAGCTCTCCAATATATATAATTGGACTTTACTCTGCTGTGCGAGCGCGCATCGCACTTGTGATGATATAGCTTTTCGTCTTTCCTTCTGCATTTGTCTACTTTCTTTTCTTTCCATTTTTTTACCTGCTATACATATAGTGAGACATTATTCAGAGGTTATCATGATAAACGTTATAGTGTAGGTATGTTTAATTGAGCTCATGAATTTGAGTTGTAAGTGCACATGCGTGACCCGCTATATCACGGAAAGGCAATAGAAAATATGAAAATAAATCACTTTTCCTATCAGTAAACATTGCTCGCTATTGATGATTTCATATGAATAGTTGACCTGTGTATGTTTACTTCAGCGAAGAGTGTAGACACAATGCAGACACTTAACCTTGAGTGTTTACCAAATAACCAAAAAGAAATCGCTAGTTTTCTTGATACATTTTCACGCTTGGATTGCAGAGAGTGACCATTTGGAATTGAAGTGGTTTTTTTCTTTATTTCAGTGAGTTTACGGTGATAGCAGTTTACCACTTTGCCTTGAGCACAAGACCACGAAGAGCAAGGACTTATTGCTTGAATGAAATCTGCTTATGCATGACAGCCAATCGTGGATTGTGAGACTAATTTTCATACCAGGTAAAACAACCTTATCTCTTTCTTTCTGTCCTTCTCATTTTTTGATTGTATAATCTTACCTCTAATGCTTCTAATTACTTTTGATCATGACTAAAGTTATGCAAATGTTCAATTGAACAAAAGATTGTTAGGTTTCTTGGCATGCAATTAAATTGACACAAGTCTGGAATGTTCATTTGACTGATATTTCATATAATTCAATATGATAAACAGCTTTAATCAATGATAGTTTGAGTATTAACTATTATTATTTTACCTATTTCTTTTTCAGATAAGTACTATTATTTATGAGTAGGATTAAAAGTCAGACATCACCATGATCTCCATTCAGATAATTATCCCATAATGCAAACACCATTACATAACAGACCTAAGATACAAGTATTCCTGATAGAAAAACTTTGGCCAAAGTTTTTACACTATAAAGTAAGCCCAGATCTTTCAAAGCCAAAAGGCAAAACGTAAAACTTTTTTTGATATTAACAAGCCACACACTGATACTACTTCTATAATCTGCAAGTTGTTCATCAAACAACTAAAGGTGACTAATCTTATTTTAGTACTACAAAGAAAAAAGTGCACAATTGTCAAAGTGTTAATTTATATGTAGGCTATAAAGTTACTGTGGCGCCATCAAGAGAAATAAAGTCGACGTTAGCTGCAGTGGAAAAATGAGTAGTCGCTCTGATGTTGAGACAGAGTCTAAGTGGACCTGTGAATACTGCACTTATGAGAACTGGCCGTCGTCGCTGAAATGTACAATGTGCAGAGGGGCCAAGCCACTTCTTGGTGAAGACATTTATCGTTTGAGGGATACTAGTCCACAACGATCAACCTCAAATGTTGCTTCGGGTCCTGTGCCACCAGACAGTGATTCATACAATTTAGGTAACGAATTTCTCTTATTGCGGGAAATTCCTCGAGAGGTTAACGTACCCTCGTTGTTTATGAGAGATGACAAGTGTGAGAAAGTACAAACAATGCGTGTGGCTTTGGCGTAACGTTCTTTTTATTGCTATTCGCGAGTGTTTTCCCGTATAGGTCAACACTTTCAATGAATAAAATGCGAATAAATATTATCGAATTAACGGGTATATGAAAGAATAAAAAACAACTACAACAACATAAGGAAACAGGGATTATAGTGAAAGTTCGTCTGTATACACACAGCTGCAGTTTATGTCTCTTGATGCGCGAAAGAGAAAGACTTGTCAGTAGTAATTAGCAAATGTATGTTTGTGTAGACATACTTTCCCACTCGATCTCTGCAAACTCGCAATCTCTCTCTCTCTCTCTCTCTCTCTCTCTCTCTCTCTCTCTCTCTCTCTCTCTCTCTCTCTCTCTCTCTCCCTCTCCTTCCCTCTCTCTCACTCTCTCTCTCCCCCCCCCTCTCTCTCTCACTCTTTCTATATCAATAACTGTTTTTTCGTAGGTTCACAAAATTACAGTCAGAATGTGCCACCGGATGGAAAGTGGTACTGCGAAGGGTGCACCTATCTCAATTATCAGAATGCAACTCGTTGTACAATATGCTCAGTTCGACGCTCGCCAACAAACACCACACCACAGCACAATCAGCATCAACCGGTTATCGCCTCCAATCTTCACGAGCAACTTGCACCGCTCAGACTTGGTGATCCACCGCCCACGCCTCCAACAAATTCGCAGTGCAATGCACCATCGGTAAACTTCATTCTTTCTCATTTATAATTTCATTTTACAGAGAAGACAAACCAACTATTTTTTCCATGCTTGTAGCAGGAAAAATGGTCATGCACAACGTGTACCTATGAGAATTGGCCAAAAGCGAATAAATGCGTGATGTGTGCACATCAACGTGAAAGAGAACGAGCAGGGCATCAACATCATCAGCAGCACCAACAGCAGCGTGAGAGGTCCGCGAATAATGCAGGCATGATATTGCCAAGCCCCGAGAGGGATCTACACTACAATCAGCGCGGATTACCCTCGCCACCACACACGCCTTACATTCACCAAGCACAGCGTGAAGACAACCTCGCGATAGCTAGGCGGTAATATGTTTGGAAACATTATTGTTCTGTGGAAAATATAATTTTGAAAACGTTTCACAAATGTAATTTTTACACATTTTGGTAAATTATTAAGTTTATGAGTAGAAATGTGAGTTAGCTTAAAAAACAATTGCTTTTAGAAAACATAAAAACTATTTTATATTATAATAAACAAAAAAATATTAACTAGGACTATTCTTCGTGTGAACTATAATGTTATTCCGTTATTAAGTTAAGACATTTACTACTTTGATTGTAGAAGTTCACACAGATTAGACGGTAGAAATGACAGTCTTCCCGCGCCGCAATCACCAAACAACTGCGACTACGAGCGCCGATTGAAGCAGTTGAGACGCCACAACGACTGGTGCTGGTTAAACGCCTGCCTAGGCATTGTTGAGGGTGATAATGCTGCTGTAGAGGCTTATCTCGCTAGTGGTGGCGATCCAGCCCGTCAATTAACGCATTCCGAGGTCTTACTGTTGAACAGAAGCAGTGCTTTTGACATAGGACACACCTTAGTTCATTTAGCGATCAGGTAAGTTGTATATGCTATTGGATTATCTCCTGTTTGAAATGACTTCTTTGTCTAATTGCAAAATTATAAATTTTATTAGTATTCCACGTTTCATGAGTTTATTAGGAATTGTAGAAGAGATTGTAGTATTTACGTGTGTACTATAAATATATTTCTCTCAATAAAGAGTGATATTTCCGCGTTTATAATATCAATATAAATCGTATATGCTAATCTATTTACATATATACATACATATGCGATAAACGATTAGTATTAAACGAGTTTTTGTACAAATTCTTTGACGTGTTTTGAGTCCATTTCAATAAGAAAAAACAAATTTCTGCTAAAACAGCTCGTCTGCGCATCAAATTTCTTCTCTCCCACAAAGAAAATGGAGATACATAACGTTATTTATACATTTGACAATTCGCAGTAGTCAAGGTTGCAGCGAAGATAGTATTTACCGCGAGCAAGTGACAATTTCGTTTGGAGAACCTCCAAAAGTGCACGCTTCGGAGGCTATGTAGTCGGCCTCACCGAATAGAGGCATTGACCTAGAAAGTTCGTCTTCGTTGTACATATATACATTTTGTCGAAACAGTTGCGAACTGTAGTGACTGCTTATCTTTCTTTGTGTGGTTTTATTTCTTTCTTTCTTGTGTAGTTAGTAAAGCGAAGGTGATCTCTTCTTCGCCGTTGTTGGCATTTTTTTTCTCTTTATTGACACTCGTTACAGATGACGATGAACTTTGCGATAATGGTTTTCTTTGATTAAGTGCAAATATTTAATTTCTAATAAACGTCTGTATAAACATTTTTTTCTTGATTATTTCATTGTATAATATTTTGCCTAACATGAAATAATTTTACTAAAATGAAAATTGTTGGTATGCAGGTTTCAGAGAGAAGATATATTGGCGACACTGTTATCACAAATCGAGGGTTCAGGTTCTGGGATAAAGAGAGTGCCGAGTTATGTTGCACCTGATCTTGCAGCTCAGATACGCCGTCATGTTACCAATAGCATACGTATGCGAAAGGGTTCTTTTCCCTGCTATTTCGTCACCGACATGGCAACATTTGCTTTACCTGCCGAGGTATAACATGAACTTCTTCATTTTTTCATAGTCATACTAGAGATATTAACTATTTATTCCATAGGTAGAAGATTTGCCAAGTATGGTACAAGAACAAATGTTAGAAGAGTTGTTAGACAGGGAAGCTCAACAACAATTGGAAGGTGGCGAACCACCGGCGTTGAATTGGTCTCTTGAGATAACGGAACGACTTGGCAGTCGACTTCACGCGTTATGGAACCGTTCTGCCGGCGATTGCCTTCTTGACTCTGTGATGCAGGCTACTTGGGGTGTCTTCGACCGTGACAATGCACTACGACGTACCCTTGCTGATACTCTCAAACAAGCTGGAGAATTGTAAATAACACCTTCATTTAGTTTCATGTAATGCACTTTTCATGTAATTTTTCATGTAATTTTTATTTTGCAGTTTCCATCCTCGTTGGCGGGAATATGAAGCTTCGCAAGCTTCCAGGATGTTAGATTTCACTCTTGAGGAGACGCAGTGGCAGGAAGATTGGGAGAACCTGTTGGCTACGGCAGCTCAACCCGGAAGTGCACTCGAGCAGTTACACGTTTTTGCTTTGGCTCACATACTGAGACGACCAATTATTGTTTATGGTGTTAAATACGTTAAGAGTTTCCGCGGTGAAGATATAGGTATGACTTTGTTTTATAAAATTTTAACGGAATTCCAATTATTATATTTAAAAAAATTGTTAAATTTTCTACCCAGGCTATGCCAGATTCGAAGGAGTCTACCTGCCTCTCCTCTGGGAACCTTCCTTCTGTATTCGTTCACCAATAGCATTAGGCTATACTCGTGGTCACTTCACTGCTCTCGTTCCCATCGAACCATACTCTTCATCCCGTATCCCTGCATTGGCTCACGGCAGTGTGAATGTAGTTGGTGGCGGCAATAGTCCAATTCAACAACTGCAAATGCAAACAACATTCATGCCACTAATGGATCGTGATCATAAACTGTTATCTATACATTTTCTCAGTCCCGAAGAAATTGGCAGGGAAGAAACGATACTCAAGCAATGGCTGGACGTATGCACTACGGAAGGTGGTATTCTTGTTGCTCAACAAAAGTTACATAAAAGACCGTTGCTAGTCGCACAGATGCTTGAAGAGTGGCTCAATCATTACAGAAGACTAGCGTGAGTAGTAACGAAGACCAAGGTCACTAAATGAGCAGGGCACTGGCGGTACACCGAATATTTTCAATGGAAGTAAATTTTTGAAATGCGATTTCATTGCTGTTTAAATTGTTTTTAAAATAAAATAAGTACTATTTGAATTTTCAACAATTTTCTCCTTGAAAAATTCGCAACTGCCAGATAAATGTATATGGTTTTAATCATCAACTAATGACTGAATTATTAATTGAATCATACAATGGGATATAGAAAACAGAATTTTGTCAGTCATTGGTTCTTGATGTACCCTATACACAAAATTATAGAAACAAGTAACTAATTGTAATTATTTACGTTTCAATAGTCAGATGAATGAAGCACCGTTTTCGAGAACACTCATGTTGCAGGACTACAGTAGCGACGGCGATACTGAAGATGAATAACGCGAGCGAATGCCAAGTATTGCAAAATCTCGAGCTAACACGGATAAATGCCTATTTGTGAATGATTAGTAAGTCGGCTAATTAATTTCTGGAGAGAAAGCGAAAAATATCAGCGGGACCTATGGTTATTATCAGGACAATGTCGCCAAAAAATAATCGCACGCGTAGCTTCCAATCCTCGAGAATAAATGTGCTCGGAACTTCAAATTTCGATAAATAAATGTATATTATATAAGAACTCATGTTCTGGGTCTCTGCTTTGCTCGTCTGTTTTTGAGTCTTTATCATAGTCGTGCGGGTGGAAAGAATGACGATTGTGGACGAGGAAAATCCATTTTATGCTTGAGTGAACCATAAGAACTGCAAATTTATAGGAAAATGACAATATTTTTACAGTTCTCTTAATTTGTGAACAAAGTATAGTAATTTTCCTCGCCAATGATTTTTCAGAGCTTTTAAAAAACCTTTCAAATAGTTATAGTGTACTTGTAGTTTTTTGAATGAAGATTTTTAAGAGACGAGCAAACCAGAAATCTAGAACTCTATCAAGTTACTTAGCGAGGTAACTCGATTAATTTTTTTCGAATCTCCATCGATTCGCACGATTAGCTGTACATGAAAAATAATTTCAGATAATAAGTTTATTTATTAACTTTATTGACTTCACATATGTTGTATGTGTATGAAATTGAAGTAGAGAGAGAGAAGAGAGAGAGAGAGAGGAGAGAGAGAGAGAGAGAGGGAGAGAGAGAGAAGAGAGAGTGAAAGAGGGCGAATGAGATCGAGAGAGAAAGAGAGAATGAATGAATGAGAGAGTGAAAGAAACGTCGGATTTCTTATTTTTTGCTTCGCATAGTCGTAAGTAAAAATCAGAAAGCTTAGATGAAAAATAAATTTAATTATAGTAATGGTTGAGGTCGAAACAAAATAAATAAAAAACCACAGTTTTTTGATTCCACTAGGGATGTACCGGTGCTGCTAAACAAATAATTAAGTAAATAAAACTCTATAAAATAAAATTTGCAAATCAATTACTACTTGACGCAATAGGCGTTTACCTTCAATCCGTGATGAGCTTGAGTCGTGTGTAAAATCCTTACACTGTCCGTATTGTCGGATTGAGTCTATAACTAGACTTTGTTGTTAACCAATAGCTGAATTTATCGTACGAAGGATGTAGAGGCTTTCAAAGAAAATTTAGAGTAAAAACAAAAGAAACTTTTTTATGTATTTTCATTTCATGCAGAATAATCATTGTTCGAGAATACTTCTACACAAACTAAACATAACATTTTATCTGTAAATATTTTTAACTGGCTTTATCATGATAATTCAATTAATTGTGATTATACTTTTAATACTTTCAAGATAGTGTTTTCAACAGTAAGTTAATACACAGCTGTAGCCTCTTCCTTTCTCGACTCCAATACAGTAAAATGAAACAAAAAGAAAAAAATGATAAAAAAATAAAATCATATGATGTATTATCGTTACTGGTTCTCACTGGGGAATCAAATCGTCTTGTTCTGAAGCGTTCCTTGTTGAATTAGCTTTAATGGCAAAACTGAAAATAAGAAAAAAAAAATTAACCATAAAGTCGCAAACAACGATGCCGTGTTTAATGGCGTAAAAGCGAAGTATTTTAAAAATAAAAGTCAGTGCACTTCCGTCTAATCGTGTTATATCGAAGAGTTTCAAAAACCAGAAAGTTGCATCTAATTTAGAGTAAAAATGTCCTTTACCAATTCGCGATTGTAATGGTTAATACAACAAAAAATAAATAAAATACAAGTGTGGAATGGATATATAATTTACAATTAAATAATCGCTCGGCCAAACGATTAAAACCTTAATCAAAAGAGTACAAAGAAATTATAATGGAGTCCCTTCGTTAATTATTGTACCCTGCTTACATTTAGTCTTTGTTTCAAGGTAAAGTCGAGTCACGACGCTGTAGGCTTTTAAACAATATTTCATTAGTTATCAAGGTACGCGCTCAGTCTCTTTTAGCAACACTGATGTAAAATACAATCAATGATAATAATAATTATTTTTATTTCTAAATGATTATATATGTGGGTTTTTGAGATTGAAAATAAGATTTTGACATTCTAGACGTATGACTTTTCTGTATTTTAATTGGTTGGTTGAAGAGATGAAATGTGTATTTGTGGAATGACAAGACAATTATTTGTGATTTGTAAAAGAAACGTAAGTAACAGTAACAGTCGTGTCTCAACTAGGAAAAAAAATCAACTCTAACGTAGACTCTAGTCCTTTAGCGTTTTATTATCGTTTTATTTTGCTCCAATCACAAGCGATTGTGATGTTACTGTGTAATTCATTATGGGGTGAGAGGGGAAGAGATATTGACGCGAAAAGTTTAAAATTAACAGATAAGCAGAGTATATATTATGTTGTAGAAATAAAGATGAATCATGGGATTATGAAAAACCGTAAAGCAACACGTCCTCTCTGCATTTTTTGTTCTCTTTGAATGTCATTCACTCTCTTTTTGTTGCAAATAAAAGTGTATGTAACGTTACGACGTGCCTTGCACGCTGTGGTAATTTTTCTGAGCGAGCGATTATAAAGTTGAGTGGCAAAAAAATAATAAAAAATCTGTTTTAAGTGTTTTTTGCGTTGCCACGTGTTTTTTGTATGGCATACGACAGTTAAAGAGGTTATTTAAACGTGAGAAAAAAATGTATGTGAAAGGCGGGAGAGTGAAGAACAAATTTAATGGAACAAAGAAGCAGATAGAAGTCTATATTAATATAGAAAAATATATGAAATGGATTATATTGAATATATATCGATGTATAATAATTCTGAAGGACAATTGAATGATTTATTAATTATTCATTATTAATGCTACTACAATTATATCGTCGTAATAACTATGGTTAATGCCACAACCACCGTGATAAAATAAAAGAATAGATGAAAAATTTAAGCAGAATGATGAAGCTTCGAAAAAAGTCCAGGAGACAGCCAATTAAACAAGGATTGTATAAAAACTCGCAAAATGAGAATGTTCATATTTGCTGTGAAGTTCAAACTTGTAAGGAAATAGTTAATATGGTTTACGACTTATTATATTTCAAAAACATCACTATAGATTTTCTTTCCTTCAGGACACTTGCTTTTCACTAAATAAAATCAATTTTTTAATTTATTTGAAAAAAATAAAATAAAAATGCATCGAGAGTTTTTTCAATGTGAAATCTCCCGATCCTGTAATGTGATTATCTCTGTGAGTCGGATTTTATTAGTATTATTCGAATTGTCGAAGAAAAAAATTAGTTTTATTTTAAGTTTTATTTTTCCCCTTTTGAAGTATGATCATAGTGAAACTATGATCTAAAATGGTTTTTAAGTGATCACGTAGATTTTTTTTATCCTTTCGCTCACTTGAATGATTTTGTTTGTTTACAATTTTTATGCCCGACACAGCTTGTACTTAAGTTTGTTTCTTTTTAGGAGAATTTGAGACAAAAATAAATACAAAATGGAAAAAATAATATTTTATATTTATTATTTAATGTTGAATAATTTGATGTAATCCATAAAAAAGACATCCTGCAATAAATAACTATATTGTAACAAAAACCTAATTTTTTTGCGTTTTGTTTTGTTAAATGTTTAGAGTTTCATGCTTGCACACAAAATTAAGATTATTTGCCTATTCACTTAAAACTTGGCATTATAAAACAATGAAGTTTTAAACATTGTAGTGAAAGTGCGAATGTTTTAAAATTTAGTAAACTTTAAACAATTTTAGAATGTCTGACTCCGTAGACATTGTCAAAATACTAATACGCTAATCGAAGACTTTAGTATGATTATTTATATTGAATTTTATTCATTTTACATATTTATTGTATATTTCTCTGACACATTTTAGATTAAACTTAATTCGAACAGCATTGTAGTAGTGTGACGTAATTTATTTTGATTTACTTTTTGTGAAAAAGCAGAAAATATTTTTTTATCTTGTTTTATATATTAAGCCAGAGTTAAAAAGATCCATACATATGCGCACAGCCATATGCGTGCTATATAAAGGTAAGCCTATTTCTTACCTGTAATGGGTTCTGCGAAATTTACAAGCTAATGTACAATAAAAATTTTGAAAATGTTTTATTGAAAATATACGAGACTACTTTATTTGAAAATAATTGTTTTACAACGGTGTACTGTTCACTTTGAGGTATTAGAATGCCTCTTATATGAGAAATACGAGAAATCGGGAATCCCCTCGTTGAAGAAATTGAGAAAGCTCCCGTTGAAGAGCAGGCGCATTAGAAATAAACTCATACTGCATCCACGTATAATATAGCTAGCGATCTGATCAAGTCGAAGGTTCTCACGAAGGAGATCACTAATAGCTCGCAGCTGGACCTTCTCTTGACGTTTACTCGTCGATGCCAATTTAGAGTGACATTCGAACGCAATCGACGTATTTGGGAAGATCTTGAGTTGCTTCAATTCGACGACCACTTTGCACTTGACTAACTGCTTGAGGTAATTTTTCGTTACGTTGCTGATAAATTCCGGTTGATGAGGGTTCAAGTTCAACTGATCAGTTATAATCAATAGAGGCTTCATTTATCAAAACCTTTCCATCTTTAAGATAAGATGCAGGCGCGACATTGCTAGATAATTTGCTTCCGAAAACGGAAATTAATTATTAAAATTTGCGCCAAATCTATCAACCCCCGTGCCATCTTATGAAATGAAAGCTCTCGTGAGGGGTAGCATATGTGCGCACGCAACAGCGTGGAAAGCAGTCGAAATCGAATTAATCCTTTCACATTGTATAGTTCGCTTGCCGTGATCCATGTGCTTTCCGAGACTCGGCATTCGCCAGCTATCATCATCCGTAAGCTCTTCAAGTATTTATTTCACGCGGCAATCCAATCGAGCTGCAAGTACGAGGCACACAGTGTGAAAAGTCCGGCATTGTTTGAACTTTCAGTGTTGAAAGCTTTGTTGTGCAGCCGAACGAGCCTTTCGCCTATAAAGATGGATGAGGATGTTTGTAGTCTATTTTAAAGTGCTTTTGGCGTAGTTGTGTATTTTTTTTTACACTAAGAAACATTTACTATGTTGACGGACGATGCGTTTCGAGATTCAATGTCCTTCGAGTTGTGGGTGGTACGATGGGGTTAGTTTTGTGGAAATACCGGGAAGCGGAATATTCTGATTTTTTTTGTTTCATCATTATTTCTTTAAATGCACAAATAACACACAGTATTTAGCGGTGAAGATGGATGAATACGCGAGTATGTGTGAGAAAGAGTCTGCGGAAGGTACTTATTTACTATTGATGTATTTTAAATTAGGATATAAATAAAAATTATTGATTTTTACTATGACTTTCAGTTGATTATTCTGAAGTATTTATAGAGCCTGCAATTATAATGTAAAATTCATGACTTAGTTGCTAAGGAGACTGTGCAATGCCAAAATGGAAGTGTATGCCAAAGTTAAGGAAATATATTGACAATACATGTACAAATTGATAGTCCAATCAAGAATGCGTTTAAAATTAGCCAAGTCCTTGCTGATAGTTATACTCTTAGGCAATGTTATCATATGGTATAAGATATGGAGAATTTTTGCAGTCAATCAGTCCCAAACCTTGTCCGAAGCTGGTTCATCGTCAGAAATACCACAAAAACTGCATCGAAGACTTGCTCGCTTGGTCACTGTTGTTATACGCCAATTTGAAAGTTTTGAGAATGATGTGGCTACCACAGTGAGATTTATTCTGAATTCATTTCCTACTATGACAATAGTTATTGTTTGTGATGAGTTTTTGTATCCACCATTGGAATTGGATTTCAATAATGAGAGTATGAGGAATGTGCATCTTGTGAATTTGCAGCCAAACTTCAATAGGTCTATCGATGAAAGAGATCCTTTGTCTTATGTCCACACTAAGTATGTTGCATTCTTACCTGATGCTACGAGATTGATTACTAAGCAGACTCTACAGGTTTGTTTTACTATATTCTTACTTTGTTTTATTCTGTTGAATTTTTAAGTCTAAATTATTATACTTCCTAAATTTACCATCTGTTATTAGTTTATCAAATGAAAATAATTAAATTAACAATGATCTAATCGACTGCTATCAAAATTCTTTATTTATTTGCTTAATGTTTCACCATCAATTATGTTTATTTGTAGGAGACAGTCAATCAGGCAGCAAAGTTAGGAATTGTTGCTGTTCCAGTTGGAAAGAATTCACTCAATTGTTTAAATATTAAGCTCAAGATTAAGGAATGGAGTGTACAGTTCACAAAGGCATCTGGTCCAGAGTGTGATTCGGTTGTTGGAAAGCATGTCACAATTGCAGATGCCAAGTTGCTCAAAAGATTATCAGATCCATTCATGATGCCATTTATAGATGCCTTATATCTTCAGACAACAGCACTTGGAATTAAGGTAAGAAATCCAAATTCAAATGTAATAATTAATTTAATTTTATTTTGCTTTTCAATGTTTTCGATTTTCAATGTTCTTTTGTTTTATTATCATTTATTTCTGTTTATTTTATTTTATTGTTGTTTTTCTTTAATTTATGTATGATTTGCACAAATTTTTATTTGTTTGGTTTGATAATTTCTGTGCAATGTTGTTTAGAAATGTCAATATTATATATAATATGTATAAGTACTTTTATGTATTTTATCTGCAATATTACTAATTTCACTTGGATAAAATCTGTTACATTTTTTCAGGTACATATTCTCAAAAACCTTCGTTTCAACGAGGGAAAGCCGTTGTATTGCAGCACACAGGCACAATGGAAACTGCAGCAGATCCATCGAAACAGAGAGCGCGGAATGTTTAATAAACTAGGCATCAAGAAAGTTACCCGAACGACAAGCAACACGGAATGGTTTGGCTGTACCAGAGAGAGCTCGCATTGCTTTGGTTCAGTAGTGAACGGAATTCCGTCATATTTATATCAGAATCGTTTTACTCCACCGTGTTGTCTCGCTGGTTTGCGTAAGGTTGCACATCACGTTTTCGATAAACTCGAAGAAGTCGGTATACGATATTGGCTCGAAGGTGGTTCGTTACTTGGAGCAATGCGAAATGGAGATATTCTTCCATGGGATCATGAGATTGTCATTGGTATTAATAGAGATGACTTAAATAGATCTCCATGGATTGTCAAAGCGAAGAATAAGGCGGTAGTTGACAGTCATGGTTTCGTCTGGGAGAAAGCTACCGAAGGAGAATTTTTCAAAATTCAATACTCAAAGGTCAATCGATTGCATGTGAATTTACTACCGTTCTATGCAAAGAATGGCACGATGACAAGGGACTCGTGGTTTCTTAAAAATAAAGACTTTCCCGAGCAATTTTTGCATCCAATGTCGAGCATCGATTTCGCTGGCCGACAAGTGCCAAGTCCTAATAATATTAGGGACTTTTTAGAAATTAAGTATTATAAGGGAGTCATTGAGAATCCCGAGGTACCCGGGAAGCTTTCTTTAAATTGATGGCAATAGTTTCAGTTGTAATAGGGTATTTACTCTTGAATATCCTTTTAAAGTGGAAATTCCTTTATTAACGTTTGTTGTGAAAAAATCAAGTTTTCTTTAATATTTCTTTGTCATTTATCATTGTTTACTCTTATACATCGTATATACATCGTAATTAATTCAGTTCAGATTGAAGAAAGAGTAGACCTATTATATATAATTGTTTTATTTTTATTTTTGACATAAATAGTTAAATTTACATACTGAATATTTTTAAAACTTTTCCTCTCTATCAGCACCAGAATTATTGACATTTTATCTCGAGCATAGTATCACTGATAAGCCATCTCACTGTAAGACTTTTAACAAACAATTTTCCTTTTCTTATAAAATTGAGAATCCATGGTAAAACTATGTAGATACTAAGTAAATGTACCGATTTCGCTGTAGCAGGGTATAAGTACTACATTGGAATTCGCTGTCGGTATATTTTTTGAAATACCAAGCGTCTACAAATTTTTGTAAGCATTGAACATTTTCGGGTACAAACAGTTCCATGCCAAAAATAGAACAAAAATTGATAAGATACGTCCAGCAGTTATTTTTTATTAGTTTTTTAATATGAGCTGTGATTTTAAATAATTAGTTTTTCATTAGTTGAATTACTTTTTGATGTTTTATTGTGATTGTTGTAGATATGACATTATTTTGAAACATAATTACCGTTTGAATTAATATTGGCTGGAACAATAGATTATTATTAGAGATTAGGTAGATTTTACGTCTAGATAGCAACTTGTTTAGTTGAAAACTATTGGAATTGCTTACAAATAGTATTTGTAAAGTAAGCATTTCACCGTAAATGTTTCTGCGATCAAACTTATACAAAAAGCTGAGTGCCAAATATACCTACGACTCGATAATCAGTGAAGTAAAAAATATGTTATTGTTGAGAAAAAATTAGAGACTATTACCATTGCGTTATCAAGCAAAAAAGAAACAATGATTTTTCATCATTGACTAAAAAATTTATTGCGCACTATCGGTTTTTCCATCCTCCGGTGGCATCAAGATCGGCGGCTCACGTACGAAGCTCAGCAGCTTTTCGAGTTTCATCGTCTCGAGTTCAATGTGAGACAGATGCATCTGCTTCTTCGTCGGTTTTACTTTCATTCGAAGATTTGGCGACAGTTTCAATGTGTTAACCGTACCCCTGGAAGATAATTTTCTTTGTTAACGAGCGTTGAATGTTGCTTGGTGTTTTTGTTGCGAGATGACGATAATGAGAATCGAGTATATATTGAAACGTTTGCTCTCAAATTTGTTTATTGATTGTTTTCTTTTTTAAATTAGCATTACCTCGATTATTGAAATATTATGATATACGAAGTCAACGATGTATAGCGCTTCATATCGTCTACAAATATTTTGCTGTACACTTTCATGTTACCGTAGTGAATAACCTTCGGCATACATAGTTAAGCCCAACATTTTGGAAAATATTAAATTCTTGAAAAAATCAACTACTTGTAATTCATTGTTCCCAAAGACGAATGCACGTACTTGTCATCGCCGACGATGAGGAACGGCAGGCTATGATTGAAGGCGAGTCTAGTAAGTTTGCCGCGTCGTTTGCTGACTACGGCTTGGCTGCAAATCGGCCGGTACTTGTTGACATTGAGATCGAAGACGGTGAGCTTGCCACTGTTGGTCACGCAGGCCAAAACCGTCGAGCTGTACGGCGCCCACTGTACGTCACCGATGGGTACGCCCAAGTCAAACATGAAGAGCGGCTCCCTGGAATGCATCCATAGCGCCAACGTGACTGTCCGATCGATCGCCGAGCGCGACTACTTACGGCCGGTCGTCTTCCCAGATCTTGACTCGCCAATCGGCCGAGCAACTGGCGAATATGCTCGAGTTGTACTTGTTGAAGACGATACGATAGACGGGCATGTCGTGAGCATTGCCGTACGTGCGCATGTACACGCTACTGTAAGCCGTGTTACATTTGTAAATTGCACCCTCCTCCGTGCCCACGAGAAAAACGTGAGGGTCTGTCGGGTGGAACGCTATGCAAGTACCGCAACCTGAAAGCACGAACTCGAGCGAAAGAGCACAGAGGGAACGAAGTCGGCTGTGTTACCTTTGAGAGTAATCTGAGTGCCGTCGGGCCCGGGAATCGGCGGTTTGTCGAGAAACAGCGTCATCACAGTGGTGACGCCGAGATCGTTCTGATTGAGCACCCAGTGATTGATTTGACCGTCGATGCTCACGCTGAAGAACGCCAGGTTACCTTCTTCTGTCTCGGGTGCCCATACGACCTACAACTACCCTCGTCAGAGACGATTCTTGACCCAAAACGCTCACGGGACACTTGCCTGCCAGACGATACCGCCGTGTTTCTGAACGACCTCGTTGCTCTTGTACTGGGGCGCCGACGACGACAGTTGAACGTTGTACACTGCCACCGAGCCGTCCATCGTGCCGACGACCAGCAAATGCGGATTGTCTCTGTTGAAGTCCAGACACATGACCGGCGAGTCAGTTGTGCAAATCCACTCGGGATACGATGGGTTTTTCAACGAGAACAGGCAGACCGCCCCGCTCGGCATCGGATTGTCGAAGGTCACTGCAACGAACGAAGCGTCACGCGCCCGAAGAAGCGATTTTCGTTGGATTTTCGCAGTGCTCAACTGGATCCGAAAGCCACAGCGAACAGATCGTAGTAGCGAGTATTGAAGCAGAGGTCCGTGACGTCGTGCTTCTTGGTCTTCTCGTAATTAAATTTCCAGAGCGGCAGCAGCGAGCCCTCGCCATCCTTGAACTCGTCACTCGGGTCGTCCCAGTACCTGTAATCTGTCGGACGTAGCGCGTTACGTCGCGGTCCGGCGTGGGCATTCGACCGTCGCACCTTGAGATATATCGTCGAAGATGTTCTGATTGACCATCCTCTCGAGCGTCTTCAGCGCCTGCAGCATTCGGTTGGTCGTCGCCGCGCTTTCCAGCTGGGCCTTCTTCTTCGGGTCGTCCTTCTTGGTCTGCTGCGCGAGCACCTTGCGGTCCTTTTCCTTCTCGCGCTGCTGCGCTGCGTAATCCTCTTGGTAGTCGTCGAAGATGGTCCACTGGAAGACGCTCGCGTTGAAGCTGGCGGTGGGCGGCGGCACGGTCTGCGTGGACATGTCGCGGTGCGGACACGGGTAGGTCAGTGCCGCTCGCTCGCAGAAGTTGAATTGATTGGGGATTTTCTTGGGCCTCGCTCGCTCGGTCTCCTCTTCTTCCGGGTCGTCCGCGTTCGCTTGGCCGTCGGCCGCTTTCGACGTCTCCTCTTCGCCTGAAACGCCGCCCGAGTTGCCGTTGCTACTTTCGCTCGGTGGTCGCGTCGACTGGGCGAGACTGAGCTTGACTTTTCGTGTTTACCGATGCCGCTAACCTTCTTCGCCTCGCTCCTCCTCGTCCTCCTCGATGCCCTCGTCCTCCGCATCGGCGTCCTCGCCCTCCCCTTCGGCCGCCTCTTGTGCTTCGTGCTCGTCTTCGTCGGCTTGAACAAGCAAGGGTTTTGTGCCGGAGATCGATTGGGTATCGGCAGGAGCTCGTACAAATGGCGATACCTAGCAATCCACCGGACGTCTGCTTCTTGGCTTCCTCGCTCTCCTTGTGCAGCATGGTGCCGGAGACGTTGAGTATCGTTATGATATCCGGTGGATCGGGCATCTTCACGAACTCCCGATGCTTGTACGACCACTGCACCAGATTATCCGGCTTGCGATTGTTGCGCGTCGTCAGCTCCCGGGCTATCTCCTCGTTGAGCTCGGCCTCGGTGAGCGCGAGCTGATCGTCGGGCTTCAGGAGCATCCTGCCCCGGGACAAGTCTACGTCCCCGCCCAGATCGAGCCTCGACGCGCGGCCCCTCGTGAGGCTCAGCTGGAAGCGCCGAGCGAACGCTTGAGCGCGAGAGCGTCTCCCCGTCGGATCGTCGCCCACTCACCTCCGAGACCTTGGACGATTGCCTCTTGGACACCGGCGGCGCCATGATCTCCCTTGCTGGCTGCTCGCGCGTGGTGCGCCTTTACCGCGCCTTCGCCGCGACGTCACGAGCGGCTCCAAGCTGCCCCTGCATGATCCATAACCCGCTCGCTTTGATTGTTCGAAATCCCTCGGGCGCCAAGCGAGCCGTCGCCATGGAAACTGCGCGGGTCCGCCTCGTTGGCCCGCGACTCGCCCCGCGCGTGCCTCGGCTTCCCCATGCGAGAAGGAATTGGAGCTCCGGCACGGGATCCACTTGGTCGCGGCGCGCGTACACCGGAGAAAACGTCAGGCCCGAGAATCGTCGGTCGGCAAATCGAAAGAGCCTCGCGGGCTCGGCCCTCGAGCGCAGGCGCGCTGTCGACGCCGGCGCGCAGTCGATCAGCGTCTGTCATGGAGGCGAGTCCGCCGCGGCTGGCGTTCCGCGCGCCAGGGATCCTCGAGCTTTCGACTGGCCGGAGGGCGGCGTCGCGGACGACGGAGCCGTAGGTGAGTGCTTCCCGGTGTCGGGGTCGTCGGGAACGCGAGTGGAAGGTCGCGGGCGAAAGCGAGCCGCCCCGTACGCTTGCGCACCGCGAGCGCCGAGGAGGCGGGAGAGAGGTAGCAACGACGACGACGTCGTGCGCTGCACGTCGCATCCGAGAGCGCGAGCAAAGAGAGATCAATATGCGGGCCCCGACGCTGCGTGCGTGCGCGCGCCACGGAGAGCCAACAAGTTGCCAACGGCAGCTCTGGCTCGTTGTCGTCCTGCCGCGAGCGCTCGCGTGGATCGAACCGGCCGCGCGTTAATGGCCACGGCGAATTGCGTTGCAGGCGAACGTCGAGATGATTCTGATCATGGAGGACAGCGGGATCGACAGCGATCCCAAAACCAGCAACAGAGTGGAGGATGACAACGCGTTGGCGGTGAGTCGAGCGTTGCTTAATCGATTGTCGCGGCAGAGTGAGAGATCGACGAGCGATTTGGTTTGGCGCAGGCGAGCGACAGCAGCTGCGGCAGCGGCAACAACCAGCCCGCGGCGCCGAGGTCGACGACCAAGCAGCTGCAGAGGAAATTAGGTAAGGCACACGGCGACGCGCTCCCCGCGGCGAGATCTCCCGACGCACGAAACGACGTTGCAGAGGCGCGTATCGAGCAGGCGAGGCGCATCCAGCGCGGCTCCGAGTACACCAAGCTGCCGGATAACGAGCCCGACGGCAGCGCGGCGGCGTCGTCGACCCCGGCCGCGGCGACCGCCAACGCCGCCCTCATACCGATTCAGCGACTACCCATACCGCAGAGGAAGAGGAGGCACAGCGCTCTGATCGAGTTCTGGCGCAGCGACAGCGAGAGGTGAGCGCCGCGGACGAGTAGCTTCCTCCCGAACCCACCACCAACTCGCTTTCTCGTTGTAGCGAGGACGAGATGACGCTGTTCGCCACGAGGGACGGCAACTTCAGGCACAAGCAAGACCTCACCGACACCTTCAGCGTCGAGGAGCTGAGCGAGGGCAGCGAGGACTCGCTGCACCTGGGCAGCTCGCAGTCGGATCTGCACCCGCACACCAACACTTACATGCCTTCCGGATGCTTCTCTTGTCAGTGTCGCATACTCTGAGGCTCGCCGCTTTACCCTCCAAGTCTTGGTTTCCTTCCTCTTTGCGCTCGCGTGGAAGAACGAAGCTATGCAAATATTGGCCGAGGAGTACGCGCACGATATGCTCAACCTTTCTGACGTGCCGCGGGGAGGCTCATTGCGGCTGCACACCGTTGCGCAACGGCCGATCACGCTGCACATAGTTTATATTTGTTAACGGTGGCCAACATTTGTGCCACCTTTTCCCCCGAACATGTACTACAGCGAGCAGATGCTTTTATTCGTCTATATTTTGTAAAACACAGCATTTTTGTCGAAATACGATTAATTAAAATATGTCCGTCTGAAAAAGCGACTAGTTCGTTTTACTCGTCCCGAGCTTCCAAAAGGAATGAACAAAAACAAGACACACCTTGAATTTCTCAGCTCTCCCCCTCCCCCCACTCCGAATCGTAAATTCTGTCAGCCCTAATCCTAAAGTGCATCGCGGGTGATTTAAAATTCCGCTTAATGAACTCTCTCGTGAGAGGACTGAAAAAGAAAAGCCTCGGCATAATGAGCGCTACACGAGTGCCGCCGCGATAAGTTTGCAAGACGAGTGCCGCTGCGGAAGTGCCGGCGGCGGAAATAGCCCTCTTCTCTCCGCTCAACAAGCGTACAAACCGAGGACTTTCTCTCTCTCTCTCTCTCTCTCTCTCTCTCTCTCTCTCTCTCTCTCTCTCTCTCTCTCTCTCTCTCTTTCTTTCTTTCTTTTTTCTGTATAGTCTCGAGTACGCCGCGTTGGAAGTTCAAGTGGCGAGCGCGCGAGGTTTGGCGATGAAAACGCCGAGCGAACCGCGAGCTCCTAGCGCACGACGAGCGCGAGTTCAAGGTCGCCAGAGGATGCTTCGCTGCTCGTCAGTGGACGTTCCTCGGTCTGAGATGCGGAGCGCAAGTTGCGGGCGCGGAATTCACATCCCCTCGCGACGCGACGAGTGCGCAGCTTTGCGCTTCGCTCGAGAATAAAATAACGAGTTGGCGGCGAGCTCTCGGCATTCCAATAACGGCGCGCTCGACCTATTGCAAGTTCAGTTCGGTGGGATTGTCGCGCTGGCGATACGCCTGCTTTAGCGGAACAACGTATCTTTATCCACGCGCGCGTTCTCGCGCCCCGCAACCGCGCGCCTTGATCCCTCGTCGGCAGTGTCTGTCTCTGCTCTGGCACGGCCGTTGGCTGCTCTCGCCGCTCGCGGATGATTTGCCTTCTCCGTGTGTCGTCGGCGTAGGTGGGAATGTGGGATTCCATGAGGCTGTCTGCCGCGCTTACTCGACGCGACGCAATCACGACGATTGGAGGGCATTATCCGCGGAACGCTCGTACCTGCCGACAGTACACCGATCCCGACGTGTCTCGTTCGCGACGTCGTCCGCATCGATGGAGCCGTCATAGTACCATCTTCCCTCGTTATCAAATCGTCGAGTTCATCGTTCGCTTTACGCGCGCGTATCAATCCTCCAGGAGTCGCCGACCGACTGATGAGCTGGATCGGTGTTGTCTTTTCATCGGCGGCTTTGTCGATTCGCGATTCATCCGATCGAGAGAGGGAGAGACGTCGAGCGGCGTCGGCAAATTCAATTTGGAGATGAATCGCGCGTCGCCGCGAGCCGCGCGAAATCGATGCAACTCTCCCTTTCGCCGAGTTACGTAACGTTCCTCCTGCGCACACGGCCAGCACGCGTCCCTTTGCCAACGGCCAGCCATCGGATCGCCCGTTGCCCTCGCCGGAGAATAAGCGCACTCGACGCTTGCTCGACGTCAGCGGAGCGCATCAATGGTAAAAATGCGAGTGTGCGGGGCAGAGAGAACAGGAGAGAAAAAGAGAGAGAGAGAGAGAGAGAGTTGGCTCGTATCACTCGACGCCCTCTCGCGGCTGCGGAGTCTCATTGCCGTGTGGCTTTGGGCTCGCTGGTATCAGTCAGTGCGAGGCCGGCTGCCTGCCGCCCAGCAGCTAAGCTAAACCGTGTTGAGGAGTGCGTCAAGACACCCGAATCCAAGAGGCGAGAGCGAATCGAGAACGCTCGCGGTAGCTCGTTTCACTTCGTCGCGATTACTCTCGTCTGCTGCGTCGTCCCACGTCGTCGACGCTGTTGCTGTCGTTGTGCGCTGCCCGCGGAATACAGATAAAGGAAGAGAGAAAGAGAGAGATATGAGACGACGCCGCGACTGATAAGAAGAAGGAGTCAGGGAAGAACACGCTCGCGAATCTCTTAGCTGCTGACGATGCTGATCGAAGGTGAGACAGCGCGCCTTTCACTGGCGTGTGCTCGAGTGCGCGATCGCAGATCGCTGATTAGATCCGGGCGTGGAAGCTGGCGGTGACTAGAGGCTCCGGGCGGGCAGCGAGCGAGCTCGATCGTACTGGAGACGGGCTGCCGACCTGGCGAACGAGCCCCGAATTTTAAAAGCGCCACTGACAACAACTTAGTGCCAACGCAGGAGAGGCGCAGCGTCGCCAACTCTCTCGCTCTCGCGCGCGCCCTAAGCGCCGCTGGCTTTTCCGCTCCACTATTTCCGTGGATTCGCCTGCGTTACGTAATTACGGAACAGCCTTCTCCGCCCAGCTATGCCGCTGTGGATGAACGAGAAATTGCGACGCGACCGCGGACGTCGGACTCGACGCTGACACTCACTACTGCGCGCTAGTTCCGTTTTCTTTTTTTTTTTTTTTTTACCCCTTCCTCGCGAACCAACAAACAGATGCTATCGCCACGCTCCGGCTTACTCTTATCCGGTTACTCGCACGTGGATTTCTCGTTGAAGCAGCCCGTGCAGTTGGCTAGGATTTGTACACGCGCTCGTGAGAAATTGGCGGATAACATCTGACGCTCGCGTTGTGTGTGTGGGTGTGTTGTGCGTGTCTATGCCAAATTCTAGATTGAAATCGGGAGGGTGGCAAGTGGCTTTATCCTCTGAATTTTTCAGACTCTTCGCGGTCGAATGGACAGCGAATCGCCGACCGTTCGATCGAATTGAAAATGCTCAGAGAAAGGAGTGATCCCGCGTCGACGTGGCGGCCAAGTCGCGAGCGCTTGATCCTCGCGAAGGAGCAAAAAAAAGTAAAGCGTCGAATCGATATCCAAAAATAACACCAATCCGTCCGCAGCGTCGAAGCTGGCCATTGATGTATACACGCTCTTACGGCCACGTGATCGGCAACATCGTTTCGCTTTCATTCGAAACTCCCGGCGGACGCGTTCGATCTGGCAACTGCTGGCAGTGCCGCTACTACGCTCCTTAATTGTCTTCCTCTGGCGGCCGGAGCTGGCTGCTGTGCTGTCTTTTTTTCCGTTCGCTCTGCTCCGTGATGCGTCAAGCCGGGTCAGGGTTACCTCTCCGTCCAGGTAACACGTGCGCTTGCCCCCTACCTCCGCCCTCTTTTTTCCCGCTCTTTCTCTTCGATTGCCCGATAATTCAGTCCGCAACTTTCGGGCAAGTGCGAGACGCCCGCTCGGCTTGGAGGAAAGGGAGGAGAGAGAGAGAGAGAGAGAGAGAGAGAGAGAGAGAGAGAGAGAGAGAGAGAGAGAGAGAGAGAAAGAAAGAAAGAGAGAAAATGAAACGCGCGCTCGTGAAATTGCATCCGATGCCCTGGAACGAGGCACTTATCTCGAAAATCGCTGCGCTCGCGACGACACTCCTCGAGGACATTTAGCTCGGCGCAAAGATGCTCGAGAGCTCGCGCGCGAGGCCTTTTAAAAGCTGCGGTTAACCTACTAACTGCGTTGCGTGCGCAGCTCAACACGCGCCTCGACGTCTCTATGTAATTGCCGCGCGAGACGCGAGACTACACTTAAGTGCTTTGCAGCTAATTTCACTCGACGATTCGTGTAATCGGAATGTAAAGAGACAGCAAAGCTTCCATTTTCGTTTTTTTGTGGTTCTGAGGGATTCGAGGAATGAGCAAAAGCTAATTCGTGCCTCTTTTGTAGGGTTTGAGCGGAACGTTGGTTAGTATCATTACAGTGTGGAATTCACCGCTGAATGACGATGTACCGGCTCGACAATTTTGCGCGCGGTGCGCTTCCTTCGCGTTGCTTCCCAATTGTGAGGCCGGGACAATGCTAGTCCAGAATGTAAGAGTGGATTAGGGATAAGCGTCGACCAAACCGTCTGCTTTTTAACCAAATTTATTATTTTTGACGTTTGCTCGGCAAACTTCGAAGACTTATAGTTGCAGTTCGTAGACGGAAGCAGCGCCGAAGTGAAGTTTTCGTTTTCGTTGAAACGAATGAAAGTAGTACGTTAAGAAAGTGACCCAAGGAGTCGTGTAGAAACCCAAAAAGTATTTTTCTTCTAATAACAATGAATTTTCGTCCGAATGCCCAATCATTCGCTATAATCGCTCGCAATTTTTTCGCTGAATGTTCCAGTTTAAAATTGAACGCGACGCGATGGGAGGTATAGAAACGCTTAAATTTACGTCTCACGCGCGAACTGAATTATTCGCACGGTACGGTTACATTGATAACTGCTTGGATTTGCAAATTTTATGGTACAGTTGTATAACGTTAATTCACAGAAGAATAAAGTGATAGATCTCACGTTAATCGCCGACAAACGTTTTCACATAGAATATCGATTTGGCATTTTCGCAGAGCCTGATTTGTCGCATAATTTTCCATGTTCTTCTGGCTCGAGTGCCGAGTTTGTCCCTAGATACGTCCCTGGTAGTCGGCAATCGAGTGTGGCGTCGACGTGCGACAGAAGAAAAAAAGAATCAGTATGCGCCCAGTCCGCGGACGGAAACTACACGAGGGACGGCGGCCCGCTCTCTGCGACGCGCCTCGATGTAACTCGATCGATTAGTCGCGACCAAGCCACCAGATACACGTTGTCCCAGCGTCGCGTTTATAATTAGACAATGAAAAATCCCTTGCCGCGGCAGAATACGAACGTCCAATTAGCTCGGCGAAAGTAGCATTGGCGAGCCTCGATTCGCCAAGAGGGTCGCGATGGCTCGCGCGCGCGCACGTACACACACACACATACTCATCGTCCTAACTCCGTCGACACGGAAGCGCGCGAACGCATGGGCGCGCATACGTTTGATGTTTCGACGGCGAGCGACCCAATTAGCCAGCGATTCGTCGATTTGCGGCTATCATTGTTGCAGTGCTCGCCCGAGGGGGAGGTCGAACACTCGTCGGCGCGGTCTCGGGGGCGAGAAGGGGCGGCTGTTCCGCGCGCTCGCTCTCGATTTCTGGAGGCGGCTCCCGCGTCGCGTCCGCCCGACGCGTTTTTCGCTGCGAACGCGGCGAAACTCGTCGCGATCCAACCGCCGTTGCTCGCGTCTCCCAGAGCGATCGCTCTCCTCGAGCGCACTGCCGTAATCACTTCGACGGAGCGAGGGTTTGGGATTGGTCCGCTTGCTAACCGCGACGTGGACCGAACGCCGCTCCCATTCCAATGTTTCAGTTGTTGCTTTACGAGCGATGCTGGGTCTTTCTTTTCTCACTTTTCGAGACAGCGCTGTCGAGGAAAAACGGTCCGGCATTCGTGCCCCACCGCCGCGCGACAACGCGTATGCGAGCGGCCGGCAGCAGCGGCTGAAGCTTCGAACAATTGAGTTTTCTTAACGAGCGATTGCCAACGTCGTGCGACTGGTCTTCTTCTTTCACTCTTTCTTTATCACTTTGCCGATCGAACGAATTGCGCGCGGCTGGTGTATTATTGAAAATTGACAATGGTGTTGATGCGTGTCACCCTCGCCTTGCGATTCGCGCTCGAATGCTCGGCGCGAGCGCGCGGCTTTCGCGCCGTGCTCGAGTTTTTAATGTGCTTTCGCTTCTGACCTTCTGCGCACGACGCATCGATCGTCGTGCAGAGCGTTTCTCTCTTCGGCCGTTTTGACTTTGTATTTTTCCTCAAAGCCACGCGGCATTCTTTGTCGCGCCTCGCGGTAATCAGATCGTTGATTTCGACGATGTCGCTACGCGAAACTTCTGTTGTCGATACCTCGATTCGCTGTAATTGTCATGCAGAATGCACAAACATCTCTAAAACCTCGACGTACATTATTACCTTTTGGACTTTTACATTTCGCTAATAAGTTAGATTACGCATACTTATTCACGTCTTCGAATAAGGTTGAATAGGTACTTTACACCATCTTTGTGAATTGCACTTTTTATATTAATAGGCCAGATCTTTGTTAAAGTTCTCTTTCGCGTAAACTTCGACAGAGGATAATCACCATCATAATTAAAATTTTTAATTAAATATAAAAGAGATTGTCAAACCGCGCGATTCTTTGTGCGATAGTAGCTCCTTTTTTGCAGCAAGTGGGTAAAATAGTGTAGCCAAGAAAGAGGTCAACATCCATATAGCGCACGGAGCGAGCGGCGAGCGCTCTCGAAATTTTGAAAAATTGCCAAATTGGAGAAAAAAAACAAACGAAAAAAAAGAACGGTGTCCGTATAACGGTGTGTCGTCGCAGCAACGCGATTTTCATTTTAATCAGTTCCCTTTCCGTCTCATTGTCTTGTTAGAGCAAAGAAGCGACGGCAGTGCCGAAATTGAAAAAAAAAAAATGATAAAATAAAATATTAGACGGCGTTTTATCTCTCGTCCGCGCGTATTCTCCGTTAATAATGCACCGTAACGTTGACGGCGTAAAGCGTCGTCACGACGCGGTTCGCGCTTGCGTACTCTCTACGATTACGAGCCTCGGCTCGCGCGAGTTTAGCGATATCGCGTTGGTTTTCGCGAGCCGCGTTTTCGTTTAGCGCGCGAACGACTGTGTCGTTCCCGGCGACGAACCGCGCGAGATAACAAACGACGCCGTTAATTTTATCGCCGATATTCGGGCGCACGTCGCGCATGGATTTTTCGAATAAAGAAAGCGAGGGCTCCGGTAAAGACATGTTTTTCGCCGAAGACACGAACAATGACACGATTAAACGGAGCTTTCTCTGTTTCTTTTTTTACAAACGAACTTAAAGTGGACATACCGTCGACACATATACTCCCTCTCTCCCCACCCGGGTTGAATCCAATAAATATTTTCTTTTTTTTCTCTCGTTCGAGTCCGATCGAGTTTCGACTGTACACAAATATCGCAACGTCCGATACTGCATTCCGCCACTGCTGCAGCGAGAGAGAAAAGAGAGAAAAGGGAAGATCAATACGCTGACATGTGCCATCATTGCAGTTTAATACAGTCGGATTAATCCGGCGAAGCTCGGCTCTTGTCTCGTGCCAAATGTTACATCACTCCTTTGATTAAAATATTGCAATGTCATAAGACACAGTTGGAATGTGCGGATGCCTCCTTGTCTTTCTTTCCTGACTCGACTACATTTCGAGTTCTCTCTCCTTCTGGCACTCTTGATCGTTAAGCCCCGAAGGACTTTTTCGAGGATCCGTTCCATCGCTCATTTTTTCCTCTTCTGTTTTTTTCCGAGCGCGCGATGTGCTCGCCACTGAACGCGCTCCATTGGCATCGGGAGAGTTCTCTGCCGCGTGCGTGCGCTTCTATAACGATGCCGCGAATAAATGCAAAGCCGTTTGTCACCTGCCGGGACAGTTCTCACTTTGCAGCGGCAGAAGCGAATTCAAATTAAATTTAAATTCCGTCAGAGAGCTTGGATATGGGCAGTCCCCTTCAAAAGGCGTAGTAGCTTGTGAATTTCGCATTTACATCGTGGAATTAGCGAGTTCTGAGCTGTCGCTCGAGAGAAGGGTACGGCCGCGGCGCGCGCCCTGTCAGCCAGCCTGGAGCAGGCAAAACCAAGCGCGACGTGGGGGGGGGGGGGGCAGAGCAAAATAAAGCAAAAAAAAAAACAAAAAGAAAAAATAAAAAAACGAGATCGATGGCATAGCTGTGAGTTATACCGCTCTCCTATACCGTCGGCTCGGCCTCTCTCGATCCGTTCGTTTTTTGCAATCGACCTGCTCGATGCCGCCGCGACGTACTCGCCTCTGGCAACGACGCTCGCCAGCGAGGTTGCGTTGCTCTCGTTACTCTTTCTTCTTCTCCGTCTTCGACTCCTTCCTTCCTTTTTCGGCGCAATTAAAATTCGACGCCTCGCTGATTCTCTCTCGAATTTAATTCGTCAACTCGAGGGCTCGCGTCGCGCGAGCCGCATAAAAGTATGGCAGTAATTTACATTTTAACGAAGCCTTTTTGCAGCTAAAACTCGAACGAAACTCGCTGCCGCGCGGATAGCTGGCAACTCCCATCTCTATTTCGAATTAAACTCGGCGCGCGATTTTTCTTCACGCAACTTTGCCGAAGCGTCCCATTGTGAGAGCTCGACTGAATTAAACACATTGGGATTCAGACGACGGTTCCTCTCTGTCTCTATCTCTCTCTCTCTCTCTCTCTCTTTCTCTCTCGGAGACGCTTTGCTTGAATGATTAATAGGCCTTTCTCGCTAGGACTTTTCAAAGTATGTCTCGCAGCGCCAGCCGGTTATCGTGAGAAATTGATATTTTTGTTTTGCTTTCGTCCCCCTTCTTCGAACTCACTCTGTCGCGCATCTTCGGTGAACTTTCAAGTTCCACTTTGCATCGAATTCTTCCACTCTCTTATTAATTCACCGACAAAGTTGCGATCGCGAATCTATTTCCGTGGAATGGAGCTAAAAGAGCAAAATTAAGACGACGCTTGCCCGTCGCACACCGAAGCATCGAAAGCAGCAGCTACATCAGCATTCGCATCGCTCCTCTGTCCCGTGCGAGCGCAAGCCTTCGGCGCTTGGCGCGCGGTCACGACGTTTCGGTCAAAGTCGGAATATAGCTACTTACCTCGGCCCTCCGCTCTCATCTCTATGCAAGTGGAGCGCGGCGCGTTCCGTCGTCGCGGAGAAGTGGCCGACGCTGTGTACGTCTGCTAATTGATTTGCATTAGTTCGAAAACTAGTTTTGCACTTTCTTATCGGTGTGTGCGCAGCTTGTTTTGCCAAGTGGATTGGACGTATAACTCCGAGAGAGCGGGAGAGCGAGAGAGCGAGAGATGGATGGATAGATAGAGACTGCTGATAAACTCTTACCGGCTGGCTGGGACGTAACGTTGAGTTTGCACAAGCGTGCGTTCTATTGCGATTGGCGCGCGCGCGACTGCGCTTGCGAGATTATTCGTACGTACTTCCGAGCTTATCCGGGAGAACACTGCTGGAATGCGACGACGCCGCGCAGTTCGAAGGTCCGCGGTAGAGTCGTCGCGGCCTCGGTCAGCCTGGAGTCCGAGGAAAAACTGGTTGTGCGTTTTCTTTGTGCTTGCAGACACGGAGCACCCCTCCCCGATCCTGGCCGTCCCGCGGCCCCGCAGCAGCGTCTGGAACAGCGGCGGCTTGGTGAAGCTAATAGGCGAGCTGCCGCAGCGTCAAGAGTCTCCGCGTGCGACGAGCGTGAAGACCAGCAGCAACGTTAACCAGAGCAGCAGCGAGAAGCAGCAAGGACAAATCGTGCGCGATCGCGTCGGCTCGGTCATCGCGCGTCGATCGAGCTAGTGGTAGCGAGCCACTCTCGAGCGAGCAAGAAGGGAGCAAACCGCCGAACCTGGATTTAGCAGGTGGACGTTGCTCTCAGTCGGAAGGGGGGGCAGGGGGGTCGAACGAGTTGGCGCGGTCGGCGGCTGAGTGCACCAGCCGCTGCGCTAACGGTGACGATCGTGACGCGCAGTGCCCTCCGCGCCAGTAGGAGGGCAGTCGAGGAGGCGAAGCGGTCGGGCCCCCCGCGCCTGAGCCAGCCCCTTGGTCGCATCGCATTGCTGGTGTGCCAAAGGGGGCCGGTGAGGGGGGTCGTGCGAGGTGCTTGCAAGGACGAGTACAGTCGCGCCATTGTCCACGAGTAGCAGCGGCCTCGGCGACGGCACCGCGAGCAGCAGCCCGAAGGCTTGGGGCGGCAAATCATCCTCGGGCAGCCTCGTAGTCCTGGCTACCAACGGCAGCAACGGCAACGGCGGCGCAGGCGTGGCGTCGGCGGCGTCGGCGCAGGCGGTGCTGCCTCCCGCTGCCCACACCCTTGCCGATCAGCAGCAGCACCAGCAGCCGGCTGTCCTCGTCGTCGGCGGCAGCAGCGACAACGCCAGCACCCACGACATCAGCACCACCACCAGCACCAACAATGCCAACTTCGCCACCTCCACCACCAATTCCAGCAGTGCCAGCAGCCACAGCGCCACCACGCCGCAGAGACCCCAGCTGCAGCTGCCGCTCCAGCACGTGCACTCGACCGGCCAGCCTGGCCCTCCGCCGAGTGCTGCTCACGCTGCCGCCCAGCGACAGCACAGTCCGCCGCCGCTGCGGGACGGCGACCTTGGCTGCGGCTGGGCCAGCCACGTTTACCGACACCGTGACCGGACCTTCTCCATGAGGAGCTTCCACCGACGCGTCTCCCATCCGTAAGTCCACTCGCCCTTTCGCTTTCTCACTGCTTCGCCACATCGCAGTCTCGGTCTGTCGCCGTTTGGCTGCATTCGCCACCGCCGAGTACGACGCGAAAGCGACAGCAGCCAAACGGCAGCTTTGATCAAATGCAGCTCTAACGGCCCTACAAAGGCACAAGGGAGGAGAAAGTAGTCGGGCTCTCTGTTCTCCGAGTACATACGGATTAGGTGCATAACGAGCGAGCAGAACCGTAAGCGGCACCCGACAAAGCCCCGAAGACGGAGCTCGGTCTTGGCAAGGCAATATGGCTTTTTTCGGGCTCGAAGGATGCGCGTGTGTCTCGCTTTTTTGGGCTATGCGCAGGCGGATTTTCCGCGGGAGGCTTTCGGCCGACTCGATTGTCCCGTGGAGGCGCGCTGCAGCGAAAGTGGACGCTCTGTCGCTTTATCGTTGCCGTCGTTTTTACGACTTTCCGCGCGAGTCCTCATCCTTAATTGGCAATAACGCGAAGCCGATTCAAAGACGACAAGACGAGGCGACAGCGAAACCGAGGCAAAGCTGATGAGTAAGGAGATCATAGAGATAAGTTTGACGTAGGCGCGCGCTTACGATGCGCTCGACATACTCGCATGACTTGCATCTATAAAGGCAGGATAACCGTGTGTATTTCGCGATGCGCGACTGCTTCCTAACCTCCGGTGTCCCTGTCCATTTTTCTTTCCGCGTTCGTGCTTTGATGAGTGGGACAAATCGCTAAGATCGGCGCAACTATTCGCGGCCTTTTTCAGTCGATCGCCCTGTTCGTTAATTGAAATTCAAGCGACGATTTGGCATGAGACTTGCGCGCGACCTACAGTTTTCGGGTCGCTGGCAATGCCACGCGCTCTAGATGCACAGCCGCTTACGGATATTATAGAAATTTGCTCGAAGCACAGCTATACATCTGAGAGAAACAATCGAGTGCATAAGACGAGCGACGAGAAGGAGTTTCACTCGAAGCTCAGTCTACGCGTCAAGCGATGGATTTCGACAACAGAGCAGTGCCCAGCAAGCGTGACGTGTCGTCGGGAAATAGGGAGGCCGGAGGCGGAAAGTTTAAAAATCTCGATTCTTCTCGGACCGAAGAGTCCGCGTCCGAGGCGCCTTCGGGAACGGAGGAAAAAAAAAACGTCCATAACAGACGTAATGCCAAGATCGAAAAGCGGAATCGACTTGTCACCCTCCCCGCGAGGGAGGTGAATTCATCGCGACGGTCGTTGTTTTTTCGAGGCGGGGATCGTGGACAATATTCGACGCGACAGCGCGTGCACATCTTTCGGTGCGCAGCTCTGTCTCGACGCCCCCATAGTGACGCGATTACGCGGATACGTCGAGCTCCCGTGCCTGCACGCTCGACGATGCCGTTTTCGTCGCGGTCGCGCTGCGACCTGCGCACACGCCGACAGAGACGAAGGAGCAGCAGATGTACGGCCGCGACCAGCTTTGCCGCGCCCATTGGCGACGATCGTGCGTCGTCGCAGCGAAGCATCCGGTTCTTCCGTGCGACTTCGCGACATAGCGGCGCGCCCGAGCGTGCGCGATAGATCCAACCGCACGCGGCATTTCAATGGCGAGCACGACGCTCCAGGCATCGGTCGAGAACTGCCGAACTTGCGATTGCACGGCTCAACGAAGTAACGGCCGCGCGCTCGATATTAAAGTACCGCGATGACAAAGAAAAAGCCGCGCCGGGAGCGGCGCGAAATCCCCGTTGAAATTTCGTCCCACGGGCGTTTAATCGCCGGGGCGCGCGAGGCTACCCGATCCGGGAGGTCAAAGAAGCGCGCCGGAGCCATCGCATTCGGACGTATCCGAGCGATTGATCGTGTCGCCGTTCCAGCACGACCGAGCCGGCTGTTCCGTCCTCGCGCGCCTCCAGTCTTGCGGCCTGAATCGTCGGCGAGAAAGGAAGGGAAGCCCCGCCGGCGAGCCGATAAGAAAGCGATTTCGCTCGCCCGCCCAGCCCCGGGGCGCCCGGGAATAAGTACGTCCTGCGCGCGGCGACGCGCACAAAGCGCCGCGTCAGCCCTATATTTCCAAGCGCGGCCGGGAATCGAGGAGGAGTTCCGGCCTTTTTCCTCTTGATTGCCGACACAAAAAAATCTGCGCTCTCGTTACGCAATGGCAGTCGTGGCGGTCGACTGTGAAATGCACCTCGGCCAGGGCGAACGAGAGTAGTCGGGCAGCGGCTCTCTCCGACGGTGGATCCCCGATCCCTCGCGCTTTAGTGCCGCTCGCGAAACTTTCGCCGATTGAATTGCGCTCGCGCCTACAGTGGCAGGCAGCGGGGCAACTCGCCCCCGCCCACTCCATTATGCGCCACAGCGAAGTCGCATTATAAATGTATACGCGGCGAACGCCCCCCCTCACCTCTATCCTTCTCGTTCGGCACAACCAACCGTGTGAGAGAGATTCCTGCTTTTCCCTCCTTATCTTTGCAAAAGAAACGCGCGCTAAATTGCGATTTCATTCAATGAAATTTTCATTTGTTGTCTAGACGATGACCCTCGTTGTTTTGTTTACTGAATTGCGGGTCGTACGAGTGACTGCTGCGAACGTTGAACGCCATACACGAACAAATAATTGATCGCCAAGTCTAGTAATGCAGGTTCAATCGTCTGTAAATTTGTGCGACTGCGATTAGAGTAAGCCCAAAAAGCACACGTGCCGTCGAGGAAAGGGGTAGAAGGCTTCGGCCCACAATGAAAACCCGCGAGCACGCGGCTGTCGTGTGCGGCAGTCCCGCGAATGAACAAAAAAGAAAAGGGACCAGCCGGAAAGTCGCTCGTTAATTACGTACGTAAAGAAAGGAAAAAGAGGAATACAGTGGCGCGCTACTCGCCGCGTGTTAATCGTTATCGTTCAGAGAGCCCGTCTGTTTTTACTTTCGGACGTTTTCCCACGGCGATAAATCGTCCGCCTTTTTATCGCTCCCCTCTCCCAGACCAGACTCGCTTTTATTTTCCTTTTTTTTTTTTTAAGGGACGTTTCTTATCTTTTTTTTTGCGCAGCAGTCGCGACTATTCCTTCGCGCTCAACATTTTTATTGCGCTTAATCGCGCGCAGCCTCGGGCTGCGCTCGTTCGCTCCCGGCGTTTGCGTTGTTAATCATGGAGATATTTTAATTCTTCTCTCGTTCGCCATTTATTCAGCTCTCATTTTGCAGTTGTCGGTATTGAAGGAGAGAGAAGTATAGTCATCGATTCTTTGGGGAAAAGAAAAACCGGACATGGACTTTTATATCACGCAACGCTCTCTGTCGCTCATCACCTCCCTTCCCTCCCTGTCCTTTAGCTCGTAAAACTATAGAGACTATATTTTTTGCAATATCGTCGTCCGTTTTACGATAGAGAGAGATAGAGAGAGAGAGAGAGAGAGAGAGAGGGAGAGAGAGAGAAAGAGAGAAAGGCATTTGACGATAAGTACAGTTTGTAAAACCTTTTCATCGGGAGTTGCTACTTCTGTGAGTCTTTATTTTCACACCCAAGAAGCGAAAATCGGAGTGAAATTAACGACACAGTGGAACGGCAATAACGCATTAAGTACGACACGCAGCAATCCTTTCGGAATTGCGGACGGAGAAAAGTCAATTAACGAGAAAAATCTCCATCCTAGTTTTTTCTCTCTTTTTTTACTACTGATGTTTCGAACCGAAACCGTAATAACGAAAGGTTTCATTTGAATTGCTTCTGGGAACTTTGGCTGGGGGTTTCTCCTTTGGTGAGCGCCAGGTGGGGTGGAGTTAATTCGGAAGAGAAATAATCCAACGAGTGTCCGGCAAATATTAGAATCCGAGCTCTTTCTGTTTCATTGCTATCCAACCGTGCATTATCGTTATTACGATGAAAGATCGCTCCAGCGACTTCGTTTGCTTTTTTTCAGTTGGAAAAGTTTTTCCATAAGCGATTAGATGAAGACGACAATTAAAAGGAGAAATGCGAGAGAGAGAGAGAGAGAGAAAGCGCGAGTCATTTGATCATTGATACGAGTCACAGTATCAAAAGCACCAGTAAACATTTGTGCAAACGAGTATCTAAGGATCTAAAGGCGTCTGTGTCGGTTTGCCCTTGCAGATCTCAGAGAGAAAGAGAGAACGCGCGCGAAGAGAAATCAGGTCAATGGAAGAGAGAACTCCCCCCACCTTCCTCTCTCTCTCTCTCTTTTCGATCATGCCGCAAACTTTTCAGGTCGATTATTTCGTAGCTCTGGGCGCCCCTGAGATTCTTCGAGAGGTTGCTGCTGCTATTGCTGCACATCCTCCCACTGGGATAGAGAGAGAGAGAGAGAGAGAGAGAGAGAGAAGTTAGAGGAGGAGGCCGATCGAATTTTGCGCGACGCCGCGCTTTTTTTTCCCCCGCTCCCCGCTGCCCGATTTTAATTTAAAAGATGCGTGCTTCTTCTTATCATTGTTTAACGCCTTCGAACTATCGACACTCGACGTCGAACAACAACCAATGGACCTCGGAAGATCGTCAAGTCCCCGCGCTTTCTGATGCCGCGGCCCGGTACACCCGAATGCCGCGAGAAAAACAAGACAAAAGGGGAAAAAAAAAAGAAGCCTTGTCCAGTATCGCGAACCACTCGAAGCCACGCGACAATACAATTGGGCTGGAAGGAGGAGAGGAAAAAACACAACACGCCACGGAACAAAATGCTCTCGCACGTGCAACAGCACAAAAGCATCGCGTCAGGGAACAATCGAAGACGCTCTCTCTCTCACTCTTTTTTTTTGTTCTAAAGAACCAATCGCAATTGTGTGTGTGTGTGTGTGTGTGTGTGTGTGTGTGTGTGTCAAAAGCATTGTTTCTTTTTATTTTTTTGGAAAGTGGTGTAAGGTCACGAGCGTTGGATCTCAAAGGCCAGCAGTTCGTTCATGCGACTGCCTTACATAACGTTGACTTGCACTACTTATTGCTTGCTCTCCTCGTCACACGTAACCGTCTGACAAGTTTACTCAACGCCGGTGCAGCTTACT